GGCCGGGGTAGTAAGAGCGGCGGGGGTCGGGGGAGTAGCAGTAGCGTTATTAGGGGTTGAAAGGAAATAACTATATTCCTATTTAAAAAATCTTGTTAACCGAAATCTATTTTATTAAAATAAATAAAATGGAAGAGATTTACAGGAAGATAATACTATCTTTATATAATTCGGTAATATAATATTAAATTATTATAATTTTACAAACATATCCGAAAACTTTCTTTTTTTCTTTACCAAAAGTCGCCACTTCCTAAATTATAGCGAATTTTTAAGTTAAAAACGAGGCCCGGTCGTATTACTTACCGTTATTATAGTAGACTATATACGCCTGGTTTTTAGGTTTAGTATAGTACTTACGGAGGATATTTAAATATAAAATATACGGGACTACAGAGAATTTATAGTCCGTTTAAAGAATAAGTAAAGTTAACGACAATTTTTTAAAATAGGAATAATAGGGAAGATTTATTAATAAGTATTTAAATTTAATAAATCTAGTCTTCTTAGGAGTAGCGACAGAGTTTTTAATATATTTATAACGGACGGCGGCCTCTTAGGAAGGGATTAGAAATTATACAAAAATCGCGAAAATAAGCCTTCGCTTTTAAATGGCTAAAACGGAGATAGTAACGGGGATAGTTCGGACGAAATTAAGCGAAGTATTTACTTTAATTAAGGAAAGTAAGCGAATAATTAGATAAGGGATAGTAATATTTACTTTAGTAGTTTGAACAACGATTGGAGAAAAAAGAGGAAAAGAGAAAAAAAGGGAAAAGAAGTCGGGGGAGGGGTTTTTATATATAATTCTAAAAGTACGTATATACGTACGCCGCTACTTATTGCCTACGTCGGTCGAAATAGAAGGAGCGAACGCGTGAAGGGGCAGGAGAAGGGAAGAAGGGGGTAATATTATAGGGTTAAGGCTTGGGCTATAGCGCTCTAGTTATTGACTAGAGTTATTATAAAGCGCTATAGCTATACCTATATAGCCCCTATCAAAACCTCGTATCTTTAGTAGAGCCGCCTTTTAGATAGAACTTTCCTTCTTTATAAAACTTCAATTAAGCTATACGACTAGCACATATATTAACCGTGGTGTCCCCGTTACAATTATATACTTTGAAAAGGTATACTTTAATAAATTTATTAATATAAGTATCGAAGGGTTGCAATAAAGGGGTAAGACTACTGGGAATTATAATTCTATTAATATTATATTTATCGAGGGTATTAAATATATCCTTTCTTTTGTAAAACCTAGTGGTATTTATAATTAATAATATTTTGTTGTTATTAGTACTTATCTCTTTATTTAATTCTTTATAAATTTATTTAATTATAAATTTTTCGTTATTATATACTGTTTCGTTGAATTCGACGGTTACTCCTAAGTAATATACCGCTTTTTCCTCTATATAAAAGGATATTAAAAACGGAAAAGAAAAAAAATAAAAAAAGGTATAATTTCTACTTTCTTCCTTTTTTCTTTCTTTTTTTCCTATAACTAAGTAGGGAATATACTATTTACTCGCTTTTACCTATATTATAACTTATTTACCTGTAAATAATAAATAAAGGATATAGTACTGGTTTACCCTTCCGTCGGGTTAAAATCTTATTCTAAATTAATAATTGTACTAGCTATAAGGGAAAAGAAAGAAAAAAGGGAAAAAAATAGAAAGAAAGGGAAATCTTAGGTTTATAGCGTATATTATTATGCTTATTTACCCGCCTCGGTTCGGATTATTACTTATTTGCCCGCAGGTAGTAGGATTAATACGGTATTGGCACTTTCTATTAGTTTTGGTCTTATACGTAATTTATAGTTTAGAGGTATAACCTAGGGGGTAGAGGAAGGAGGTGGATGTAAATAAAGAAAATAGATATAATTAAAGAAGATAAATGTGAATAAGAGGTTATAAAAGGGAAGGGTTAAAAAGATAATGAAAATAATAAAATATATATATATATTATTTATAATCTTTTTTCGACTAGTATTTAACGTACCTTTAAATATCTACTTCGGTTTTAACTACTAAAATCTATTTATAAAAATATATAGAATTAGGGTCGCTTATTATTTATTCTATTAATTTCTATTGGTCTTACTTATAATAATATCGTTGCCTTTAGTATTGTACGTAGCGTTGTTGAAGAATTCGAAGGGGATAGGGGTTTTATTAAAATTAATAATAAATTACTTTTTTACTTATTAAAAGAGGGGAAATTAATTAATAGAAAGTTCAATAGTAGGGTAAGTTAAATATAAAATACTTACTTTATAGGAAGTAGGTGGGCTATCTATTAAACAGTTAATGACTAGCGTTATAGGCAGGGTAGTATTCTTATGTACGAATTTGAGGAAGTTGATTGTAAAACGAAAATAATCCTCTAATAATTTAAATAATTATTTCATTACCCGTTAGATTATAATATTATAATAGCGAAAGAATTCCCTAATTTTCACCGGTCGAAAAAGTAAATTCTAAATAAAGTTAGCTGGTAAATTAATAAAAGATATATTTAAACTACCGCCTAAATTAATTAATACATGTAAAATTGCCTACTTTCCGTTTTAGAAGGAAGTTAATAAATAATTCTCTTTTTAAATCTAATTATTTAGGTCGGTATTAAAAGGTTTTACAATAAATAATCTCGTTTTTTTATCCTACTACCGGGCTATTATAGAGCGAAGGATTTTGAACTATTCGACGGTATTATTATAAATAGGACGAATTATACCTTTAAATAGGGTAGGAAATTGCTCGCTATCGAATTAATATATTTTAAATTAGGGAATATTAATACAAAAGTAGGGTTGCCGTTAAAAGTTAATATAAACGGACGTATCAACGAAATAATATAAAAGATAATCTAATACTTTAATCTTAATATTCTTAGATTATTATAAATAAAATCGTTTAATTTAAAGTAGCAAAGTATATATCCTATCCTTATATCGCTTAGCTAAAATACGAACCTTTTTACCTAGTTTCTACCTAGTGGTAATACCTTTATTAAAAAAGGCGGGGTTATTCTAATATCGTTAGTAAAATTTTTTTTATTTAAACAATACGGTTAATAAAAAATTTTTATTAAGAAATATTAATTAGGAGGATAAAATTAATTAGATTAGATTTTTTAAACAATAATAGAAGGAGTTTGTGTATTCGGTAGGGTTAGGAAGGGAGCTGTACAATAAAAAACTATATTTAAATATAATAACTATTAATAATATAAAATAAAACTCACTTTAAGATCGGTCGGGTTTTTAATAATAATAAATCCCGCAATAGGAATTTTAATAGCGGTAAGCTTAAATACGTCGCTCGAATCGCTAGATATTTAACGCTTACTTCTTTAATAAAAAACTACATCGCAATACGATAATCTAATATTATTTAATTAATTTTATTAAATCTAGTAGTTTAAAGGCACAAATTAGAATTAAGAAAGATAGCTATTTAAAAAAGGAAGAGAGAAAGAGAGAAAGGTAAGGAAGCTAGGCGAAATTCTATAAGATTACTAGCACGGGGCATACGGCTAATAAGAGAGTCTACAAGTAGCTAAGAGGGTTAAAAAGTAGGTTTAAGTAAGACTGGCGGCCCGGCTATACTATACTGGGTCTAGTGTATGCAGGAGGATAAATCCCATTTGAATGAGAAAAAGCGGTAGTCGGCTCGCTTACGAACGTCTCAATTCCGGTTCCGGAAGGAATAAGCGCAGATCTTCCTCGTTTGTTAGCGCGGTTCTTACGATAGGGGTCTGCAAAATAACACGGAAAAATGCTGGGGCAGCCACATTCAAAACGGAAAATCGGACAAAGTGTATAAAGCCTCCAAAACGCATCTGGTTAATACCAACTTCTTGCATGAACTGTGGTGGAATAGTGGTTGAGTTGCGAAGAGTGCGTACTGTAGTGAAATCCCGCGCTAACGAACTTTCCAGGGGTAAACTGTAGTGAAGTCCCGCGTGTCAGTGCCGGGGCCGTTGATCAACAGGCACGAAGGGTTACTCCAGACATTTATCAATTGGACCCTCAGTGGGACCCGGGGGACCAATTGACTAATTCGGTTCCGCGATAGCATTCAGAAAAAATACTAAGGGCTGAGAAAAAGAGGACGAGCCGGATAAAGCGACTATGTGCCTTTCCAAACGGCCTGTGTGGAACCTGTCCGACCAATAGCAGAGTTATATCAGGCCGCCTAGAACCTAGGGTTAGGGTTAGTGGTTAGGGTTAGGTATTAGCGGTTAAGTATTAGGGTTAGCTCCGGGAGTATAGGGGGCCGGTAGGAAGTCCCTACGTAAGAATATATCTTTTATGTTACGAAGGAATATTTATTTAGACGTTTAATTTGGACGTTATTATTATGATATTTGAGTGCGTATTTAGAGAATAATATTTAGTAATAACTTAAATACTGATAACGCGCGCGCGAAGCTAATATTAACCTAGAAGTTCGGGGTCTTAGCTTAGCTTAGTTATTAGTTTCGAGCCGGATAAAGCGACTATATACCTTTCCAAACGGCCTATATAGGACCTGTCCAGCCAATAGTAGAATTATATCAGGCCGCCTAGAACCTAGTGTTAGGGTTAACGGTTAGGATTAAATATTAGCGGTTAAGTATTAGGATTAACTCCGGGGGTATAGGGGGTTAGTAGGAGGCCCCTGTATAAAAATGTATCTTTTACGTTATGAAGGAATATTTATTTAGACGTTTAATTTGGACGTTATTATCACGATATTCGAGTGCGCATTTAGGGAATAGCATTTAGTAATGACTTAGATACCGATAGCGCGCGCGCGAAGCTATTGTCAACCTAGAAATTCGGGGTCTTAGCTCAGCTTAGCTATTAGTTTGTATAGCCCCGCACAGGCCGTTTGGCATCGCGCACAGTCGCTTTATCCGGGTCGAAAGAGGATGGCTTGCTTTCAATCATGCTGTCACTTCTACTTCTACTCCAAACATCTAGAGTCTACCGTCTTCTAAAGTCACCACACTCAACCGAACAAAAAGTCCTCATAATTCCTCCTTATCCTCTTCATCCCCTCATCCAACCCCCACCCCTTGACCTCACATATCCTCCTCGCAATATCCTCCAAATACCCATCCATATCCTCGCCCGCCACATGCAAATCGCTTTCCACCAGCACCTGCCCATCCGGACACGCCCTAATGACATCCGCAAACTTGGCCTCCCCACCTGCCGTCCCCAGATTAACCCCCATCGAAAACGAAAAGTAGCACTTGACCGGGATCTTGGGATCCAAATACTGCTTCAACATCTGCGGCGGGCCGCTGAAAGAATGTAGACACGCCCTAGGCGGGAACGGCTTCGGTTTGTACGGCTTCTTGACCTTCTCTTGCTTGGGCTCCTCCCCAAGCCCAAATTCCGAGTCGTCGTCGGACTCCTCATCACTACTAGACGAAAAATCCTCCGACACGCCCTTGGCAATCATCTTCTGCTTCTTTCGCGAGACCACCTCCTTCTCGTGTCCCTTCCACAGCGAAGCCAGGGCGTCGAACAACACGCCGTGAGCTTGCACGCCGTGTAGAGAGACAGGACGACCCAGCTCGCCTGCCAGTCTGAGTTGGGCTTTGAGAACGTCAACCTGGTGCGCCATCTTGACGTGGTGAGGGCTTAGCATCCTTCCCTCTCTACCGCCCGGTGTTAGGTCCCCCCCGTTGCGCGAGGACTCGTCCGCCGCTTTGCCCCAGGGGAGACGGAAGGCTTTGTCGAGGCCGATTTCGCCGACCAGGGCTGTGGGGTGGGCAAGCACACGTTGGCGGGTTTCTTGGAGGAATTTGCTGAGGGGAATGGGATCGGGGAGAGATGCGATGAAATCGGCATCGGGAGTGGGCGATAGAACGGCCGAGTAGTGCTTGGTTTTGTGCGCCTGTACATCATCCGTGACTTCTTCCTTGGAGTCATGGTAGAGCTGGTGAGAGAACCAGGGGTGCCAACCGAAGGCTGGGACGACCTTCTTTGGGGTTTCGGATGAACCACTTTCGCGTAGCTCGTTCAAGTTTGTGACGCCGTGCTGCTCAGCTACGGAGGCGACGAGGTCCTGGTCTTGACCGCGTGTGGCCATGATGGTGAGGAGTCGAGCTTGCATGTCCTTTATGCTGGAGATGGAGGTCATGGTGTCGGTGGGGTGACAGTGGGCGTCGTAGACACCGATGTGCCATGGGAAGGGCTCTTTGGGAGCTCCATCGTCGGCTCTTTTGGGAACTTCATGAGGTGTTGATTCGCCGGTAGGGGAACACATGGCTGCTGTGCCTGGAGATGATGTGACGAGTACCGTGATGCGATTGTTGACACTGCCGGGAGAGTTGATGGCCGTGAAGTTGGGATGAAGTTGAACACGGATGATATTTATGTTCGATATCTTGAAATTGATTCACCGTCCTGCCGTCCTGTCAGCCTTCAGGTACGCCTCCTCCAACGGATGATGTCAGTTGGAGATGTATGTGGGGAAGCTATTCCCTGTCCACAAAATATTATCCTTGCCCTCCTAACATAGCCTCAACTTGACGATAGTTCACCCCGCACAGGGGGCTGTATGTATCTCCGAAGTCAACACTCGTGGACTGTTTCTCCCCTATTTCTTCATATGATTGAGACTATCACTTGATATTCATTTCACCGCTGGCTATGTAGCGGATGTTGCTTGGATCCAGACCTCATAATTTGGAGAAATTGGAAGCTGCTACCTAGAGATGCCCAGTCTTGGCATCAGAATGAAGTCTCTAACTTGTGGCCTGGCAATCGGAAACTCCCCGTTGCGTTCGAATAAAGATATATAGCGGAGGCGCCTGCGTCGAAAAGGAACACTCGCAACATGGAAATGTCAGAGAACCTGGCAGGCCACTCGAACCGGCATCTATATCAACCTGATTGATCGTCGAGAACTTTTCCCTCGTTCAACCTTATCTTCAGCTACATCCATGTTCGTCGAGAACTTGCTGTCATGTTGACTTCATTGATGGTTGGGCTTGCTCCAGCTTTGACACCAATGCCGATGGGCCCATAAGACGAAGCGATGGGACGACCGCGGGGCTCAGTGTCAAGTGGGGTGATTTGCCAGTGTCGGTGGGTGACACAAAGGGACCGGTGAACACATACAAATGCAATCTGTGGCCGTCAAACAGGAATCTCGATTCTTCGCAGCTTCCATTCCTGCATCTCGATGAGAAGTGGAAAGAGGGCATCATTTTTGGTGTTTTCGAAATTCTTGCAAGAACGGAATGGAAACGTGGGTTTCGTGTGGCTGCCAAGACCTCCTATTCCGGGGCACTTCAACCGCTGGAGGTGTTCACGACCCTAAAAACGGCCCCTGTGGTGATCTGGTCGCTCATCCGGCGCCTGCCGAAGAAGCGGGTGTAGTGGACCCTGAAAGCTTCCCCAGCTTTTAACCGTTGGAAGCTCCGACCCCTGTTCAAAACGGCTTTCGTCCCCCCTTGCTTTCCCCGGTCACTCCATGTTTCCGTCTTGCGCACTTGCACTTCACATGCTTAGCCTCAAGAACTCTCCAAAACAACAAACTTCTATCATGTCTTAAACTCAACTAGTTCAACCTCGGGTCAGTGAACAAGATAACTGTGCTCCAAGCACACGCATGTTGGTCTCAGCGGCAGATATGCCCCTCGCCAGCAAAGCTGCATACAACTTCAATCAACTCACCATCAAACCATACATATCGTCAGCTCTACCGGACAGAGCGTGCTCTTTCACCTGTCTCTTTCGGACTCAACATCATCTGTTGCCACCGGCATAAGACACCCTCGGACATCATGGCCTTCCTCAACCCCGTCCACGGACTCGTCGTCCCCTTCCTCTGCCTCTTCACCATCCCCATGGCCATCTTCGCTGGTATCACCTCCGCCCTCGCCTTCTCTCTGCTCATGTTCCGCGTAGCCATCGTCTACGTCGACATAGCCATGGCATTCGTCCCCCAATTCATCAAAGGCCGTCACTACCATAGCATCACCGACGGCGAACTCCTCACTCCACGCCGCCTATCCTCCAGCAGCAGAGGCAGCTTCGGAAACAGAGCCGGCGAAAGTGGGGACAAATCGCCCTCAGCCGTCGTCTCCCCCTCCCCTTACTACCAAAACGGTTACGACTCCCACCAGCGGAGTCCCCTCCGCCGTAAGAGCAGTTACGGCTTTGGCTCTGTTCGTCGCTCTCGCCGCTCTAGTCAAGCATCCATCTCACCAACCATCACCTCCATACTCGAAGACGGCGAGATGATCCCCCCTCTACCCGAGTCCGGAGGGCTGGCACCCTCCGTCGGCATCGAGCGAGACTTTGAAGGGGTAGGCGGTTGGAAATTCAACGACAACAAGGACGACGACGGCTGGGAGAACATCAACTCACGCCTGGAACTCCCCATGGAAAGGTGCTCGAGCTTTGGAGGTCGGTACCATCACAGTCTGAGCCATCGGTCGCATAGTGCTGGGCCGTCGCAATCGTTGGAGGGGGGCTGGATGGGGGGAAGTACCAGTAGTAGAAAGGGGACTTTGAGGAATGGAAGTGGACCAAGTGGATCGGGACATGGTGCCGAGGCGCAAACGAGTTGGCATGGTACGGGTGCCAGGGCGAATAGGAGCGCTTTGGGGAGCATTTCCAAGACGTTGGCTTTGACGCCGGGTGATAGGAGGAATAATAACCATTATGGAAATGGGGCGTCGCCGATGGGCATGTTGGAGCAGGAGCAGGGGTATTTTGCTGGTTTCACTTCTCAGAATGGGAAGTGGAGGCCTATGGCGTGAATAATCATGATGTACCGCTTGTTCGATTTTGCCGATCTGGACAATGTTGGTGGCGGCTGTGTTTAGTACATAATCAGGATCGCTTTTTTCAGCGGACACAACATTGTATACCAAATTATAAGGATAGAACAAGGCTGGGTATTAAGGGAAAGCGACAATAAAGCTCAACATACTTCGATATGATCACACTAAGAAATCTGATAATGTTTCCAAACAACAATAATTCAACATGGTATTATTCCCGCCCAAACTCCTCCAGACGCCAATTCCATCCATGCATCATACCCTTTCATAACCATCCGTAACCGCAACCTAACCCATCATTCCATTGCTTGCCATCCAAAGCCCCCTCATTACCCCCAGCAACACCCCTACAGCGTCTGCCAAAAATAATTCGCATAAAAAAACCTTGAAAACCGATGCCGGTCCACATTAACCACGCACACATCCCCCCGCCTATCATTCCTCACCACCGCCCTCGTAAACTCCCCATCTTGCTCCTCCCTCTCAATCTCGATCCCCAAACTCCTATACACCTTCAACCTTAACAACACTTCATCCTCTACGCTCCGGACCTGCCCCCCATTCCCACTCCCATTTTCTCCTGTTGATGTGGCAGCAGCATCCCCATCAACCCCCTGCAACTCCAACTCCTGCAGTCTCGCCTGTAACTCCGCCAACTGCGTCTGCAACCGTTCCGTTTCCATTTCGAGGTCTGACACATTCTTTGCTACGCGGAATTTCTGGGTGTCTAGGCGCGAAATCAAAGAGGCGTGTTCGGCGGAACTGTGCGAGGAGGTAACTTCTTGGTGCTGGGATTGTAGGGTGTTGAGGGTGCGCGCGAGTTTCTTCAGGTTGGTTTCGGATTCGCGCAGGCGTAGGTCGCGCGCTTGTTGGAGGGTGGAGAGCGATTCGGCGACGCGCGAGACGGCGTGCCGGTCAGGGGTTATGTTGAAGTTTTGGGTTGTGTGGGCGATTAGCTGGGGTAGAGTTAGTGGATTTGGATCTTCGTTGTTGATTCGGGAGGAGAGAGGGAGGGGAGAGGGGAGGGGGGAGACGAACTGTGGAGGGGTCTTCTTCGAGAAGCATTTTGGCGGTTTTTGTCTGGTTCTCGTTTGGGGTTTTGTTTTGTTCGTGTTGTGTAATTGTTGGTTTCCGAAATTGAGTCGGTCTGAAGGGTTTTGCGGCCGTAGATGTGCTGATGGTTGTTGTAGAGACTTGTTTGTTCTTAAACTCAAAGTCGCGAATGGTTTGTTGTTGCGTCGCAATTGTCGAGTCCCAAACCAAACAATGGACCCATCACTCGGGGCGACGAGCCGCAACAAGCTCAAGTGGGGCAAGTCCTTATCTTATCGCAGATTTACACGGGGATAACCGGGCAAGGGTCATGCTGTTTCCCCAGTGTCCTTCGTCATCGGTGGCACATTGACAGAGCTCCAGCCACGCGACCCGACTACGGGCGGCACTCAGCTATCACTAAATTCCAGAACCTTGCTGTCCACCTCTCACACCACCCGACCTACAGACTCAAGATCCTTATAGTCGCTGCCGCATTGTTTACCACCATCTATCCAGGATACCAATTTTCTTGTTCTCTCAACCAAATACCCTCAGTTTGCCGAAATGACACAACTTCCCTGTAGGTGGTCAGCTCATACGACTTGTTTTCATTGTTCTCCAAGCTTGGCAGAGGGTAGCTAACAGGAACCGTGGTTACAGATGCAGTGGATGCGGAAACGTGAGTCCCCGAGTTGCACAATCGCCCCCAGGATTCCCGAATCATCTAACGAACCACGATACCGATGCAGTCCGCTCAATCCCGCCGAGCTCAATGTTCTGCGGGCGCAATATGAGAAGGAGGGGGAGATGGTTGGCGTCCAGACCAAGTTCAACTACGCATGGGTGCGCATCACCGTTTCCCGATCCCAGCACACGATCTTTAACCTCGACGAACACATCACTAAAACTGTATTTTTTTGAGAGGTGTAGGGCCTAGTAAAGTCCAACGTACGAGCCGACCAACACCTCGGCGTCATGCTGCTATCAGAAATCTTCCGAACATCCCCCGAGCGCCGCCGCGAATGCCTATACTACCTCGCCCTCGGAAACTACAAGCTCGGTAACTACGCGCAAGCGAGGAAATACAACGACGCCCTCCTAGAAAACGAGCCGGCAAACCTCCAGGCCGCCAACCTCCGGGCCCTGATCGATGACAAGGTGACCAAGGAGGGTCTGATGGGTGTGGCCATCATTAGTGGTGTGGCTGTTGCCGCCGGTGTCATAGGAGGTGTTTTGCTCAGGAACTTGGGCCGCAAGAGGTGATAGGTAGGAGGAGTAACCGGCCGACTGGTGGCATATGACAGAAGGTGAAAGAGCAGAAAGTGCCGCTCCTTTGACGATATGGGATAACAGGGTCCGGTGTGTATAATATGGGCGATGATTTGACGAGCCAAATCCCCCTTTCCTTGTTTGAAGTTCCGATAACTGGACTACAGACATTCTTTTCTATAAGATATAGGCGTTCGGATTCACCTGACCTCTCCCAGTGCTGGTGTTTGCTCGGTAGACCTACTCTCTGGCTGCTTTCCGTTCGAATCCCACGTGGCTCCTGTCCGACCTTGAGCTTCAGGACGGCGTGGACTTTATTTACTGGATCCAGGAGCGACCCCAGATATTGGATGATCGAGGATGTCGTGTCAGTCCTTGGCGCTAGCCTTGAAGAACTGTGACAACACAAACGTGCTCCTCTTTGAAGGCTTAGACCCTGTGCCAGTGTGATTGGCTTTAACCACCACTCACTTTGTTTAAGTTAGAAAGCCCTGGTATCACCTTGTCATCCCAAAACCATGTTGTAGCGTTATCAACCGCATTGCTAAATGAAATATCAACACGTCCGATACCGTACCGTACCATCGTGACACCTCTGAAAGATGTGTGCCTTGCCGTGCCTTGCCCCCGTCATAGCCCACTTTCGTGCATGCGGGACCACTTGCCCTGTCTCAGGGTCAGGCCGCAGCTCGACGCCGACACATTGGCTCACCACTCCCGTTAACGGCCTGTGACATGCTAGATTGGGTCCCTTGGGCTTTTCAGTGCTGCGAGTAATGAGGCCCGGGGCAGACTTTAACTTTTCTCCTCATCAGGCCATCAAGAAGTGCATTTTCGATGTGACATGAAACATTGCCAGATTCAACCTTGAATCCCACCCGATTCACGGATTGTGAATATCGTCGGGTGGATGACCTAGTTGGCCTAGGATCGATTGAAAAGGACAACTTGCAACATTGTAATGTCTCCAGGATGTCTGAACATCAACATCGGATGAATACCTCAATGGAACATCCAAGACATAAAAGATGAGGGCCAGAATGACCCGTGGCGAGTATAAGAAGGGAAAAGAACAATACCGGGATCCATTGTACATCCTAGAAAATACCATAACGCTGTGACGCATGGCCGCCGACTTTCCGAGGCCCAACCAAATACAGCGGTTACAGGGCTATTCAGGGTCCAATGGGATGCCGCATTACCTCATCCAGTCAGGCCCCGTTCCCTCTTTTATTGCTCGGTCGGATTCCCAGGCGCAACGAAGGTTCAGACATCGATCCAGCAAACGGCTGAACCTTCTCCCAACAAACTGACGTTGTGCCATCCATTTCCTTCTCTCCCAACAACAGAATCCTCGCCACAAAAGAGCTCACGGCCTCGAACAACGAAAGAATCCCCTTCACGGCGAGCAAACACCGATATCTGTCCATTTAAGCTGCGCCTGGCGGCTGTTCCCTCCCGGTTGACGTCGCCGCTGCGATCCTTCAATACACTAACTAGGACGCCAATGTTGCGGATTACAGCAACTGTATCAATAACGCCGACTCCATCATAGTGGGGCAGCGACTTCACTTCACTCGAACATCACCTACTACAAGTACACGACCTCCGCCTACAAATACTATCTTCGCCATATCACGCGCGGGCTTCTTGCTTTCCGAAGCCGACTGTACAATACCTGGAATCTTCCTCCCGTCATACAAGGCACCCGCCGATCCCGACGTCACACATCAAAGTGGCCTTGCGAGCGCTCCAAAACATCGGCCTCACCGTCCAGTTAGGGCTCGCCGCCTTTGCTGCTTACAACGCAACCCAAAGGCTGCTGAGCCGACCGACGGCGATGGCGTCTCCCGGGCGTCCCCAGAGGCATCTTGATGCGACAACAGGCAGAGAAGTTGTCTACTGCTATGGCTGCGAAAACGAGTGGTATCGCGACGACTACCCTCACCTGGACCTAGAGTGCCCCAGGTGTCACAATGATTTCGTACAGATTGTGGGTTCCCCCATCAACCGTCCAGAGATCGCCATGCTAACTTTCCCACAGGTCGAACCCGACAACGACCCCCGACCAGGTGTTCAACAACAAGGTCCCCGTTCAGACTCAGACCCGGACGAAGATGACATAGAGGAATTTCTCGAGCGTGGTCCCGGGTCCTTCTTCATGCGGCGATCGGTATACCACTCGCCAGAAAGTCCCTTCCAGAGTCCCTTCAACCGTCCAAGTGGGAACGGCGTTGAAGACCTCGACAGCAGTCCGGACCGGCCCCGCGCCCGTCCAGATGACAGTGGCGAGGCCGTTTTGTCGCGGTTCGCCGATATGTTCGCCGAGTTAGGCGGCGCAAGGCCGGGACAGCAAGGAGGAAACGCCTTTGGGACACAGCCACGGATACAGCGTACAACCTTTACCAGATCAGGAGACGGCATGGCTAGCTTCACCTTCACGACAACGACAACTACAGGAGGCGCAGCGGGAGACGGGCCGGAAGTGCCCGCTTTTGACACGTATGTTCGCTCGCGACATGGCAATCCTGGAATTCGCAGACACACGATCATTGTTGTGACTAATGGGAGGGCTAACTCTAATGGTGATGGCAGTCTGTTTAGGGGTCTCTTTGGCAACATCCCGTCGCCGGGCGCAGAAGACCCCGGTGGTGGCCCGGGCCAAGGCGGCGGTCCACGAGGGCCTCCTCTTGGGTTTGCCGCTGGCCTGCAGGAGTTCATCGCTACGCTGCTAAACCCACAGGCGGCAGTCCATGGCGATGCCGTGTATACCCAGGAAGCGCTCGACCGCATCATAACGACCCTCATGGAGGCTAACCCGCAATCCAATGCGGCTCCTCCAGCAACGCAATCGGCCATCGAGAAATTACCCAAGAAGATCCTCGACGAGCAGATGGTCGGCCCTGAGGGTAAAGCCGAATGCACCATCTGCATCGACGAGATGTACAAGGGCGAAGAGGCCACCGTGCTACCGTGTAAGCATTGGTTCCACGGGGAATGCGTCACCCTATGGCTTAAGGAGCACAACACGTGCCCTATTTGCCGAATGCCGATTGAGGGCAACAACCAAACCGGGAGCAACAGCAACAGGAACAATAACAGCCAACCGTCCGCATCACGCCAAGAAGCCAGCACCAGCTCTTCATCAGCCTTCGCTTCCTCAACCGCCCCAGGACGGAACCCCTTCGAATCACTAAACCCCTTCGGACCACAAGGCCAATTGGCCACAGAGCGACTTCGGCGCAGCGAGCAGGAAAGAGAAGAGCGTCTCGAGCGGATCCGTAACGTGGCCGGCGTTAGGCGCACCGACTCCCAATCCGAGGGAATCTCGCGCCGTACCTCACACTCGCCTCCCAGCCGCGAGAACTCCAGTTTCAACATGCGATCGCGCGTTAGGGACCCGTCGCCGCCAAGGGATAGGGGTACCTCGACGGCCTGGCAGAATTCAAGCAGCAATTCGCAAAGCAACATTAGCAGCAGATACAGCGGTGGGCTCGGTAACCTCTGGGGTCGCACCAACAGTAATAGCGGGCAGGGCAGTTCACGGGATAGAGATGGACAGCGTGAGGGAGGAGGACAGCAGCAACAAAATCAACAGCAGCAGCAGCAGAGTTCGAGTTCTGGTAATGGCGCGCTGGGGTGGCTTAGGGACCACTTCGGCCGTGGTTCTTCCGGTTCTGGCTCCGGGTCGGATAGGGATAGGGAGCGCAGACGCTGAGCCTGGTAGGAGCGGTCATGGCAATATTAAGAGCTGGGTCGATCGCCCGGTTATACAATTGTGTTCTGAGAATCGGCTTAGGTACATATACAAGGAAGGTCAAGGGAACACAAGAGTTGTTGGTTCATCATGAATGGGCTTTCAGGCTTTTGATGGATAAACCGTATATGGTTCTTGATGCTACTAGACAAATCAATCAGATTGGGAAATAGCTGGATCGAGCGGATAAAGGGCGAAGAGGGTATGGCACTATGTTGCGTTAAAGAGCAAGCAATGGATAAAAATGCGAGATTATATGCCAGGGCTTGTATCATATCCGTTGTTCTTTGTCTAGTTCTGGTGCTCATTTGTTATTTGGTCGGTCGGTGCTTTTCAGCCTTGCGCTGATTTTATCTTTATTCCCACATTGGTCATCACAGGCCCTTATTATCACTTCCTGATCTTTGGCCAAAGAGACGGATCGCAGTACTTGTATTCTTAGATCATCTTCTTGCTGCGGTGAATACATTGTTAAAGTATAATTATCTACCTTCTTCAATACATTACAATCTTTAATAAGAATCCAGTTCAAACACCCTTCGGTTTCTATCCGATATCAGTGTGCCATCATTGAGATATATATCTCCCGCATTATAGAGGTAACTAGAGGTAACCAACTGAATCATACCTACATAACCAACACAACAAGCAAACAAACTGAAAAAGCCCACCCAACCCACCTCTCTTCACACCTTACCTACCACCTTACCTTGATGAAAACAAGGTTCCGTTATGCTGTCATCATTTAGCGGTGATGGTGGTGGTGGTGGCGTGCCCCTCACCTTTCTCCAAATTCCCATCCCCTCCCAGACCGAGCCAGGGTCGTTGTCGTAAGCTTCCCACTTTTCTTCGAAGCTTGGTCGGTTCCGTGTAAGCTGATTGGTTGGTTAGGTCAATCGCCCGGCGGCCTCTCGATTTTGCGTGATGGGAAAGGGTCGTCTTGCATTGAGAGTATGGTGAACTAGGTAAACGGCTGCCTGGTGATCAAGAGGGGCTGGGATGATGATCGTATTGTTTCTACGTAGGTAGGTCTTGAGAAAACCGTGTTGTTTGTTGTTCTGAAGAGGGGGCGGCCATCTGTCCTTTTTATCTTTTTCACCTAACCTACCTACCTTGCTCTTCAACTTTTGAGTCAGAGGTCAGGCAACCTTTGTTTGTGGTTCAGGACTTCAGGTGACAAGCTGGCTAGTGTAGGTACCTAGGTTGGTCACCTATCTCCACTCCGCTAGGACGGAATCCTTTAGAAGACGACGACGACGACACACCACCCGTGCGAGATTGAGGACGCGGCATTGCTCGCCACTTTGTTCGGTCGGAGCCTATTATCACCTACGAATCTATCAGTGTCGCGCGATTGGTATCGGGCGGGCAATTAGCGGAAGACGTTCCAAGTGAAGCGTCTCGCTCCGGAGTCGTTTCGCGTTGCAGCGTCGTTGCCGCCGCGCGCCGCGCTGTGGTCAATCGGGTCAGTCAGGTTAAGAATTAGGTTACCCTACCAACCAATCCACCAACCCGCGATCGCACCTTCGGCTTCTGGACACTCGGCCATAACATCACCACAGCAATGCACGGCTCAAAACACATAGCGGTGTTGTTGGCGCTGGCTTTGGGGAATGTTGTCTTGGGATTAGAGGGTATGCAGTCCTCGCAGAGATGCAATAGCGATTGAGTGATGTTGGCAAGATGGATTGACTGACCAACCTTTAGATGTCGCGCCAGTAGCGGCTGCCGTTCCCAATCCGCAGTCGCTGTATGTTCAGTTTATGCACCCTGTTCCACGGTCTTATGTTTATGGTCAAGATTTGGTATTTCATCCCCATCCCCCTTCCCTTCCCTTCTATTTACCAGTATCCCAATTAGATGATAGTTTTGGGCTAACTGACTAAAACAGGGTTTCCGCCTAAACGTCAACCCCTCTCTCACCACCGGCGGTTGCGCCTCCCCCAACATCACCATCAACAACCAACCCTTACTTTCTTCGCAAGACGGGTCGTTTGTGCTAGATAACGATATCAAGGTTGATCTTACTTGGGAATCACGCTGCTTCCCCTCCGCTGACGTCGAAGACACCGATACCGACTCCGTCCACAGCGGAAACCCTAACGGCAACGGCGATGTTGGGCACGTGGATTCTAACCAGCGATCGCAATCCGTCACCCTCACTTTGCAAGCCGTCGACGGACAGCCGGTAAAAGAGGATTTGAGTTGTACGATCTGGTTCAGACAAGAAGAACCGGTGTGGGCGTTTGGAGTGGCGGGGTGGTGTGTTGATGCGAGGATTAGGGATGTTAGGGGGAAGAATGGGGGGTGGGAGGTTGTTTTTGATGACAATGATCATGGAGACAACGCAGTGGAAGAGAGAGAAGAAGAGGGGAAAGGGGAGAGTAGGGAGGGCAGGTTGGGAAGGGAGAGGAAGGAGTTTGAGAGGGAGGTGGAGTGTTTGGAGTTTCGGAGGAGTGTTGCTACTGCTGAGGAGAGAGACAGTGCCGGTGTGGCTGGACACGGCTATGCGCAAAAGCCGGTGGTGAGCAGGGAGTACGAGGCAAGCCGACAACGGCTCGAAACCCTTTGCGCGAACCTCCCGCCGAGAGCCAACGACATCAGCACTCCCTCTGTCCATCCGCCATGGCAGCTCCCGCATCACCGACCAGCTAAACCAGCTCGCCTCCCGTTTCCCGGTCTGCTTTTGGACTCACCCTCACCATCATCCCAGCAAAAGACTCTAGCGTCCCTCCTCTCTTTACTCCGCGCCTCACTCTACGCCCGTCTGGCTATCCTCTCCCCCGCCCGTCTAGCCAGCTACCTCACGTTCCTCTCCCTCCCCATTTTCGCTTGCGTCTTCCACTCCCTACGCAGGCTACGCAACCGGCGAAGAAGACTGGCCCAGAGAAACGGGGGAGGAGAGCCAGTGGTGGTGATAGAATCGCTCTGTCCCGGCTTCTATGGCAGCGACGAAAGCTGTGGGGAGTGCAAGGCTAGGTATTTTGCTCAGTTGCAAGCTGAAGCTGGCGCTGGATCTGGGGGAAGTGATGGGAAATGTGAAGGTGAGTGGGACAATGATGGAATGGCGGAGAGGGGGGGTCCGTTAGAGGAGAAGGAGGGGATGTCAGAGGTGCATGGGGAGAAATGGGAGAAAGAAGAGAAAGAGAGGATTTCGGAAAGAGAGTACCAGCGCTATTGTGAGTACCATGCAGTGCCAGAGGATGGGTTCGCGTTGAGGTATGAACCTGGGTCTGAACTCCGGGCGGTACATGAGCTTGTGGGCGAGGTTGTTGATGATGAGAGGGTATGGGATGAGAAAGAAACGTTGGTTGACTCGGAAGACGAGCGGGAGAAGGAGCGTGGAGATGAAGTCGGGGAGAGCAGTGGTGAGGATAGTGGAGGTGAGGATAGCGATGATGATTTGTCCATTGGGGGCGAGCTAGCTTCGTTCATGAGGGCTGCGAATCTGGTGGAGGATATGATTCGGGCTGGAGCGAGGCGAGAAGCGGCTCTAAGGCCTGAGGTCGCCCCGGTGAATGCCAGGCGGCAGGCGCCTGGGACGCCTCCACCGCCGAGTTATGTGGAGGTGGTAGGGCTGAGGGGGGTTGTTGATGACGAAGGGTTACCGCCTCGGTATGAGGAATATCTGAGAAGTCGAAGGTAACAGGCTCTTTCTTTGGTCGCGAGGTTCTTCGGGGTATTTATGGGTTAGGGTAATGCTTAATGACTGTAATGAGTGTTGGGGAAATGTTGGGGCGGATAGGGCATAGGCGATGCGATTCTCATGTGCATCAACATGGGGTCGGTGCTTCTTCCTCTTTCAGAGGCGTACATACGCATGAACATTACATACGATACGAATGTAATTACCTCCTCCAAAATCTTTGACGACGATGCAAGTGTTGACCTTTGTTGGACATTGGTTGTACTTGTCAAGGACTCAAAGGTCAGATGGGAACATAGCTAGACCCACTAACATATATGGTTGCTGTGGTAACGTGGAATCCGAAAAACAATATTTGATTCGGTGCTAGGCGCTATTCCGAGATGTCCAGTGGATGAGAATCGTCTTCTCGGACACGATTTTGTTCACAGGCGGTTTTGATCCGTACGCGGAGATCCGCAATATCTTTCTTTCTGTTACCTCTTTAGGTATAAACAGAATCCTGATTGCTGCTGTGACCTTTTTCGTTTTCCCATATCTCCCGTTCATGATAGAGATGACGGGACTGGGCAATGGCTTTCAGGGGCTGATAATTGGATGCCTTCTGCCCTGCCAATGTGTCACTGCACTGACTGACGTGATGGAGGGTTCCCCGCAGCTGTGTGGCAGGTGCCGAGGCGCGCCGCGTTTCCGCTCAACGCAGAGTGATGCTGCATTGAGGTGAGGTTGAGTTCTGACCAGGCTACGAATGGAATTCTTCTGGGACCCAGTTGGCGATATTTCCACCCAACGAAGCGTTTTGCCCCATCACGAGTACAATATGGACCAAAACTCTCTTTTGTGATGAGGCTGGTTGACGGCAGGAAGCCTGATGGTCTGCGATCTGAAGGTTTCGTTGGGTTGTCGATCTGAAAACGCCGCCAATGTATTCGCGGGCATGCCTCTCATTTTGAAGGGAGTGTCGACGGTTTCGATATCACGTTGAGGTTTCCAGGTTGTATTGCACAAGTTCAACCTGAACCCATCACAAGTTAGGTGGAAATAACGTTGTGACCAACCACTGTAGCGAAGCGCGCGGAGGGCCCCAACTGCCCGCCCTGCCCTGTGCTAATCTCCACTTCCACTTCCACCCGCCCCCGCTGAGCCTGGTACCCCATTTTCGGGAGACGCCCAGACGTTCGATTTCAGATCCGCTTGGCACCAAACTCCGTCTCTGCCACTTTCTTTTTGCTCTTGCTCTTGTCTGGTATTGGTAACTCTTCCGAAACCGAGGCCTTCTCGTTTCTTATCCTTGCTACTCATTTGTATCCAATTTCTACCGCCGCGTCAAGCCCGGTACGCTTTGCAACACCAAGCTCGCGAGAGATCATCAGTCTTGTGCTTGGCGATTTGTCCAGTTTGCTGCCACAGCCCTCCTCCTCACTTGACCACCACATCACCAACCCCGCGATCCATCAGACACTCTGACATCATGGCCGACCCGACGCAAAACCAAACCGACACCGCGGACCCCGTCGTCGCGCCAGTCGCTAAGGAAGACGCCGAGACCACGGCCGCCCGCCGCGAACTCAAGCACACATCCATCTCCGAGCAAAGCGCCGCCGTAGCCCAAGATAGCGGATCAGACAATGGCACCCCTACAGCCGGATCAAGGAAGGCCACTCCAGAGCCTGCAATTGGCGACGACAAAGACACCGAGATGAAGGAGCAGGTTTCGTCTCCCAAGAAGAAGAGAGCACACGACGAGCTTGACGAGAGCAAGGACGCGAATGACGCTGAATCCGGGGACCAGGCTTCCACAGAGGAGGCCAAGTCCACCGCGACCCAAAGTAGGACAGACAGGTCCGAGCCGGAGAAGAAGCGTGCCCGTGACGAAACATCCACGTCGGATGACGGAGCGAAGGTGGGACATATCACGGACACATGCTATTTGCAACTCTCGACTAACCCGACGGTAACTAGGAGACTACAACCTCAGTATCTGCCGAGACAACCACCACCGAGACTATTGCGAAGCCCGCCGAGCCAGCAGCAGAAGTCAAGCCCACGAGCGAAGAAAAGCCCCAAACATCATCCTCCGCCTTTGCCCAGTCCGGTTTCGCCAAGCTTGCCAGCTCTACAACCTCTCCCTTCGGCGCCCTAGGGGGCTCCGCAGCCCCCAGCCTTTTCGGCTCTACAAACTCTGGATCCGCCTCTCCCTTCGGCACTCTCGGCGCTTCCACCACAGCAGCGGCCCCCGCGCCGCCCAAGCTCAGCTTCGGCAGCTCAGCCGCCGCACCATCGCCCTTTGCCGGCTTTAACAGCGCCAGCACCGGCTCCGTGTTTGGCGGCGGGTTCTCTAGCGGTTTTGGAAGCGGCGCGCTTGGTGGAGCTAAGCTTACAAGTTTCGGTGGAAAGCCCGGTGAGACTTTGACGAGCAGCAAGCCTGCCAAGCCTTTTGGTGCGCCAGAGAGTGACGCGGAGGAGAGTGAAGAGGAGGGCGACAACGAGAAGGAGGATGCGGGGTCAAACGAGGAGAAGGAGGGGGAGAACGATGAGGCTAAGACTGCGGCGGAGGAAGAGAAGAAGCTGAAGTTGCGAAAGGGTAAGTTTCAGTTATTTGGGATCCCTACGTCGCTTTGTCCTATGCGGTAATGCTAACTTGAGATCAGTCGTTGTCGATGACGGCGAGGGCGAGGACGCCACGCTACTAGCGGTGCGCGCCAAGATCTTCGTTATGGAGAAGGGTGTCGGCTGGAAGGAGAGGGGAGCCGGCATGCTTAAAGTCAACGTGCCCAAGGCGAGCGTCGAGCGAGATCACAACGGCAACTGGGACTCCACTTCCTTCGACGCCTCGGCACTGGTGGAGGATAGCGGCGACGGAGAGGCCGGCAGCGGTGGCGGCCGTAAGAGTGTCCGTCTCGTCATGCGCCAAGACCACACCCTCCGTGTGATTCTCAACACGGCGATTGTACCGGCCATGACGTTTGTCGTGACCAAGAAGCTCAAGGCGGCATATGTGCTTTTTACGGCGTTTGAGGGCACGGAGCCGAGACAGGTGCAGGTCAAGGTATGTTATCGACAGGCTTCGGGAGATGATCTGGACAGCGTGCTAATTATGATCGTGTGCAGCTGAGCGAGGCCAACGCTACTGCCTTCAAGAACCTTATGGATCTCATACAGAAGGAGCTTGCCGACGAGTAAGAGAGTTAAAAACTACCTCTATACAACGTTTTGTTTCACCTAGACGAGAGCGAAGTCGGACTTGCAAGGCCGTCGGCAATGAGACTATGTCTATTTTACTTGGTGCGTGGGCGTTGTGGGATGGATAGGCGAAGGGGTGGATGAACGGACGGCTGAGGTGACGGCTGGGGAGGGAGACACGAAAATACCAGGGCAGTCACTTTTTCTGAGGGACTGGCTCGCTTGCATTTGTTATTGCGGAACTCCTCGCAAAGGAGTATCTCGGATCGTCACATAAAGAGGGTGGCGCTTCGATTTTTTATATTGATCCTGTGTTACTAGATGGGTGTGAGGAAGACATACCGAGCACTGAAGACAGTTAGAGGTATAGCATCCGCCAAGTTTTTTCCAACCCCCTACAATCACCATCTTCTCCCATTGTTGAGTTTCCTTTATCTCAGCTGAGACAGACAAGTTCTTTCCTCCGCGAAAGGCCGGGAAGGAAGATGTCTGACTCTAACATAAAGTTTCCTGTTGATTCTCCCTGGTTCACATCTCTCTTGCCTTCAGTTTTCAACATCGAACGGCGGGGAAGGGGGTGTCAGGTACTCACGGTAGGTACTTCAGGATGCGTCTCTTCCATTCGTTGGATGTTCCTGCCTGGAAGGTGGGCTGTCCTCACTTTGCCGTGAGTGATACGGACGGGAGAAAAGGCTCCGAGTTCCTCATCGCTCCTTCGAATGGTGGGTGAAAACGCGGTATGAAGCCTCCCAATTCACGAATGTACCTTCCCTTCCCATTCTGAGTGGGCGGGTACTTTTGAGCTTGTACTTGCTGACCACAAGTTGTTAGGCACATCGCCTGCCGTGTTTCTCGCGACCAGCGTCGATTTTCCTTCTTCAATGAAATCCACTCGTTTAACCACTTCTCTCGCCCAACTTTTACCCAGCAACTCACAAGTTACATGACTAAACGGGTCAAATCTTTCGTCACAGCATTCGGGTTATCACAGTTCTCCCTCTCTACATGCCCTCCAACATGGCGTTTTACTTCTTCATCCCACGACACAGCCCTCGGCAGTATCCAATGGGAACCCTCCATTGCCCGCTCGTCCAGTGCCGTCGAAACTAGACGCCATGGCTGTGCAGAGATGCACACTTTGGGCTCCATCAGGCTGCGCGAGCTGAAAGTTACTTAATGCTTACGAGCATGGACAACTTGACAACTTCACCAGTGATTCGTACTGGTATTCCTTGAATGGAGCCAGATGGATACTAGCCCGCACCTAAGGTATGCATCTCTTCAAATTTGGTCACGCGTGGGGATGACTGGGTGTTGGTTGTGCATTAGCTGATATACTCCTCACTTTGCCAGAGCCTCACTTCCTCAAGTGTCTTGGAGCCTTTCCGGATCACTTTTTCAATTCATCACCCGCCGATGCTGAGAAGTCTTTCTTTCAGACTCCTTCGCGCTCTTCATCCCCAACGATCATCACTTCGCACAAACTATATCACACTATTCCCGCTCGGCTGCTCCCTCCTCTGCGTCTTTAACACGCTCTCGTGACCGGCGGGCGCCGGACCGGTCTTTCACAAGATGGCGACCGAACGGACCGATAACCCCAGGTCCCATAGCGATTACACCATAGGCTGGGTTTGCGCACTCGCCAAAGAACAGACAGCAGCAACGGCCATGCTAGATATCGAATATGAAGACGATCTTCCCATTCCGGAAGACGACTACAACATCTACACTCGCGGTTCTATTGGAAAACACAATGTCGTCATTGCCTGCCTTCCTGAAGGCATCATTGGTACAACTGCAGCAGCAACCGTTGTGAAGGAAATGCTTAGAACCTTCCCTAGCATCAGATTCGGCTTAATGGTTGGTATTGGTGGTGGAATCCCGAATATACAAGACCACGACGTCCGCCTTGGAGACGTTGTTGTTAGTGTGCCTCAGGAGACCTTTCCTGGCGTGGTTCAGTGGGATTTAGGAAAGGCAGAGCAGGAAGGCTTCAAACGAATTGGATCTTTGAACCACCCGCCCAACCTCTTACTTTCAGCGGTCTCGAAGCTCAGAACACGCCATGCAATGAGAGGACCTCGGATTCCAGCCTACCTTGACCAGCTGGCAAGAAATTGGCCATTGCTGGCTTCCGAGTACCTGAGATCAGACGCTCTCAGAGACATCTTATTCGAATCCGAGTACCCACATGACAAAAACAAGCTCAACAACGATTGTCAGCTCTGCGATGCCACGAGAATTGTCAGCAGAGAGCCACGGGCAGCTAAGATGAAAATCCATTACGGATTGATAGCATCAGGCAATCAGGTCATCAAGGACGCCATGGTACGGGATAAACTCAATGACAAACTAGGTGGAAATGTTCTGTGCATTGAGATGGAAGCAGCTGGGTTAATGAATAATTTCCCTTGCCTTGTTATTCGGGGAATTTGTGATTATGCAGACGCGCATAAAAACAAAAGGTGGCAGGAACATGCAGCCGCCATTGCGGCTGCCTATGCAAAGGAATTTCTACAGGAAGTGGCACCCACAGCTGTGAACAGAGAGCGAGCAGCATTAGAGGTTATTCAAGAAGGTCGGTTTCCTACCGTTTTCACGGAACGCGTTGTTGGGCTTCAGTACCCCTCATCGCAGTTTGGCCCCTTTCCAACATCCGCTCAAAGGTGTCATGTCTTCTTTCCAAGGTCTCATGTCTTCTTTCGAAAGTTTCATGTCTTCTTTCGAAAGTTTCATGTCTTCTTTCTAATACTTCTTTTTAGTGAAACAGAACGTTTTCAAAACGGCCGAAGATGTGAACTATATCAGATCCGACTTAAAAAGACAGGAAGATCTTGCTATCATTGAGTGGCTAACCCCAATGAATCATGGCTCACAACATAGCCTTTACCGGGATCGAAGACAACCAGAGACAGGCAGGTGGTTTCTGGATTCCATTGAGTACAATACCTGGAAGGACTGTACCAGCAAGGTTCTATTTTGTCAGGGTATCCCCGGAGCAGGAAAATCTGTCCTTTCTGCACTAGTCATTGAGGACTTATCATCGGCCTTCGGTCAGACAGCGAGCATCGGGATTGCTTACATATACTGCGACTACCAACGCCATGACCAGCAAACACCACTGCAGCTTATTTCCAGTCTCACGAAGCAGTTATGCTTGCTTAACACTACTCTACCGCCATACGTCAAAGATCTATACAACCTACACCAGCCAAGGTCCACCACGCCTTCGCTGAAGGAAATCTGTGAAGTCTTCCAGAACATTGTTCGATCATACACTCAGGTCTATGTTCTCATCGACGCGCTTGATGAGTTATCAGCCAAAGCCGGTTATCGGAATACCTTCTTAGATGAGCTCCTAAAAGTTAAGGACTCGTCACCGACACTCAATATGCTTTTCACCTCGAGGCCTCTCGCAGTTCCAGAAGTTCGCCACTTTTTCAGTCATGCCATGAAAATGGAAATCTCTGCTCCACGGGAAGATATAAATAAGTTCATAGATGGCTATCTCGCGCAGCTATCACCTGATGCACTTATTCCTAATAATGACGATCTTCGGGAGGAAGTTAAAGGTGCAGTGGCACAAGCTGTTAGCGGCATGTAAGTTATCTTGCAGCCTTCAGTTTGATGATAATCTTAAGCTAACTGCTAAAAAGGTTCCTCTTGGCACGCCTCTACTTGGACTCTCTTGTCGACAAATTGTCGCCAAACCAGGTGCGATGTGCGCTAGAAGTCATGAAGAATCAGAACCGCGGAGTGGACAAGAAGTCAATGGAAGATACGCTGTGCAATGCTTACGACCACACCATGGCACGGATAACTGGCCAAAAGAAAGACATCGCCGAACATGCAATGTACGTCCTGTTGTGGCTCACGTACACGCAACGACCCCTCAAAGTCGACGAGCTCAGGCATGCGCTCGCTGTAAAGGTTGGAGCCAAAGACTTGAACAGAGGCGACCTCATACCCCATTTGAATTTGTCAATGTATGCTGGATTGGCAGTCATTGATGACAAGACCCAAGAAGTCCGCCTGGTCCATTATACTACGCAGGAATATCTGGAACAGCGCCACTTCAAACCAGCCCTATACACAAACCCACACGTTACAATTACGGACATTTGTGTCACATACCTGATGTTATCTGTCTTCAAAAGCGGGCCATGCAGTCTCAAAGACGAGTACATCGAGCGGATCTCAGCCTACTCGCTTTATTTGTATGCTGCAAGATACTGGGCACACCATGCTCGTCTCTGTTCCGAGCCCTCCGAACTTCTCCTCAAATTCTTGGGGTGTAACGAGGCTACGAGGGGTGCAGCTCAAGCTGATCACGTCGGGACATCGTTTTATTTGTCTTGGTTTTGGTATGAAGAAGAAGAAAAGGAAGAAGAAGAAGAAGAAGAAAAAATCGACTGGGATGAAGAAGGAAGCGACTGGGATGAAGAAGGAAGCGACTGCGATGAAGCAGAAAGCGACTGCGATGAGTACGAAAGCGAATTCTGCAAAACTCCGATCAGAAGGAAGCTACTTCTGCAAACTCCGATCAGAATTACACTTGGCTGCGAGGTATGACCTTCACCAAGCTGTAGAGGCGCTACTCGAAAAGGGTCATGACTTAAATGCCCTAGAGACCCGGAAAACACCACTTTATGTGGCTTTGGAACACGGAAACATAACTACCGCCCAGATCCTCCTCCGTAAGGGAGAGCAGGTCATCAGATCGGGTGGAATTCCAGTACTTCATGCCTTTTGTGCTGACATATACGGACATACCGAGGTTGACGTGTCAATGGTTGATGATTTGCTCAACCGGGGAGCTAGGATAGCATATGACTGTGGCAACTGCCCTTTACTAGTCTGGGGAGCTGGATATGACCAGGAGCAGCTTGTTGATCTCCTATTACAAAGGGGTGCCAAGGTGGAAAGTCTCAACGACTACAGATTTACGCCCCTGTTTGCTGCAGCTTCGGTGGGGCATACCACCGCTGCGCCGGCTGCGACCAACTCTCCCGCCATGCCCGGTCTTGCCGCCAACTGCGATGGCTTCTACAAGGTAGCATCCGGAGATTCTTGCGACACCATTGCCTCGAAGAACAGCATTACTACCACTCAGTTCAAGAGCTGGAATACCGAGATCGACGCTCGTACGTATCTGCCCCATAATCTAAACCCCTACGGTGCCCATTACTGACATCCCGTACACAGAGTGCACCAACCTCTGGCTCGGCTACTACGTCTGCGTCCACGTCCCCGGAGCCGTCACCCAGAAGCCGACAACCACCACCAAGGCTACCTCCACCAGCACCGCTGCTCCCGCCGCGACTAACTCCCCCCAGATGCCCGGTATCGTCGCCAACTGTGACGGTTACCACAAGATTGCCTCCGGCGACCAGTGCGGCACCATCGCTGCCAAGTACGGAATCACCACCGATCAGTTCCTGAGCTATAACAGCTATATCAATGCTCGTACGTTCCATGCCTTCCCCTCTGCCACTTTCCCCCTTGCCCCTTTCCCCCTTGCCCCTTTCCCCTATTCCATTCCCACTTTCCCCTTTCCCTTTTGCTTACCCCAACTAACCCACCTCTCCATAACAGAATGCTCCAACCTCTGGCTCGATTACTACGTCTGCGTCCACGTCTCCGGCAACTCCGGTCCTACTCCCCAGATGCCCGGCATCGTAAGCAACTGCAAGAAGTTCTACCAGATCAAGAGCGGTGACAGCTGCTGGAGCATTTACTCGGGCGCCGGAATCACGTTTGATCAGTTCAGGAAGTGGAACACCCAGGTTAATGCGGATTGCAGTAACTTGTGGTTGGGGTACTATGTTTGCACTGGGGTTTAAGGGGCGAGAGGGGGTGATTTAGGGGTTGGTATGAGGGGCGCGTAGGAGAGAAGAGGTCAGGGAGTAGGTGTGAAGGAGATGAGAGGCTAGGAGGAGAGATCTGAGGAGAGATCTGAGGAGAGATCAAAGGACTAGTACTTAATCCTAATGTTTCTGCACCACGCACCCTTCGGCCTTTTGCTTTGTTTCGTTCTTGAAGCTGCCAGTCAAGTATACAACATTCCTCTTTCGGTAGTAACCGCCCTCAAATTTACATCGTGAGTACGGTGTTGGCTCCACTTTCGGTTTGGTTTTTCGCTGTTTTCGACGAACTCCCAAGTTGGTGTTAGCGCTGCTTGCTTTTGTTGTGTTGGTGTTGGTACACTAGGAAGCGCGCCAAGTGGTAACTTCTCTGTTGGATGTTCCGTCACACTAAACTCCATTCGTCCTCCCTTCGTTGGATGGTTGGCCATGCTCCTAACCTGATTGCGATTGCGGTATACCCTTTCGATGTCGAGGATTCACATCACTCCTGATGCCGTTTTTCGAAGTACCCTGCCTACATACCTTATTTCTTTTGAGAGGGGCAGCAGTGTTGCGGTAAAGTTTGGGCTCATAGAATCGAGACGCTGGCCCCATGTCCCAACGGGATTCTTTGACACCTCTGGCTTTTGTCGCCATTGTTTCGGGATGGTGTGATGTCATCTGGCGAATGCGTTCCAATCTTCAGCGCTTGGTGCAGTTGTTCGGGACGTTGGCACAAACATGGTTATGGCGTTTTATGCGCCGCTCTGGCGTTGGTCGTTTTCTTCATTATGCTGGCCTTATGGTAGTCTTTCCTTCTATGTATTCGATGCTTTTTACTTGCATCAGGTCAGCGAGGGTCCGTTGGTCCTACACTCAGCGTCTATGGTGAGTGTCTCTGGTGGGGAGAGTGCTCGCCCCGTTTGGTGAGCACTTGGTCTCCGAGCCTCAAAGACGTCCGTTGGGACAGTCGTGTTTGAGCCCATACTTCGGCTGACCATATTCCTCTGCGCTCCTTTGTCGAATCCCCTATGTTGGCCGTACGGCGACGATGTTCGCGCCAATGCTCACACATGGTGATGGTTGGAAGTTGGTAATCTCATTTTTGCCTCGTTTCCGTCGTGGCCCGACTTCTTTGTGGATGATAGCGCGTGTCTAGCAACATGAGTGGTTGTTCTGATGACAGTCTGACTTATGGACGAAGACAGACGAAGGACATGGGTATAAAAGTGATGAGCCAGCGACGGGAAGATGGTAGGTTTGTGTCCTCATCATCGGTCAATCATTCGTTCTCAACACTGCGCAGCTCAAATTGCGATTATTCACGGAATCCGGACGGTCGGCGACCCCATTCACATTATCGACACATATATAACACCTAACAATGTCACGAGAGGTTGAACTCACTTATGGGGAGGGGACGTTGGTAAAGGGCACAAACGTTAAAGGGATTTGGAAGAAACTGGATTTGGAACTCAATGAAGCCTGCAATGATTTGGACAAAATACATGTAAGAGGCGGAAATCACGCAGGCATGAAAGCCAGGCTACAGAGCTTATGCGAAGGCCTCCGGACATGCGTTGGTTCCAAAGACTTTCCTTACAAGGAGCTTGAGAATTTCCGGGAATATATGAAGGCACCAGATACACTCCCGTCAGAGATATTCCTTCTGGTGCGGATGTATACCCTGGCTTGCGATGGTGAGTATATATTGCTGAGAGTTTAGTACCCTCGAATCTGTGATGATGATTGCTAAATATATGACCAGTACACTACAAGGCCAACAGATTGGACGTCGCTGAGGACGACAAGAAACGGGAACTTGCAGTCAGTATTCCCCTTTGTGTACATCAATGGATAAGAACCTAAAGCCTAACAGTGAATTTTTATCAGAATGGCAATCTGAATGATTTCAGGGAAAGGATAAACACGGCGATTGACAAGGTCGAAACGCATCTTGAACAACTTCAGGAGATTCTCAAGAATAATGCTCAAGTCGCTCACGCAGAAGCTTCGCAACAGACTGCTACCGGTGCCACGCAGGGTCAGGCTCCCCAACAGGCTGGCGAAACTAGTTTTCTTCTTTCAGATTCTGGCGAAGAATAACCGGCATTCAACGACAGTAAAGCTAAGAGCTTCACCTGGCTTCCAGCTATGACACTCCCACTACGATGAGGGCGTGTGCTGTTGGGGGGGAAGTTTCTCGAATGGGATGAACGGGGTTTCTGCTTGGAGTGTGTTCTGGAAATACACAAGGATATTGGTTGATATATGGTCAAGTGACAGGAAAGAGACCTGCGGGCAGGTCTATCGGAAGTTCAGCACTAGTCTTTCTCTGTTTTGTGATAGCTCGCAGCACCATATTGACAGCTGTTACCTCCCATCTTTTCTTCTCGTAGTATTCGTGGTAATACTCCTCATATCCAGGGCTCGGTCGAAAAGGTGTGATAGACACTCCGACTGTACAGCCGCCGGTTGACATCCAGCCATCAACAAACCACTGGAACAGACAGTCATAGGTGAGTAGATCCTCTCGTCAGCTCTTTTCTTGTCTTTTCATATTGTCATCGCAGTTTCACATCCCCCTAGATGGATTTCGTCAAGTGTCTGTTGTGTCATAAGGGTGACAGTCAAACTGCGCCTGGTTTGCACGCCTCAAGACCTGACACATACCGCGTCAGTCACCTTCGTTATGCCTGATACAGGAGCAAAAGGAACAGGAACCCGAAGTGACATGAGGATAAAAGGCCATGGGCCAACTTCTTCCAACAAAATCTGTCCGTATATTATCCACACCCAGTATTGTCCCTTACCTCATTCCAGACGAAGCCAACCACCCTCCCACAGTACCTACCTCTACCTTGTCTAAAATAGGGCACATCTCAATCATGTCCCAACAGAACCCATCCACCCCAATCTACCCCCTGTTCATGTTCCTCTTTGAAACCGAGCGCTTCTTGTTGGAAGCACTCAAGAGTCGTGATACGGTGGAGCCTGCGGTACACGAAGAGCTCAAAAACGCCTATCAAAAGTTTAGGAAATGGGGGATAGAGAACTACAAGTATCTTGCGGAAATGGCTGATGATCTAGAGAACAGTGAAGTCCACAAGCCGAAAAATTATAAGGGGTATCAGATACTTTTTTGGAAGTTCAGGAAGATGTGGCCTAATGTTTACTTGGGTAAGAAGACTCAACAATGGCTTTGAGACACGAGAACAAGAACAAAAGAGAAAAACAGGTAGCTGACACTAAAGGGGTGTAGTTAAACAAGTCATGAAGGATCGAGCAAAAGCCAAGGGAGGTCAAGAAACTCCAACCACGGCTGAGGGGGATTCTGCCACAACTACCTCTAATGCCTCCCAGCAAAACCCACCCAAATCAGAGCATCCTCCTCCCACCAGTGACACCACCGCCAACCTCTTCGCGAAATTCAAAAGCCCAGTCATGCTTCCCTTCGCCAAGTGGTGGGCCGAGGCTCAAGACAAGAAAGAAGGCCCACTGTTGCCCGCATCGAGCTTTGAACAGGCTATTGAGGGGATTTGCAGCTCCATTTCTCTTATCCTGGAAGATTGGGAAACGGATATTGCGCCTGATTTGATGCCGGAAGTGGAACCGCGGGAATTGAGCACTGGTGGTGAGGGTCATAGTGGGTAAAAGGACCGTAAATCGTTTGTTGGTTACGGTACCTAGGCAGCTTTGAGATAGGTAGGTAGGTACATGTAGGTAGAATGAGGGGGCAAGTGGTCGTATGAATAAAGAGAACATACCTAGACAGTCCAATACCGCTCCCTTTCGTTAAGAAAGACCGTTGCAACACTGTGATATGCCAGGTAATAAGTTGGAAGTATGTCTGGGTGAGTCTATTGAGCATTATTTGAACATGGAAATGTTTTGAATAGCGGTCCACAGGTACAATAAAGATATATGAATGCGTGTAAGAGTATTCCGAAGGTGTGATGTAGACCGTGAGGTGTTCGGTTTATTCTTACGACCGCTCGGCATCCAAGTGCCCGAACAGCAAGCAAAGCCATTTCAATGACTTACATGTACATGTTGAACATAATTTTACGCCTGTGAGACTGTTCCAGAGGTGTGAAAACGCTGGTCATTGCAACTATTCCGCTAGTCCTACTCATACCAAAACTAGTAGCTACCCAAGTCCCCTACCATTCGCGGCCTCATCTACGCTTTTTATATCCTAACTTTGATGAGGGCGAAGAAGAACAGTCATTCTCCCAGATGTGCTCTCGTTGCTCGTCCTCCTCAGCTTCCGGAGGGAGCTCCGGAGGAGGGCCAGCTTTAAGTTCCACCATCTCTAGCTACTGTCGCTACTCGGAGAAGAGAGCTCCTCCTCAGCGAAGATGATCTATTCCTTTCCTTTGCCCTTCCAATCAATCTTCTTACCATAAGCTTTCGCAGAAGGAGAGGAAGCCTCAGCCAACGGCTTCTCGTCGTCCTCCTCAGTATCCGACTTTTTGTCTTCCTCCTCGTTATCCGACATCTCGTCCTCCTCCTCACTATCCATCGTCTTACGCCTCTTGATTTGCGTGGGACGCTCCACAGATGGTGGGGAACGCTTTTTAGCCTGACCATAAGCGTTTGCAGAAGAGGAAGATGCCTCGGCCAACGGACTCTCGTCCTCCTCCTCACTATCCGACCACTCATCGTCCTCCTCGTCATCCAGCATCTTAAATTTCGGAGGCTCCGGAGGCTCACCAACCTCTCCGCGCCTCTTGACCTCCGTGGGCTCTTGCGCAAATGATGGGGAGCGCTTTTTAGCTTTGGGGGACGGACTGATATCGAGGGGTGCGAAGATTTCACGGGGTTCCAAGAGTCTGGCTGACCTTGACGGCTTCAAAACTTCGGGGGGCTTTGGGAATCCAATATTCCGAGAGACTCCAGCGGGTTTAGAGGATTTGGCGGGCGTTGGGGATTCGGCGGGCTGCGTGATATCGGGGGATGGGAGGATCTCAGCGGGTTCTAAGAGTCCGACCGACTTGGGGGACTCGGCGGGCGTGTTCTGAGAAGCTCCAGCAGGCTGAGAGAATCTGGCAGATTGAAAGGTTCTAGGGAAACTTGCGAATCCGGTGGGCCTCCAGAACCCCTCCAAGGATTTCAAACTTTCCGGTGGCTTTGCGAATTCAACAGGCTTTCTCGATTCAGCGGTCTTTGAGGACTCGGCGATAGTTGGGAATTCGGGGGGTCTCCATAATTCATCCAAAGATCTCAAATATTCGGGGGATTGTGTAGAATTAGCGGGCTTTCTCGATTCAGCGGTCTTTGAGGATTCGCCGATCGTTTCGGATTTGGGGAACCTCCGTAATTTTTCCAAGGATTTCGAACTTTCGGAGAACTTTGCGATTTCAGTAGGCTTTCTCGATTCAGCAGTCTTTGAGGACTCGGCGATCGTTGGGGATCCGGTGGGCAGAGGCTGTCCAGGGGGCTGGAAGAGTCCAGGGATATTTGCAATTCCGGCGGGCTTTGCGGATGCGGCCGACTTTGAGGGCCCAGCGGTCGTTGGGGATTTGGCGGGCAGAGGCTGTCCGGGGGGCTGAAATAGTCTAGGCATATTTGCAATTCGGGCTTGCTTCCAGAGAGCGGAGTTGATCTTGGCCATAATGGTCTGGTTGATGTACTAATTGACCTTGTGGACCTGGCGCCGCTTCAAGATTGCGGCAGGCTGAGACTCATCGAGAGTTTTACGCGGAATCCCCAAGCGCGAAGCGGTCCTGAGATCTATTGGCCTTTTGGACGGTATTTCCCCAGGCTCACGCTTCGTCGTTCTTTCGTTGACCAAGTCTAGGTATTCCTTTTTGCTCAGGGGTTCAGGAGGTGGTGGTGCTGGGAGATTTTCAGGGTTTATGAATTCCGATACACCATCTACAGTCATAAAAAGCTGTTTTGCTGCATATGGATATCGAGGACCGGCCTTCGTCTTCCCCTTTCGAGAGTGTGTATTCCAGTTGAATTCTAACAGCTTCTTGACTTTTGGCTGTACGTAGTATTCTTCGCTCAAATCTTGGAATTCTTGCTCGCTGAGGTGTTCCAGTGATTTTGCTGCTGCGTAGAATTTCGGGTCCAAATCTTGCGATGGGTCATCTACCTCCGGGTCGGCTTCGGCGGACTCACTGGAGGACTCGTCGGAGAGCTCATCGGAGGACTCATCGGAGAACTCACCGGTGGATTCGTCAATGGACTTGTCGACCGGCTTGTCGGTAGGCTCTTCGACGGGCTTGTCAGTAGACTCATCGGTGGGCTTGTCGGTGGACTTTTCGGCGGGCTTGTCAGTAGACTCATCGGTGGGCTTGTCGGTGGACTTTTCGGCGGGCTTGTCAGTAGACTCATCGGCGGGCTTGTCGGTAGAGTCTTCGGTGTTGGAGGCATCCGGGAGTTCCCGCAAAACCCAGTCATCGTATTTCGGTTTCTTGAGTAGCGCGCCGGGGGTGGCAGGGGCGAGCAGTCCGACACATCCTCCAAAGTCCCAATAGATAATATTGTAGAGCAGCCCGTATAGCCTTCTCAAGCAGTCTTCCAGTGCAAACTCCGATTCAGGCGTTTCTGAAGTCTGTTGAACACCGGAATGTTAGGTACACTGCTTGGGATTCGCCCAGCATTGCCTTGTGGCAGAGGTAACATGGAAGTTTATTACGTACCGTCCCTCTCACGTCGAGCAATCTGTGTGCTAGCGAGACGTCAGTGTCTGGCTGCCAGAAATAAAGGCCCATAGGCATGTTGTGGTATCAGAAAGTTCCTCACCTGCGTTCATCTCGCCCAGAGCCAGTGCCAGAAGTGTCCCGACATCCTTTTCTTCATTCGGATGCTCCCAGTCCACGGCCCAATCTTCATCATCGTCTTCTGGATCAAGCTCTTGTCGGTGATAGGCCTTGACCCACCTGCCAAAAATATCGGCGGCATCTTCGATAGCAAGAAACTCAAGGCGGCGATCCCTCATTATCTCAACTAGTGTTTGCACCCTGTGAGCGGCGCGACTAACTCTGTCGGGCGAAGCGAACAAAGGGCCGGACATCTTGAAAGTAATACAGATTCGTCGTATGCAAAACGGAACAAGATAATAAGGTGTGATGGAAACGGAAGAATACCCATCTAGAGTCTGGAGATGGCGATGAGAAGAAAGAAAGCAAAACAACAAACGGAAACGGGAACTGTGACTGTTGGTCCCCTAATCTGTGCAGGCCTAATTCTTTCCGCTTGCCTGATCTTGATATCTGATCGATCATGGAATGGGCTTGCCTGTTTTGGAGGGTACTCGGCAGCCATGGGGTGGTCAAACCTGCACACGTTTCCCCCTCAACCTACTCTTTCCTCGCGGAAGGGTCCTTGATCAAGGGAGCACCTTCACTTTGGAAGAGCAAAATCACAACACAGAACCAATGAACGCAAAGGAGTCCCTCAGCCAGCGTGCTTCTGACAATTTGACCCAGGCAAAGATCTTTGATCCTTCTTTCACCCCCAGGAAAAACACACCTGCTTCTTTCCCCAATCCCGGACCCATGATTAGAGGTCACCAAATGGCTCTTCCAGACCTGGATGGGCTGGCTGCCTCCTATACCGCAGACTAAACTTAAGGGTTTCAAGCATTTGGGGACGGAGGTGGAAAGCATCAGGGTCATCATCTTAAGTCCAATTACCTGCGCCCATGCCAGTTCCCTCTTGGGCCTTCCGAATGTCCTGATCACAGATCTCGTCAATCTCGCGAGCAGTGTGCCACCGGTGGGTCTTCATGTCGAGCAGCCGAATGTCTTCACGCGTGCGCAAATCGGCATCGAGATGGGTCGCCCCAAACCATGAACTCAGGCTTCGAGCGCCCGACACACAGCCAATGTGGACTTCTTTGAGGTTGCAAAACGATTGGAAAATTCTAGGAAGTTCCTTGTCTCGAAAGGTAGAAGGAAATGGCTGCAAACCTAATCCTCGTAACCATTTTGGCAACCGGTAGGAAGTCCGTGAGGTTGCGAGTGTCAAGGTCGAGCATGTCAATATCGACATTCAGCCAGACGTAACGCTTCTCGACACCTTCTGGGACAACTTCAAGCTCGGAGAAGCACTTTTTGGTATAATCCGAGGGAGCGAGCTTCGCGGCATGTGTGCAGAGTTGCTGGCACCGGTGTATTTGAAACAATTCGCTTCAAGTCGTCTCGTTCAGATCCGTCGGGCAATCTCTTGAAATATTCATGGGTATGAACCTCGACAATGCGAGGCTCAACGGTCATTTTACAAATTCGAGTACGAAGCTCCCAAGGGAGGAAAGGGAACAGGTGGAAGGTGGTGGCCATGGCCGATATCTGAGTAAACAGCCTGGTTAGTCCTCGTGACAAGACATGAACGTGGAGGGACGAACGAGAGGAACAGTCTTTGACTTTGACGATGCCGTCTTGCTAACACCTACCGGAATGGCCTGCAAACCAAATCGCTCCGGAACCAACGACTATAGTATCCTGGTCATTATCCGCTGTGGCCGTTACAGCTTTCAGTGTGCATCGTCCCCAAAGTAGATTGCTTAGATGATGTTCACGAAGGTTTCGAAGATGTTGATGTTGCAGGGAAGAACCAAACGAGGCAGAATGGTAAAAGGTGGGGTGACGTAGCTTGGCTGGAGGTCGGAGCTGCACTCAACTGCACGTGCTATGGTGAGTGGCTGCCTGCAGCAAGTCTTTCTCACATACTTGTGTAGAAGTATGTTTACTTGATCCGTCGCACGCATGTCATGGCCCCGGCTAACCGACTCATGCAATTTTTCTTCGTGGTGAACAAGATTTAGCCAGTTGGAGATGGGCTTTTTGGATGGTTGTTTGGCAGACGTTTGTTGTCGGTATTCAAGATGCCATCACGGCGATGTAAAGCGGGTGTGTAGAACTGACTGGACCTTTTGGTGGAGACTGAGTTCATTGATAATGGGTACTGTGGAGCCACTTCATAAAAATCGGACCATATCAGTTCAATCGGGTATGGTGTAGCGGTAACATCGTTGACTCTCACTTCTCAGGAGTGACTGCTCTCTCAACAGCCCCGGGTTCGACTCCCGGTATCCGAGTCTCAATATCTTTTTTTCGGGTTTTTTTTTTTTTTGCTCGCATCCCATTTCGAAAACCCCAACAAGGTGGCAGACAAGACAGGCCATCCACTTGGTAGCTACTTTTTTTTTTTTCTTGAGATAGTCCTGGACAACAAGGGCAGGTGTGCGAGCATGACTAACAAACAATCTAAACGGCATCACCCGTGAGGCTGAGAGACACGCATAGTTTGTGTAGCAGGAGGTTTTCCTCCGTGTAACCCGGCTGCAGGGAGAGCGGCGTAGGCGGCTCACAAGGCTTCTTGCCCAGTGCTTTCGCAGTTGATCGGAATTCTCCGCGGGCCATGGTGAGATCGGGACCGAAACCTGGAAAAGTAAAGAGGTTTGTTTCAAGTTGAGTGGAGGCAAAGAGGCCCAGACCGAGAGCGGCGTCGTGGTGGTATCCAACCACGAGTGTCATAACCGCGAGAAGGTGATGGAGTTGCGCGATAGGCGGGGGATGTCGTCAGACCGTGGCCGCGAGACATTTAACGGGCGGGTATTGGGGGAGGCATGGTTGGCGAAGACCTATCAGTGAGCTGGATGATGTTGAGGTCCATCCATGGTGATCTCCTGAGGTTCTTTCAGCACTTCCACTCACGAGCCATATCCAGAGTGAGGAGGAGCCAGGAGAATGACGTCGGACTTGTGCCTAACGCGAGCGGGAAGTCGGATATCGGACCATCAGCCGACTCCTAGTCTCCAGCCGTTGCGGCTGATGTTTGATGAGCAGGGTATCGGGGATGTTGTTATTCATTTCGGCTACTGGCTCTCGTGAGTGGTTGAGGTCAGGAAGAGACGCGAAGCAGCTTGTTGGTTTTGACATTGACATGCGTGGCATCGTTGGTTTTGTGGAGATTGTGCAAGTGGAGACTGAGTCTGTTGTGCAGATCCGGTCTCCACAAATCTTAAGACCCGCCAGTGGGGACACTCTGTTGAGGCTATTCCGTACAAGGTCTAGCTGCCGTCTTGTTATCTCCCAGCATCAACCTTGACGTCAAACCTCGAAATCCTCTCACCAGAGGCAAGGCAAACACGAGCAAGATACCTATCCTTCCTCGCCGTCTTGGTTCCAGTTCACAGCCGTATCCGATAGAGGCTGACGTTGGGAGGACTGACGATGACTGGCGCAGATGCGCAGTAGCAGGATCCTCGCCGCCTGCGCCCATGTCAACATTCCAGTGCTCGATGCGCTGCAATGCATCTGGTGTGCAGACCGCCCATCTGTGTACGACATCCGGCATCGAGTACCGTCCGTCTGTCCAACGTCAACGTTCCATAATTCCAGAGGTTCAGAATGCTCGGCCCGGTCTCAGAGATGATTCAGTTGGTTCCCATGAAGGTTAGCCTGAAGCTCAAGATGGCATGGCGCCCAGCCTCAAGTCCCCAAGTCCCAACACACTGTGATCTTCTGTCACTTTTCACCTCTTTTTGCAACCTGACAACCTGACCCCGAAACCTTATTTGGACCGCAGCCAACGGGCGGGACGGCATTAGCGACATTGGCGACATTGGCAGCTGAACAGCACCGCAGAGTCGAAACAAGCGTCAGCACTAGAGAGATGACCCGCCCTTGTCAAACAACTTGCTTCTCTCCCACACTGTTTGTCCGTCTGTCTCCAAGAGCGAGCCCTTCACCATCCGAAATCCGAGCTCCTTCGGCATTCTCGATGAGCTATTACTGCTCACTGCCTCAAACCCAGTGCGACGCGACCGATCCCCACGACATAGCTAACTTCTTTCTCTGTTCCCTCCTGCTGTGTCTCCAATGGCGTTGTGGGGGGCATCAACAACTCCCTGGCTCCCGGCTTGTTGGGACCGATCCAAGGTTGGTCGCTCAACGCCGGGGAAATGCAAGTTGATGATCCGTCTTACCTCAACCACCCTCGGTAAAGATAGACATGCCTCTAGCATGCTTACCTGGGCCATCCATGCTATATGTTCCGCGCTATAGGGTGTGGAGACGATGGTCCGTTAGTGCTCTGCACTTTGCAAGCAGAAGCATAAAGATCACTTCATCACTGATACACTACTGAGTTTAGGTAGGTATCAATGATCTCGAACAGCTCGAACGACCTCAAATCTTCCAGGCCTGACGATCCTATCAACAAAAGAACAGGTGTGTCTGCGGTGCCTGACATTCCCTATCTCACCACCAAACCCACATCAGCCAAGCCCCCAAACATCTACATGTCGATACTTATACCACACCTACTATACCAAGTACATCCATATACCTCACCCACTCACAAAGCTACATACAATCTCGCGTTAACGTTTCCCTGCAGCAAGCGCAGACGTTGCTGCAGCGTAGTATCCGCCCACCCACCCATCCATCCAACACAACACCCAACCCTTCCCTCCTTTACATTCTGTGAAGAAATTGCTTGGCGCGCAGATTGCCAGATTGACACTCTGCCTTACATGCACACCGGTCTAGCGCCCAGCATGTTCCCAGCTTCGCCGAGGCTCCAACTGCCTTCCTATTCCGAACTGCCTTTCCCACTCTTTACCATGTTACTTACGGTACGGTTCATGCATGTCATGTATCGATGCTTACAACACTGCATGGTACATATAACCAACCCGTTATTGACAGCAGCTAGTGTAAGGTAGTGACCGTGAAATATCCCGACCAACCAAGGGACCAGGCTCCGCAGGTTGGTATTGGTGAGAACTGTTAGGTGCAGTGCAGGCAACAAAGTTGATATCACATTACGGTTTCGCGCGACTGTGCCGTCTCCCCGAGCCGGTAGTGGCTTACACATCTACACCGAGAACTGAGGGGTCCAGGCAGGTGTCGGCCCGGTATCATGAGACAATGAGGTAATGTCAGGAGGGATGGGCAAGTTCAACGACGAAGCAAAGACGGCAATGAAAAGACGAAGAGGGGGGAAAGAAACAAACCAGGGGATGTCCGTAGGAAAAGAAGAAAAAAAGAATGCTGGTTACCGACGCAGACATATCAGGGTTTTTGGTAGCCCCTAATCGCTATTAACGCCACAAAACTCCCAAATATCGGGCCCTTCCACATCCCCAGACGGCAAATCCCCGTTACTTATCAGTCCACAATCCCAAGCCATCGGGCTCCAAGACGTAGTGTAGCCATTCCGTCCCTAGCCTCCCGCCCTTACACAACTTGAAATCCCACCGTTCGGTCGGCTATCTGTGTCATACCCCCTTTCCTTCTCCCCCCCTTCTGCCCTCTCCAGACTCACTCAGTTCCGCCCCGTCTTCTCACGTATGGCAAGATTGATCATACCACTCTGTAAGTAAGCCCAAGGAGAAAAACATAAAAAAACGGACGGCACGGCTTGTTCCGCGGTGCGGTTGTCGGGTTCCGGGACTTTCCTTGACTGTGTGGAGAAGGAAAAGGGTGTGAGAATGGGAGTCAGCACGGGCGGGTTGGTTGTATTTTACGTTTTCTCGCCTCCTACGGGCAGTCCAGCCGTTTCTTTCTTTCAAACGCCGGGTGCACTCCTTCGTTCAGACCGACCCGAGCCTAACTTATCGATCGACCAGATGAGAGGATACTTCACTAGGTAAGTGCCGGTTGGTCTGTTGCCTAAGGTACCTCTACTTAGTTTAAAGACAAGCGAGAGTGCACTGATCACTGATCACTGATAACTACGCGAGAAAACTAAACGTACAATGACTAGTGGTAACGAGTGGCGGACAGGCTGGAGGGCTAGGTACTGAAGGATGGACAGACATTGGCCGCAGTTAGTGGATGTAGTGGAGCTGAGTAAAGAGGAAGGAGGGTAAGAGGGTAGGAGGATAGGGGGGTAGGAGGGTAGGAGGGTAGGAGCCGAGAGCAGCAAGATGGAGATGGCCTGGAGATTGCCTGGGGAGAGCAGTCACTCTGTCATCTTGCCACCAGCTTGCCATATTGCCAGAGTGCCCGGCCGGAACGGCTCGCATGTGAGTCGAGTAAGCTCAGTGTGTGTGTGTGTGTGTCAATCATATCACTTAGGTTTCGTCCTCCTCTTTGTCACTCACTGTTGATCTTTGATAGCTCGGTAGTGAATGTGATTACTATCTCATGAGGTTCTGTTTGCTGGCAACATCCCAGTCTCTTCTTTGCTTCACCTACTGAACGCGGAAGACTGGCTGCCTTCTCGCTGCCTGGCTCGATGTTCTGTGGCAATTGAAGCCAAGAGACGGCCGGGAGCCCAAGACACTTGCACATTCATCCACTGCACTCAGCGAGTCCAAATGATAATGCGGCATTATGCCCTGCTGCCTTAGTTTTCCGCTTGCCCGCTTGCCCTGCTTGTACCGACTCCAGTCTTGCACACTCGGCCAGGCTGAATCATCGCTCACGGCCCAGCTGCAAACTAACCCAACACTGTGCTTTTTCTCAGCTATCATCTAGCGGCATCCAGAACTCACTGTACTTGCGCAATCTTCGGCATCTACTTAGGCTCGTCACTCACGTAACACAGCCAACGTCCAAAACCCTGGAATCTCAGAGCTGTGGCGGGGTTGATCTACAGAGCCAGCCCAGTCTGTGACACCTTCCTAGTACCTTACCGTCTGCCTACCTTACCAGCTTGCCATGAAGTCCACGCCACCTACAGGGGCCGTCTGGTGTCGGAGTACTGTAGAGTTCTGGATGCCCCTGTGGTAGTACAAAGTCTGACATCGACAAGGGCCTGACATTGACAAGGGCGGGTGATAAATATGAGGGAAGCGCCGTTCCCGCCGCCGGGGCCGCTGGGGATGAAACAACAGCTTAACTGTCGCGGCCTCCAACACTGTAGCTGTAGCTGTTGGCAACTCCCCTACCCACTCTGCTAGGCACTGCAGTTCTAAACACTGGATTGGAAGGAGGTCACGCCAACGACTACTACTGTAGAGCAAGCGAGGTACCATCACCAACAAGATGTTAAGAAGGGTAGTAGAGCGATCGATTTTACCATAGTTAAGATTTGGCTCACTAACAGAGGTACATGTTAGGGAACTGGTTTTGTCAACAGAACTGAACTGGAAGGAGTGTTGGGACTTCAGTTTGTTGAGCTGCAGTGGTTGACGTAAGAGGGTCCGGACGGTACCTACCTAGCTAGTTGTTGTTTACATCACAATTGTTGCTCCTTCAGTTCTCTGTGTGGAAGGCTTGGCTGCCCTTCGTTGATTGTAGACGTCCTGAGGGGTAACTACCAAAGTGACGCGGACGGCACTACACTTACTACGTACAGTGCGGTGTTTTCGAGGGACTAGTGATGGATCGTACTTACCTGCCGCGTACCATCGTGATGTACGATTGACCCCTTTTGGTTAGTTGGTCGGGGCTATCGGAGTCAAAAACAGGAAGGCTCATCCTCGACTCTCGACCTTTTGCTGGGATCTCTCGCTGTCTTTCTGCAGCAAAATAATTCGGCAAGAGCGTATCATGCCTGTAGCATAGGAATGCACCACACAAATCATAGTAATGACCAGCGCATTACTTTGCGCATCGTAACCACATAGTGACTGCCATAAGTAAGTTAGAAAGCGTAGAGGTTTTGGCTTAGCCCTGCCCGACCGAGAAAGCATCGACCGCGCTGCTACTAACAACAATTGAAGACCTAAACCCAACTTTCTTTTTCAGTTCTGGTAAGTAGCTCGTGGGTTGAGAGCTTGTTTCATCATGCAGTGAACTCAAGACGACCGATGAATGCAAAAGTAAGGCAACGCGCAATCTCAGAAAACTGGTTTAAAATAGTAATAACGAAAGAAGCCGAAGGTAACGCGAAAAAAAAAAGAATACTTTCAGTACAGCGAATGAAAAGAGAAAAAAAAGGCCATCGACGGGGTTGAGTGTCCGGAAAACCGGAGTTCTCCTTGCTAGAAATAACCACCTTGAAGACACCTCTAGAGCCAGGGAGGGGTGTGTACGCTCAGCCTTGTTTCTCCGTCGCGATGAATGGTATGCGCAATGCAAGAAGGCAAAGCGATACCAACCGGCCGGTCAGGATCGTGGCTTGGGGTAAATCAAGCACTGGAAAACGGAGTGACCAACAACGGAAGGCATATCAACCCGCCTTCACAGCCTCGATGTGCCGCAAACATACACCCGACCGCCACCAGCCTGGTTTCCGTCCCCGCGACCCGTCTGAGTCGAGCAAAAGAGAGACAGAGACGGTTCATGGAGAATAACAGGCTCCAAAAGTGCGCCTATCGTGCTCTGTAGAACTCCGCCTCGCGCTTCTTCCCGTCTGGGGGGGCCAACAACAAAAGCCGTGTTCCCGTCTCAGCGCAGTTCCCCAAACCTGTTTAGCCCCTTGGACCCCAAATCTTCCGCAATCTGTCCGTCTCCCGTCTCCATCATCTCCACCCTTTTCCTCTGCTCTCGGCTCTGAAAAATGAAGCGAACGTGTGAAGTGTCCCAACTTCCTCGTCAATGTGTACTGACATGGAAAACATAGCGACTTGTTGGTTGGCGAACAATAAGAAGTAGTAATAAGCCAAGTAACGGAAGACTAAATAAAGAGAGCAAAAAACCGGGTATCCTTTGCAAATGCCGCGCGATATTTCATGCCATGTGTACCAGTTCCCTAGCCCCTGCCTTTGCCTTGTTTCCCATTTTCCGCCTTTAGACCCATTTTGATGTCCCTACAAGGAAAAAGAAGATAAACACAGTAAGAAACGAAATGAGAAAGACATGGCCAAGAAGGATGTTTTGGAAATGTTCGCTCCATAGATTTGGCGACGGACAAGAATGGTGTGAAAAGGAGAAACCGCAAACATCAACAGGGGAAGAATGATATGTGTTCCTTCGCCGATTGTCCTGTATCCCCGATCCCTTGAGTTGCTGCCTTATCCTATCCTTAACCCAAGCCCCTGCCCCATGTGTGTTACCAAATCCGCAATGAAATCAGCGCAATGAAAGCAATGAAAGGTCCATCATCATTAGTATCGTAGCCATCCACGTGTGCGCATACGTTCGTCCTCCCATAGCTCTCCTTTCAGCAAGTGACTGACATCGTCTTGCTTAAGTAAACATCAACCAGCTCGAGACAATGCAATTGCTTTTCTTTATTCATGGTCTTCGTTTGACGTTTCTTCTTGGCGACATCACATTGCTGGACCATGATACAACGGTTCCGGACCGCATGCCCACGAACCAGATCTCCTTTCTGGGAGTCTATGTCATATTCATTGTCGAAGATGGCGGAATGCTGGTGGGGTAGTACCCACTAGAGCTGCTTTTGCCCTCAAATCTTCCGCAGCGTTGCTGTGAGTAGTATGAGCTGACTGGTGGATAAAACATACTGGGAAGGCCATTCTCCCCCTCGGGCTTGGCTTTTGTCGGATCATAGCCGCTGGACATTGAGGGAACAGTGTTGCTCTCTGCCTCCGTGCGACTGTGGGAGAACAGTTCAACCTGTTGATGTCTTGGGTCCGCATGCTCACTCTCGTAGATCGTTGCGGGGAAGTATTGGTATCCCTTGTGTTCCGTCATCGACTTGGCTTCGTCATGGGACATCATGGGTTCCATGGTAAGCTCATGGTGATGCCGTGCTCCATAGCCTCCTCTCGGGTCACCAAATTGCGTGAAGCCGCCAGGGAGCATCGAGCCACCAGGGTGGTAATCGCCGCCAGGCCCGAGGACTGAAGAATAACCGCCGCCAATGCTACCGGCGCCGGAACCCCCTGGCCCGCTGCTAGTGCTTCCTCTCCTCTCATTCTGATAATGACCTGGAGACCGGCCGCGGACAATCATCTTGGCTGACTTTCTGTAGGCTACCTTGATGTAATTGTCTGCCCCTCCCTGGCTTCCAACATCAGCCCATAGCTCGACGATGAGGTGGTAGTATTGTTGAGCAGCCCTCCTCTTGCCGTTGTTCGCCGTGGCCTGCTTGAACTGTATACGCTCGAAGGTGTGCTCAGTTGGGAGAGGGCTTTGTTGTTGCCCGTATGGCTGGTGGTCGTATGCTCTGGATGAAGAGAGACTTCCGTCGGGGTTGTTGTACAATCCGCTCAGAGGGTGGTGGGTTTGTTGAGCCGGCTTTGGTAGCAACCGGACCTTCTCGGGCTTGGCAACCGGCCCCTTGTCTCGCTTTGGCGTATGCTGAACCAGCTCGATTGTTTGGTTGTCGCTGTCGGCTACAGCTGCAGAGATAGACATGGCAAAGCCATAGACTGTATAAGGCTGTGGCGATCCAGTCTGAACAAATTGGATCTCCGTGGTGGGAAGGTTGGGGGTCAAAGAGAAGGAGCAAACACAGGAAAAGTAGTTGCGCCTGTAGCAGGTCCACTGCTCCTCAGCAAGGAAAAAGCCCTTGTCGATGATTCCGGTAATCTCCACCTTGATGGGTGTTGCTTGAGGGCCGCCATATGAAAGGACACCACACTCGACGATGCTGGTAAGGGGGGGTATGTTGGGTTGGGTCTTTGACCCGTATGTGCCGTCCATCCTGTGTGTGTTGTAGGTTGCTGGACTAGGGGTGGGCGATAGTGGATGCCGTCTCGAGGTTATGCCGCCGAAGGATGGGGAGCGTGGAATATGATGGTCTTGCCTCCTGAAGGTTGGTGTCGTGGTTGCGTAGCTGTCTCGAATGCTGAGCTGGGAGCCTGGGTGCGGCAATGCGTTGGATCGAGGGGCATGTGCCATGCCCGAGGCAGAGGTGCTACTAGTTGGCGTGTAAGCCTCGGGAAAGGGGTGGTGTTCCATGGCACGATAGACGGAGGTGGTGCTTAGGGGAAAATGTCTGGTATGGAGGCTCAAAGAGGAGGGGAGATGTGACACATACTTGGAGCCCAGTCGAGGCCTGACGTCCAGGCTGGTGGAATAAACAGTGGGAGCGGTAGGGAAATAGCCGTGGGCACCTCCCTCAGTGTAGCCGGTTGGTGGAGGGATCGATAGGGGGTTCAGGTTTATGAAGGAAGGCTGAGGCGGCGCCTCGATCGTCGACAGCGACGCGGTATTGTCTGTATAGCTGCTTGAGTGAGAAGAGCGGATGGGTTAGCAACAGGTACCTTGACTGTAGAGCGTCTTGCTTTGGCTAGATTGCCGAGAAGCCAACCACCCCGGACTTGAGGTGTCTGCCTGTCGTGCACCTCGACGGTACAAAGCTCCTGCCTTGCCTGACCAGGTGCTTCACGCTGCTTTGCTTGCTCAGACTGGCTGGCTGACTGGCTGACATTCAGTCTTCGCGCACCAGGCCTATCTGGCTGCCAATGCTCGCAGCTTCTCGCAACCTGAACGCTGTGTACTTTGATGCAGCGTTCAGGTTTCCCATGCGAGACACAAGTGCGCTTGTAGGACGGGGCTACGGTAGCTCCCACAACTCTCTGGTCGTACTGCCAACACTTGGCGTTGCACGGCTAGCGATGCCGACAGGATCGGAAGCACGAACACAGCGCCTTGCGGCAGGGCAACTTGCGCAAGTGGATGTAGATCGAATGAGAGCGACAACAATGGTGAGAGCAGTAATCTGGGTGCTCTAACTTGCTGATAGGCTGTAAACTGCGATGAGGCAGATCTAGCGCCGAAAGCAAGTACCCATGTTTTTGTTTTGATCCTATGCCTCGTCTTTCCTGCCCCTAACGACAACAGTTCTTGTCGAAGGTGTAATCGTTGACGAGTGATGGATGGCAAGAGTGGCGGGAAGGTAGGGGTATTGCTCTTTTTCTCAGTGCTGCCGCAAGCTACCTCGCCAGTGGTGAACGGGAAGAAGCCGAAGGAGGCGGAGGAGATTGAGAAGATGAGTGAAAATTGGAAACCGGGTAACGGTAGCAGCCGGCGGTCTTGATGTGAGGTGAGGTAGGGTAACTCAAAACCGGTAGCTCGTGTAATATGAGATAGCCGTGATGGTAACGGCGTTCGTGACGGGGAGATCGGGACAGGCGGAGAGAAAAGACTAAGAAATGGGAAAGTGTGTGCGGAGAGCGGACCGCGATATGGCTTTTTAACGCTGACAGGAGCTTAGTTACCCATTCCTTCGCTCCACTCGCACACTTGGGTTGCGGGAGCTTCGAATTTGCGGCGTCTTTTAGTGTGAATGGCAAGGGTAGGAGGCCGGCAAGGGTAGCTAACTGCCCACTGGTGTTGAATGATGGAATAAGAAAAGAGGCCGGGTAGAATGCAGGACAACTACACACCATGCCCGGTATGTTTAACCAGTCCACTGCCCTTGTACAGTTCGTGAAAATGATACTTCGGTGAGGTAAAGGTAGGTACGGAGACGAACCAAAGTTACCTTGACAGACCACCCACTGTCATACTACCACCGTATGATGCAGAAGACGGACAGTGCCAGTGTGAATAATGACACTGAGATGCGATTTAATCTTCCACTCACGAGGGTGGAGAAAGGAAGGGAAGCAGAGAACGATAGTACACAGCCAATGAATCGAAACGTAAGAAAGCTTGTAGTGTAGTTACTTACCGCATGTCGGCTGTGGTTGGGGGGATGTCGAGACCGTAGTCAAGCTCGGCAGACGGCCCAAAGTCCTGCTAAAAATATAGCGTCAGTCAGATTTCTTTGCGGACTACCACTTTTAGTTTCATCTGATTCCCTGGGCATGTCATATGCTTCCATTCCTCTCTTGTCCCATGTCTTCCGTCCGACAGCAACCAGCAGCGAGATGAGGCAAGCAAGCAAGGCGTGATTTAATGAAAAGCCAAAGACAAATTAGTTGTCTGCCGTTTTCAGGCAGGGGAGGGTGTTCACTGAGCGGTCCTGATCGGTCCTGCGGGGTGCAACATGACAAGACGGCTGTGGCACGGCTTGAAGAAACTCATGGTGATGTACCCATCAGCTATGTAAGCGGATGTGGATGCGGTGCCAGACGACTGGAGGAGCATTGAGCCAAGTGATGATGCCGTTCCTGGACCATAACCATTACCGGGCTATAGGAGCCATCGGGATTGACTGGAGAGCCTAAAAGAAGCCGCAAGAGTAAGTGTTAGCGAATGATCACCACAGTCCCCATAAATGCTATAATGCTACCTAAACGAGTCGCATCGGTGATAGGTATCGTTCACGAAACAAGGGGGCTGGAAGGGAGATAGCATAACGGGAGCGAGACGTGCCAATGGAAGGGGAAATGGAAAAATTCGAGGCATTTCGAAGACGGGATAGAGTAGGGAAGCAAATCGTCTGGTCCAAAGTGGGAGGCAACATGATGTTTGCTCGCTGAGCTGCACTGTTGTTGCCATGCCTCGTCCAGTCTCATTCCGTCTTGTCAACATGCTAGGGTGTATGCAAGCAAAGCTTAGGTACATGGTACCAGACAGTGCCCCCAGCCGCGCAACGGCAACAGGGGAGTCAGAGACAAAAGGCAGGCTGACAGGCAGAGAGGATGGTTGATGGGACTGCAAGTACACACATAGTGGTACAAGCAAGTACCGCCTGCCATGCAGAGGTACATCGAGTCCTAAACAGTGAGCTTGCAGTTGGCCGTCTTTGGCCCGGCCAGACCAGTCGGAACAAGAGCAACACGGGATTCACTTCGTAGGGTTGCCCCTCAAACGATCGGGATGGAACCCTGCCGTCGTACAAAACGCGTCCAGAAGTGCATCAACTTGTTCCTTTCAACTGATGCTCTGATGGCGTATCCAGTGCAGATCTTCCAACCGTTGCCCGAGAGCGCTTGCCCGACAAAAACTAGAGAGGTCTGGAGCTTAGGAAAACTCATAGACTGTGAGCCAGGGCATCCGCCAGCCAGCGAGAGGCCGCAAGACCGACCTGGTGGGCCGGACTAAGAGCGGAATGGAACGCACTGGCGGCCGAAGATGGAGTCGATGTGCAAGCCTTGTCAAAAAAAGGATCAAGACAAAGCCGGGAAAGGCCGAAAGACGTGAAAATTGTGCAGGAGGTGAGGGATGTGATCATCAAAACTGCCTTTCACTAACCTCTAGGATTGAACATAATTCATTTCTTCCGTCTGCGCCGCCGCTGGCTACAGCATCGAAAGACCCCGTTGTTTTTCACCTATGACTAGCCGCGTATTTGTCGTGGAAAACTCGGCTTATTCGTCTTGATTGCGCTTATATTGATGTCATCAACCTGGCCCCGGTACAGCCGAGTAAGATTTCGTCCGATTTCGCATGCCGTACAGATAGCTGTCGTCTGGTTCGATCGCCGAAGGGTCCAGGGAGTCCAGGTCCAGGGTGCTGCATACGGCCGTAGTGGCCGCAAGAATCAAGGGTCGGATGGAATAGGCGGGCAACGCAAAACAAGACCATGTTGTATCAAGAATTTAAAGGAAAAAGAAACGTGAACTAGATGGAATGCGTATTTACCTTTGAAAGCGGCGGATTCATACGAGGCTCGTGAGTGAGAAAGTTCGCTAGTGAGTGCGTTCCCTATACGAAGTCCCCTCTCCGGGGAGTAAGTCAGTGAATCTCTTCCGCTACAGTGCCAGTGCTACCCCAAAAGGTAGTAGAAAAGAGAGGCCATCTCGCGCTCCAATTAGGAGTCAGGCCTCCCAGGTCAGTTATAAGAGGAAAAGAGAGCAAGTTGCGAGTGTCCGGGTAAAAGGGAATCCAAAGGCCATGCCTCGATTCCATTGCTTGTCCTCATCCTCTCCCTCCTCTTGTTCTCCATCTTCTGTTGTTTTCTTCATCCTCTTGGTTCTCGACTCAGCAGCTCAGAGTGTATTTCTTCCCGATGTGGCTTGCTAAAACTTGGTTGAGGATTTGATTGGTTGACTGACCTTGATATGCGCCCCTGTCATGCCAAGCGGTCAATCTACACCCCCTGTACAGCGACGAGAAAACAGCGGTTGGTGCTTGCGTCGTTATAACCTAACGATAGAAAAAAGGGTCCTGTTAGCATAACTGATCAAGTCGTTGGGCTACTCCACGAAGGGAGGTTCGGTATAAGGTTGTATATGCAGATATATAAGGATGGAGGGCACGGGCAGGAACGTGGGCAGGGAGCGAGAGGGCAAGCCCGCTGGCAAAGCAAGCGACGAATGGACCAGATGGCCCGAGACGCAATCTGAATCTGTAGCCAGGGCTCACGAGATCCAGGCTCGAAGCTCTCTTCCAAATCCATAGAAACTTGATGTTATTGGAGAGAGCTGCAGTCTTTTTTTCCGACCTCTGCCCCTAGCTCCCCATAGCTGGCTCGATGTCCCGAGATCTTGGCGGTATCGCAGCGAGGGCTTGGAGCCCGGCCATCACGGACAGAGTTTTAGAAGGGGTGATGCACTAACATGCAAGTCAGAGAAGAAGTGTGTGTGCCTGGTCGGGATCAGTGCTTGTCCTACGTGACCAATGTCCGCTCCGATTGCTCAAAGTGATAATATGTGCAGGAAGAGTGGTCGCTACAGCCGGGAACCACAACCCCGGGTTTATCGGTCCTTCCAAGCAGGGTTCCGGCCGACAGCGAGAAAAAGGGGGAAGGAAAAAAGAGGGACAGGCTGCGGAAACACATTATCTGTGATCCTCTTCATCTTCAGCTCACCTTATTCGAAAGTTTTCTTGTCCCTCAGATTCTGGTCTGGTATCTTTGCGAGATGGGTACGTCGGCTGACCGCCAGGTTATGGCTTGCGGAAAATACGGCGCGGTAGAAGAGAGGCTTGCCGATGATCTTGCGGGGATGTGGAAGTCGGGAAAAAGAATCGCTCTGGAGATTCGCTCGGTGGTGCCGTAGCTGTGGCTAACTTGTTCAGAAACTTTCCTCGACCGTATGTTTCCGAGCGACGATGGCGACCGCGATTCTAGGCTGCTCCCAGCGCGTCTTCACCTGATGAACCAAGGCAATGACGCCGTACAATCTGGTCGAGTGCAGGATCGCAAATAGGTGGCTTTCTAGTGCCCTCGATGGGACCCCGGGTGCGGTGGCTTGAAGAGGATCGTACAGAGGTGGCAAGAAGAGCGAAGGGAGTGCGGGAGTTCGTTCGGAAGTACGTCCAGCACAGCGGTGAGTCGTACAGGCAGTATGTGTGTATCTCCAGGCTAGGGCTCTCAGAACGCCAAAGAGCTCGTAGAGTAAAGGGAAAACCAAAAGATGCAGGACGGGATGGTCAGAAGGGATAACTATACCTTCTTAAGTTCAAACACGAACAAGATGGGTAGCGCAGGGGTTTGAGACAACGACGATGGGACACATGGATGCGGAGAGAAGTCAAGAGTCCCTGGTCTTTTTAATCTTAAGACAAAGCCTGATGTCCTTCCTCAGACGAGGCGATTAGGTGGACCGCGCTTTTGGTTGGCATTTCTATGCAGTAGCAGCCAGAGAGTATGATGACCCGTGGAAGCCCACGTGTGAGTCTGGGTAGAGGGTCCCCCATAAGCCTACTCCGGTGATTGAATCGAAAACACTACGCAAGACTTCAAAGCAGGGGGCCGCTCGAGTCACAAACCAACACTTCCTCTTGTCTTAATCGATAACTTGATCGGCGACCGGGATGTCAATACAGTTGATGTGCTTTCTACAAAGAAGACAATACGCATTTCTTGGGCAAGCAAGGAAAGGAAACAAGAAATTCACCAAACATATCTGCGTGATGTGACAGTTGGGCGATGTTGTCATGATGGTGCTGCCTCAAAAGGTCCGGATCTTTCACTTACCTCATTGTTAACCTTGAAATGTTGAGTGGTATCCGTTGCAATACCGTAAGGACCCGTATTTGCCAGCGATAAACATCCGCAATCTTGAGGTCGAGGTATCAAAAGGTTCCGCGCCAGGGTAAATCGCTTCTCTGCTGGCTTCTTTGGAAACCTCGTCTTCTATGCATCAGGGTATGCACGTATCCTCCCTCCAAGGACTTCTACAATGCGCCACAAACATCTGTTTTGATTTGAAGAGAAACCCGCCGGGCAAGGAGTGATGCCGCAGAGACGGGTAAGTGCAGACGGTTGACAGGCTTTGGGCCATTGAGAGTTGGAATCCTGCCACCCTAATCGGATGTCCCAGTCCTTAAGCCCAGTACTGCTTCATCAGGGTAGATTGCTGCAGTAAGTTCGCCTGCGCAGTTCTTTGGCTGACTGCCTGCATCACTCAAAGTCAGGCGTCGGTGATGAAGAGGCGGAAAGGTGAGAACAGGGTCAGGCCAAGGTCCAACCCACAACGGACCAGACATTGTCAGCCAGAGGAAGGGAAATTCCGTATTGCAGTAACGACGTGCCAGCGCAGAGCTGAAGGCCCAGTCCAGAAATGCAGCACGCCTTCAGCTTTCGGCCCTATAGGTTTGACGTGTTCGGCAACGGCCGAACAAAGCTCTTGCAGGGAGACCAAATCAAGGCCATACAGGTCTGTCTTACTCGATGGAGCGGGGCCCCTTGTACCGACACATGAGGTATACAGTCGACGATGTAGTTCCGCTTCGAGACACGGGTCCAAATATGCCTCTTTTCTGTTTCCAAGAACCTCTCGGCCACGATCCCGACGTGGAGCCTCACAAGCAGATTTGGACGGGCACCTCTTCAGACACAGCCGTTGGAGTGGCCCGGGCGATACGTCCGTTACCGGGATCGTGATGCACGCCATCGAGAGAGCATGCAAACTGCCCGGGGCCCGGCAAGGTAGTGTTCGGTGTCCCATCTCTTTCTTGCCCCCACACACCAAAGACCAAACGAGTAAGGGGATGCTCTGCGGTAGGGAGGTCAGCAGCTGGGCTGAGGGAAGTTTCTTTTGCTCCATGATCCATTGGATTTGCCCGTTTCAGCATTGGGGTCCAATCATGTCCTACTGTGTTGGGACGACCCTTGGTGCCCCATGACTGAAGGTCCAGCGAGACGACGGGCAGGGGGGGACGAATGATCAATCTGGGAGGCACGGACGAAAATACCGCTCGGCCGTTCTTTTTCCCCTCGCCAAAAGCTTGACTTGGAAGTATCGGTACTATTCTCCTTGTTGCTGCCTGCCGCTGCTGATCTGATGGTTGCTCTACCGCGTGGCCATTATGAGCTGATGCTGCCGATCCATGAGAAAAGGGGTGAGTGGACGAAGGGCAGGAGGTCGTTTGTGCAGGTTTCCGTCTTTCTTCGAATAGATGCATGTGTCCAGCCATCAAACCCGAGGCTGGCGCTAGGCTTGCTGGTGTAGAGCGCTCCTATGACTCCATAGCGGAAGGGGGCAAGAGGTTCATCCAATTGTTTCAGATGAGATATTCTTTCGGCCGTTTCGTCTGCTACCCGGGGGGTTCAGGCAGGTTCGGCCAGCGATTGGCTGAGGACTTGCACAGGATGACAGTAAGAGGTACTCGGAAGAACTGCTTGTCCTTGAGGAAGCAGGTCGTTTTCCTAGCTGATCCGGGGTAATTAGAGTGAATGGCATGGCTTTGCGTTCCTGTTTCGACGATAGCAAATCTCGGATGAGGGTTGTTGTAGTGCATTATCTTGGAGTCGTTGAAAACTGACCATACGGAAGCGGGTGAGACTTGGCAGACGAAGAGCTTATGGAAACAGGTCTTTTTCTCAATGAAATACCGGTATCATGACTGCCTCAGCGATCGGTTCGGGCCACTCAGCGAAACGGCTCAGGTTGCGTTGGCGTCCAGGTTCCGGCTCAAACAAGAAGCGCACAAAGCGAAAGGTTTTGTGAGGGCAGCAGATGTTTGTTCTTCTAGAATGCGCTGAATGCCGGTTTCATGGGCCATTCCACACACCAGCCTTCAGAAACACTGCACCTGAATCTAGCAGAGCAGGCTGGCAGCCTAGCAACAGGGGCAGCAAGGGCAGCAGTACTACGCAATGTCAGCATGGCAGTTAAGCAGTCTGCAAGCCTGCTGGGCGGATGGTTGGAACACAAAAAACGCCCTCGGGGCTTGTTTCTGGCGCACCCCATGTTTTCCCACACCTCTTTCGCTGCAAAAGAGATCTGTGCCATGTGACACATCACTCCCCGGCTTTTGACAACTCCAGGGTCCTTGCGTGGGAAACATGGATTGCAACGACGGTTTGGCAACAATGGTGGTGATGATGGTGATGGTGATATGGTAAAGGGTGGATTTGGTGAAAGTGCTGCCGAGTTGCACGCCATAAAAGTGAAGATATTCGGACTTGACACCTCTAGTCAAGCCCATTGGCAACATGGTCAAACCCACTAAAAAAGATGGAATTAGCGTCAGCGTCAGGCCGGGTTGGGACTGTATGTACCTGTTTGACTCTGACTGACTGCCCTGGAGACGACGGAGTCTTCTGCTAGCTCTGGCTGTCTCACCTCTTCAGCAGTGCATCCACTGGACGGTACCTGGTTCTTCTCAGTGACCACCACAGTCCACGCCAATGAACCAACCGAATGCAGAGGTCATGGCCTGGAGGTAACACATGTCGTGCAGCCACTGCCGCAACGAGACTATATCGCGTCTAGAGTACCTAGAAAGTCAATCAGCGATGAGTTGGTTCCTTGTTTGTATGAGGCCAAAATTCCGCTCGGGTGCCTACCCTGACGTTCGCCTGAAGAGAAAGGAGATGGGAGAGAGACCGAGATTCTGGAAGCTGATCGCCCATGCATGTTGATCCGAAAATCCAAACGTGTCGCGAGGCGCCATGGACGAAGATGCAGACGAAGATCACCCATCCATGAAGGATGAGAACATGCAAGTCAGCATCATCCGTCCTCCGAGACGGGTGGTCGAAAGGGCGGGTGGGAAAGACGAGCTCAGATCCCGTCTGTCTGTCGAGAAATTCTCAAGCACTACCTCAGGTTCAGAGACTCATGGCTGATAAGACTGGAAGCTGCTAATCCCTCCAACGATTGGCTCCTTCGAAAGAGAGACTGATAAGACTTTGATGAGAGAAGAGAACGGAAGTTGCTGGATGGTTGAAATGGGACAAGTTCGATCGAAAACGCCAAGCTCCTTCCCTCCATTTGCCCGACCTGCCGAACCCCCACTCTGGACAATGTCCCCACTTCTCCTCGCATCCTGAGTGGGCACTACCGCTGTACCGCACCCATTTCATCTTGGCGTGCTTGGCTCTTTCTCTCCGCACCGTGACTACTCAAGACCCACTTCGAAAACCTCAACGTCACACCGGTCGGGGTCTCAGAATGAGAGAGCCATGAAATGGAAGTCGCAGAGTGAACTCATGTCTTCTTCATGGACGCGGTACTTTATTTTGCATGTCTCTAGCACCCCTTTTCTTTTGGATAGACTTGGACCAAGTCACATGGAAAGTGAGGGCTTCGTCCTCACAGTGCCAGCTCCAGGCAACATAACGTCACGGTATCCTCAGCTCTGGCTGCGACTGCCCTCTCTGGCTTTGCAAATTGAATTCGACTTTGACCGGCATGGGGAATTTCGAATGGGAAAGAGCGCGGGACAAAATCGAGGGGGTAAGGGGCGCTTTCCATCTCTGTTGCGACAAGTTGCAGCCCAGATTCCCCGATTCGGTTCCGAGGGGAAATAAGAAAGTGCAGGTTCCTTCCCGTTATGATCACCTCACTCGGTCACTGCAATCCAGTCCCATCGATTTCGCCCATCGTTCCAATCTCGCCACGAAATCACTCGCTCCTGTCAGGCCAGCGCAGGAAGTCGCTCCTTGGTCTCATCTTGTCGCACAGTTTGTCTCTCTCGGTATTTGCGATGGAACAAATGAGTTTATTGCGAATCCGTGTCACCCGCTTCGGCCCCCATGCTCCTGCTCGTGATGTATGGGGTGCCAGTGTCACTTCCGTTGGCCGCTCAGGCCTGCCTGCCTTTCCGAATTCCGTGACTGGCCCTGACGAGTACAGTCTGGTCGCTGCTCGGGAAGAAAAGAGGCAGGAGAGAGAGGTATGGGGTAACACTCCTGCCCTCAAATCACACCACAAGCTGTTAGCAGTTGATGCTGTTTCATTACCGAGACCTTTACCCAGCACGAGATATCGACCGGATCCAATCAGCTTTCGCCGCGGCCTTTGTCATCAAAACAATTCACTGATGCTTTTCCAGGTATCCGTCATGCTCTGCCCTCACCGGTCGCAGGTCTCTGTCCAGCCCGGCGGTTGCTTCACCGGCGACGATTGGTTGGTTCACCATTCCATCTCCAGAGGGTGTGAAGCTGGACCAGGATGTGACGCGATGCTATGCAGACATTAATGCTGTCTCCTCATCGGTGAGTCGAGACGGTCCAGAGTATCATCCAGGGCTTGCCGTCTGCCTGCTTGTTGCCCTTAGCGCTCGAATCATGAAATTCCACCGGGCATACAGGCATATTGTATGGGCTGTTAGGCACAAACAGTTGCTCCCTCAACACATGCCAGCATACCTGCTAGAGGTACAACGAGTGTGACCCATCTGTGTCCTGGCTATAGGCACTCATGAGCTGCTTGGCCTATCTAGGACAGAGAAGCCGCTTCCCGGTTGGTTCCCCGAGGTTCCCGGGCATCTTCAACAAAACGGTACGAGCAGGTACATAGCCGTCACGGCCGGTACAACACCACGCTTTGATGGTATCAAGTCCTTCGGCACAAGTTGGGCCCCAAAATGGGTTGGGAAACAGACAGTCTACCCAATGGCTGTCTTGAGTCTGGTTACAGCAGAATGTGACAAGCTTAGCTAAAGGTAAGATGATGAGCCGTGCTCTTGGTGTCAGACGGACATATCACGGCCCCTAATTGTTGAGTGCTTAGGCAGTCTGTCCGCGATCAGTCGCCTGAGGGCGTTTGAGCTCTTGATGTAGGCCATAATGCCACATGGTTCTGGTGGCAGTCGGGCAGCACCTCGGTTTAACAGGTCCTTTGCGCGTCTTCAATACAGCTAATCAAGCTCGACTCCCAGCAAAGGCCATCGAGCGAGATGGCTTTGCCATCCGTGACAATTCAGCAGTCGACAAGAACATCATTGGACTTGGCGTCGAGGATGACCGGAATCCCCTGCGAATGATCATCAACGGATTACTGATATCATGGGTATCTGAGATTTTAGCCCCATACCCAAGGTGTTGAGAAAGGCAGACATACGAAAACACAAAAAGGCTTCAGAGCTTACATACGATGCGTTCACTGCACCCTTACCAAACGTGATGGCTTCGGTTGCCTGCCTACTCGAAGGGGCTATAGATTGTCCAATCAACAAACAAGAAGGGTGCAGGTGTAACTACGCCGCCTCTTCATAGAAAGCGTCTTCCATTTCCCACCCCAACTCGACTCCAACGTCTGGACAGACACATCCCGACGCTTGGTACGTGCATTCATATCGACATCTCCGTCATGGTCGTTGCAATCGGGCAATCACCGGTCGTTCTTTTTCAGCGACTGACTTGATACGGCAGTAAGGCGTCGAAGCATGAAGCTGTCTGCATTCTCGTCCCGGGCCCTGCTCCCTTCACGCAATTTGGCCATGGACTGGAAATCATAAGGAGCTTCGTACGAGACCACCCTCCTGGGAGCGGTCACCACATACCCGAACTTGCGCAAGTCGCTGCAGACGGGTATCCTCAGTCCACGACCGCTACAACTACCGAGCCAGGGGCTATCTGTGGTGCTTGGACGCTCAATTTGAGGGCACTTCGGGCTAATTTGAGTTTGCCAGAGGTTGCTCAAACATGGCCTTCGTCTCCGAATCTAGGTTTGTTTTTGCTACGACTTCCAAATTCGATCGCTAACCCCTTCCGAATCCGGCCCTTTAGACTTTTGTTTTTGTTCAACTATGCCACGACAGACAGGACCGCATCCTTTTGCCACCGAATGCCCCGCCGAGACGAACCATAGATTGCACCGCCGCAAGCGTCATGCCGTGACCGAAGTGGGCTCCTTCGATCTAGCCCAAGGTGGATAAGGAGGCTATCACAAGAAAGAGCTTGGCAAGGCAGGCTTCCTGGAGGAGCGAAATACCGTCCCCATGATGATCTCAGACCGGCTGGGTGCCTACGTGGCGCATACTCCGAAGCGGGTAAAGTCTTGAGTTGATGATTTCATGGGCCTGGTGAAGACCCGTGAGTCTCCGGCCTCTGCGTCTCTTGCTTGTCTCGAAACCGCACCCGCATTTGCCTGTCCCACAAGCATGTCACTACACGCCTCATATCTCGGCCCGTCAGCTATGTCGCTCAAGACGGTAGATCATGGTTACTCGATGGTATTCCCCACTTGACCCGTGGTAATGTGTGACAGGCTTTCAGTTCGAACTTTACGCTTGACACATTAATCGGACGATGATCTGCTTGTCTCATGGGAGGCCGTGGCCTGCTGTCAGGGAACTGCTAGTCTCACCAAAATGGTCTAGGGCGTAACACGGCGCCGATGTGTCTCCGATTATGGCAGAAGTCTTGTGTGGACATGCTGGGGGTTGAATGGCTGTCTGGGATTGCCCAGGGGCTGGGCGTCAGTTGGCCCCATTGTTGTCCACCGTGGATTAGGGTGAGACAAGATTCAGAAACCACCCTGACTTTTCCATCATCAAATGAAGCAGCAATCTAGCGTTGCCCAGTTTGGCTCGGAAGTCTCGGAGTCCGCAAGTCACCACCAAGTCGAAGGGACAAGCAGCCGATGGTGATGGTTGATAACGTCAGAAAGGCAGGTGAGCAAAGCTGCAATCAGCATACGGCTATGCCTCCAAAGTCCAGACCATTTTTGCCTCCCAGTCGCATAGACTGTGGAACACCATCAGGTAACGGGATCTTTCGTGATGGCTGGTACCTGCACGGAAAGGTTGGATGCCTGCCATGCAGAGATATCTTGGTTGGGGCAGCTTGCTCACGATCCCGTCGGAGCGACACCTTGATGCCTCGAAACTCACCAAACATGGCACCACGACGACACGGAAGATGGGCAACCCTTCACACCCGATTCGTAAAGAATACTCTAAGGAGGGAGGATTTCTGGCTTGGACATACTAAGAATAGCACCGGCAGACGGATCATGAGAGGGGATAGGCGCCTCGTTCTTAATGCATGCGAGGTCCGGACACGAGATCACACTCCGATCAGGGCGCGCGAACATGCCGGGGCTCTCATAGGCGCTTCGCCGTCATCACCCCCCTGGTCGGTCTTCCAATATGAAGATGCAGAAAGGTTGTTTGAATCAGCAAGTGCAGAAAAAACACCCGGGATCATGTCCATTGCTGGCTATGTCAGATCCGGGATGGAGGCCTTTTGTCTCGACAGCATGATCAGGGGGTCTTGCAAGCTGACGGTTGAGCTGGCATACGTCGTTCAGTTGCTTCACTTGATTGGCAAGCCCGAGATATTTTGGGGCTTCTTTCTCATCGGACTGTGTCTATTTGAAGCAATAGTCACGGACAAATATTCGGCGCAAGACAATGCTCAAATCTGCCCCCAGACAAGCCACCCATCTTGAGGCTTATCGAAGGCTTCCGGAAGCCAACCTAATCCCCATTGGGACAAAAGGTAAACAAGAATTCCGAAGATAATGAGGACATCAGGGGTCTTCTTCCGCTGGGGTAACATTCGAATGGATTACAATGATCTTCGGTCATAGACGGTTAGCTTCTCAGTCACCTTCCGGATTGTTCTCCGGTCTTTCTGCAAGCTGTAAGGGTACGAGACACTTCAAACCAGCTAGTCGTCCACGGGGTTTGTTTTGTGCGAGGGTGGCTTCTAGAAGGCAGGAGGTGAAGCCACCAAAGAAAAGCTGGAGAAATGTGGAAGTCGTCAAAACATGCACCCCCCTAACGATGATGGCGGTGCCAGGGCCCGCGACGGGATGGGGCACCACCTATTGGCACTGGCCAACTGTATTGAAGGAGGCTCCAGCACGGGCCTCATCAGCACACCCATGCCCGGAAGCATGACCTGCATTTGGGGACAGGGTTTGGGCGCCCGGACCACTCAGAGGCATCGGAGGCGCGAGAAGTCTTGGCCTCGGTGTTTGCCTGCCCGTCGGTGCCGTTCCTCACCTTGACTTGTTCCTTCTTCATTATCATCAGCATCCAGATCTCGGACTTGAGTGGTTGGATGACGTACCCAAGCTGATCCAGTCAAAATACCTTGCATACGATGGAAGTTGCCATCCATACGATACAGTCATTTGCACCATTGCCATCCACGACGTGATCCATATCCGCCCTGCAGGGCCCCATCTCGTCGTTGCCTGGAGGACGCGCATTGGTCAGTTTGGAGGCAGGCGGCGACGACGACTCATCTCTGCTTACAACAGCACTCATCTACACTACATCCAACCTCAAGGTACCTCTCAGCACAGTTACACGACAACAACATCAAGCTTGACATTCTCCAAGTACCTACCAAGCAAGTCACCTCACGGCAGGCAAATCGACAAAGTCCAGTCGGCGTCAGAATCAGAAGCTGCGTGTTTCCGACAAGGAAGCTGCACATTGCAGGAGACTACAGCCTCACCACATATCTGAACCCGTGTAGTCCTCAAGATTCGTTTCTTGGGTTTCGAAGCACAGGAGAAGACCACTTCCAGGGTTACCTAATGCCGAAGAAGAGACTCCATTTCAAACAATATTCCAAACCGCAGTCAACTGCTCCAGCTTCATTGAGCTCCACCGCTGCGGGCGCCGGCAGCCACAATGGTGCGTTACCTGAACTGCTACACCACCCTCTCTGTGTAGCCCGTCAAACCCATCCATCATCTCATTCCCTTCATCCCTTGCCTTACCATGATAGCCCTCCCCACCCCCTATCTGGCTGTCTAATCCGCTGAATGGGCGGGTGCATGACCCGCAAAGCCATCGTGCTCCTCGAGCCTCGCCCGGTGCCCTTGGCAGAGACTGTTCATACACCGGTGATGGATGCCAAGAGGGCTGGCATAGTGTATCTAGCATGGCTTGTTGTACTAACACACTGGACTATAGGTGAATCAGAAAGCCGTGGTGTCAATCAGCTGCTCGCTGAAATGCGCCGTTTCGGTGTGAACAGTAATAGTAATGCTCAAGGTGCATTAGATGTTCGGCCGACGGTGCCACCGGTCATCCGGGACATTTTACAGCTACCCGAGACACCGGCGCCTAGGCCGCGTCCGGGTCGGGGCCGGGGTGGACCCCGTGTGGATGCCGCCGGTAGAAGGCTGCCTCCCGGTCCGGCCCCGCCACAGAGCTGGCTGAATCGGCCGGCACACGGAATAGTTTCCACAGTGCCTCGTCAGTCCGACTCGGACGAACGTCGACTAGACCAACACATGCTGCCTGAGCTGTACCTTCCGGCCAGAGGTAGTCTGATCGACTTGACTCTCCGGCAGTTCGCACACAGCTGGGATTTTCAACGAGAGTATTGTCACTACTATATTTACCATCTACCTACACATCTCCGCGAAGCATTAGTGGCCTACCTCAGCATTTGGAGAGACCCCGGCCACGTAACTCTCGCAGACCTCAAAGCCATTCTCCTCCCTCCACAAAAGCAAGAAGGCGACGAAGATGAGGACGTCGAGCTGCTAGAGGATGAATACCTCGACCCCAGCATCGCAAACAAAGACTTCCGCCACCTCGACCTCTCCCACTCCATCGGAACCTCCCTCTCCCTCCGCGAACTCACCGACCTGCTATTCCCTCCCAAACCCGCCGCCACCAAAACCATCACCGCCGCGTCCCTCCACACCGCCGAACTAAAAGAATCATGGGAAGACTCAGCCGACGAAGAAGATGAACACCAACCCGAAACCCCCTCCATCCCCCGCCCCCTCCTCCCCAACCTAACGCACCTCTCCCTCTCCCTCCCTCCCAACCCTTTTGCGTCTTCCACGTTCACCTCCCCCCATACCACCCCTACGGGTAACCACCCCTTACCCTCCTGGCGCCACCTCCTATCCTTCGCCTCCCACCACCCCACCCTCACCCACCTCTCCCTCGCCAACTGGCCCGAACCCTCTCTCACCCCCAACGCCAAATACGCTTCCTTCGTCACCGACCAGGGGAGGAGGGTGCAATACGGCGGTACGGGTCCCTATAGTCACTCGCTGGATAATGATTGGTCGGAGGCTATTTTGGTGTTGAGAAGACTGAGCAGGGCTTGGTATAGGCTTGAGTGGTTAGACCTAAGAGGGTGTGGGGGGTGGTGGGAGGCATTGTGGGGGGTTAGTAGGGGGCCGATGGGGGATTTGGACCAGGATGGTGTAGAGACTCATGGAGAAGGGGGAGAAGTAGGGGATAGAGTGGATTGGAGGGTGGATTGGGGGAAGGTAGAGACTGTTGTGCTTGGTCTTGAGGAGGAGAGGGGGAAGTTTCCGGTGGATGGGGTGGAGGAGGTGGTCGAAAAGGGGAAGAGGTTGGAGAGACATGTCCGGGGGGTGAGGAAGGGGAGGGGGAGGTGGTTTGCTGTTTGTTGATGTGGTGATGGGTGAGGAGTGATGAATGAGGTGGCATGGAGAAGGTAGAATGGAAATATTGGAGGGATATTCATATGAGCGACAACATAGACATAAAAGCATGTGGATACGAAGCATATAACAGCGAAAGCAGAATTGACCTGGCAACGTTTTGTTAGGAGTACAGTCAATTGGCGAGCACCTACCTGCCTTGAAGTCTCGGTTTGCGACTCAGTGAAGTGTGGTTGGATGGCACTTCTGCCCACGCCCTCTCTTTTGACAGATAATGATGAGTAACTGGATGATGGAAATGATGTTTATTGTTCGTTTGTTGATAGGGACCGACATCTGGGATATCCCCATCCGTTCTAGACACAACACTCAGCAATACGGCAATCACAGGTTAATAACCAAGGCTTGGAGTACATTCTGTACTCTGCTTGAAAGAACAGCTTTCCGTTTGCAGTTGCAGCTGCTAGTTGAGGAGTTTACATGAATGAATCTAGTGTTTGCGAGCATTGATGCTAGCCTTCCTACCACCGATCACCAACTGAATCAGAACTGTTGGTGTTTTTCACAGGTTACTACGTGTTTGTGACTAGCCCTTTCCGTCCAGAAAAACATTGATAGTTAGAAAGCAAGTCCATTCATCGCCACTAACAACGCTCGTCTTTTTTTTGCTTCAGTTTCTTTTTTCTTGATAGAAACCTCGTTGGTAGGTAGTCTTATGTCTTTATCCAGCCAATCTGAGCGGGAACACTATGTATCATGATTTGCAGGTGAGCGTCTCCGACGCATGTTCATCAAGTTAAGTAAGGTACGAGAAATCCAGATGGCTCCCCTTCTCGGACTCTTTTCTCGATCATCATCATCATCAGGGCAACTAATGAAGTATGAACAAAAAAAAAAAAACAAGAGGAGAAAAAGGAAATGAATGCCAAAAGAAAAGCAAAAAAAAGACAAAAAACATACAGCACCTGGGATTCGCTGGTCGTCACCGACCCAACTACTAGTCAAGCGATTGGTGGCTTATCTATGGGAGAGCGGACGGGATCCCGAGTTTTCCACCATCTATGGCCGTATGTACTTATCGTATAGAATATTCTCGCTTATGTACCTAACCTCACGCTACACCGAGCATGTTTGGTATTCATTGTCGAGAACGTCAAAAGCGTCGTCGATGGGTGTAAGGCCGGGTTGTTCACCATCGTTGCATGACCTCTGTGTTCTATATTCTACATTGAATGAAAGAAGGCCGGGTGGCACGAAAGCGGCCGTTGCCCGTCTACGGCTTTCTGACGAATGCTTTATTATTTGCTGAACCGGTGGTTTGACGACGTCGGTACGGGACTGTCAAAGCCCATGTCAAGAATCATGTGTAAAAATGGATGGACTGGGTCCTTCTTGGAGTATCAGGATGCTCGAGCATATCACGAATAGTGTTTGGTAAACTAGAAAAGTTCCTGCCAAAAGAGTTAGGATAGGTGATGAAATCCATTGGACCTTGTTCACAAAAACAAGAGACCTCGGCTCGCTGAACCTAGAGTTTCAGATTCAATGGTTACCAGAATTAAGGTTCGGTAACAACAGCCGTCAGCATCATGACGGAATAACCAATGTTTCGAAGCTGGAAAGTGGAAGTTAGCTTGTGGATGTTGTTGGCTGGTTCCGTCCATATCGAAAGCCATCCTCCAAACATTCCGCATTGTCATGACAAGCGCGAGGCATCCCAGTCACCGGCGCTTGTTTTGGCGTTGGTTAGGGAAAGCGTTGGCTCTGGTTGCTCGTTCGCCGTTGGTGACCTCAGCTGCGACTGAAAGATTCGATGGCGTTGGACATGTGTAGCTGACTGAATGACGTGAGAGGTCGAGTCCCTTCTCCACCAAGATCATGCCCATGCTCCGAAGGAGATACCGAAGGAGGGAGCTCCGACGGTGTGTAAGAAAGTTGCACCACCCCGCGATTTCGGTCATGGGCCTCGAGTGGAAGAAGGAAAAAAGAAAGGGTTCTGGACGACCCGAACTTGAAGAATGAAGATCCTTGTCAACAGAAAGCACGAGCCATGGTGGATCTTTTCTGAAACAAGCTGTTGAATTGAACAAGCGGGAAAGGCCAGCCAATCAAATGCGATGCCTGGCTGGCGGTTGGAGCCCGATGTTGGTCGCGACCGTGAGAAAGAAGGAGGAAAAAGACCAGACCCCAAATACAATTTCCAAGAACCACAATGCGCCGCAACTTTCATTCCAGTTGAAACATTGCAAAGAAAGCACATTGTACACAAAGTGGAAGAAGGGGCCCTTTCTCTGGTACTTTCCGCATTGTTGGCAACAAATTCCTTTCATTCCTGGTTTTTTTAGAAAAGAAAAGCAAACAATGGCAGCGGCAACATTGATCCATTTGTTGGCTTGATGATGATCGCTCCTCAATGACATTTGACAATGGAGCACGGCGGGAGCGGCCGACGAGGATGCACTGTCAATCACTGACCGTCAACTTGGACTTTCTCCGTCCCATCCGGTATCAACTACACGGTCTACACCGTGGCCAACGCCCGTGAATCCGGACCATCATTGAAGAAACGGACGAGCAACAGTTGTTGACAGGAGAAGAAAGCGCAAGTGTGAAGAGTCCATCACGGAACTGGTTAACACGGCCGATAATGCTCGGGGCATGAAGACAAATTTCAGACGGCGTCGCGCTATTTGCCAGACTGGCCCAGCGTCCCGCCCGCCGAATGCTTCATTTGCGCGATGCGACGATCTGGCTTGGTCGAGTCTAGCAACAACAGCCGGCCCTGCTTGGCCCCCGCCCGGTTATTTGCTCTTGATAGGGAAGCGACCCATTATCACTCCCCAAGTGGAAGAAGGTCAGGTCAGGGGCAGAAGAGTCAAGAGAGGAGGTGATGACAAAATAGCAGCTTATCGACATGCGGCAAATCAGGCGCATTCAGAGTTCTGACCTCGATGAGATTTGACATGGAAAGCGTCATGCACCGAGAACTTGAAGTACAAACGCCACGTGAAGCATGAGAGAAAGAAAAAGTCCATGATGCGGGGCGGCTGCGACGGTTGCTTCTCGGTTGCTGTTTCCACTTGGTCCAAAGGGATGCTCGAGGTGCTTGTGAGGGTTGCTTCCTGCCAGGAACAACGCACATCCAGACGCAGGTACCGTTCAGTGGGCGACGCGACGATTGGGTGAGGAAGGAGAGTGCCGACTGCCGAGCAGGGAACCCCGTTGCTCAATCTTAAAATTAAGGAAATTGGATGCTTGTGCACCTCAAGCTGCCAAGTACCCTCACCGCTGGTTGCTGGTGTAGGGGTACCTGTGGGCGCTTGCCGGGGTAACAAGCAGGTAAGAGAGGACCCATTCGTTAGGTTCCCCAAAGTGGCCCCTTCCCTCCCCCCAGGTTTACAGCGGTCGCCAGCTTCCCTTTCCAGGCGGTCCCAGGCTTTCGCAGGCTCCCCCCAGGTGACTCCTCTTTGTTGCTGCGTGGATTCTTATTTGATCCCCCATCCACTCTCTCTCCATCACACTCCTTTTTGTTTCTCCTTCTTTTTCGTCTTAACCTCTGATATAGTTTCGCCTTCATCTTGTTCTCGTTTGAAGAACCTGCCGCTCCCTACATCCAAACAAGAGTTTTGCACTCTACGACATTCGTTTCTCAGCATCACCTACGTGACAGCCCTATTAACGACGCACGCGTCCTAAATATCTAATCGACTCTCCGACCGTCTTTACTCGATCGCGAAATACCAAAACAAATCAGCCAAAATGCTTGTCAAGTCCTTCACTGCTCTGGCGGCTCTCGCCCTCGCCGCTCAGGCCGTCGCCGAGCCCATCCGCATCGGCACGCCCTACAAGGCCAACAAGGTTCACAAGACCTCCGTCCGTCAGTTGTTCGGTGTCGTCCGCCGCCAGGACAACCCCGGATACCAGCCCGAGCAGACCGTCTGCGGTACCGGCAACACCTGCTCTGAGGCTTGCGGTGCTGGTTTCGAGACTTGCGCGTCCAAGGACGACTCGGTTCACTGCTACAACGCCGGCGCCGCTCAGATCTGCTGCCCTAATGATTCTGGCAGTAAGTTGCTGACTTGGTGATATGCGATCAAGAGACCATGATGCTGACTAGACTTTTGCAGGCTCGTGCGATGCCGGTTACTACTGCGCTGCCGACAACCAGCAGGAGACCTGGTGCTGCCCCGACGGCATGGGCCTTGAGGAGTGCGCCAAGGCCTACGGTGTCGACTCCGGCCTTGTCTCCCAGACCGCCGAGGCCACCTCTACCTCTACCACCTCTACCAGCTCGACCTCCTCGGTCGCCAGCTCCACCTCGACCTCTAGCACCGTCGTGAGCACCACCAGCTCCAGCAGCGTCGTTGTTACCACCACCAGCTCCGTCGTCGTCATTCCCCTCTCGACCAGCTCGGCCGCTCTGACCACCTCGTCTGCTCCCGCCATCACCATTCCCGTTTTGTCCTCTTCCTCTATCGTCCTCGTCCCCACTGGCCTCATGCCCACTGGCGGCGCACCTTCTGGTGCTAACGGCACCTCTGTCGTGGTTGTCTCTCCCCAGCCCACGCAGTCTGAGGTTGCCATTGGCGCTGGCAGCGTTGCCAAGCCCGCCGGCGCCTTCCTCCTGGTTGCGGCCGGTCTCGCCGCCCTTCTCTAAACCCTCGCTGTGGAATCAAGCCTTTGGACTACTTGAAAGGGCTTCACCGGATATCCACCGGTAGCTCAAGGGCACTATTGCTTTACTACGAGATATGAGACACGACAGACCGAATTCGCCATGGTGGCTCCCTCACATTTTCTTCTTCTGTGCAAAGTTGGGTTGCTTGTTGGACTCTGGACATAACTCTGTTTCTCCACGTTACGTCATTGAGCGCAGGATTTACATTGGACGCTCGGGGCGAATATTACTTTTTCTGGTGTGCTTTTTTCCCGGGAGGTTTGGGGTGTTGCAGGCGAAAAGGAGTGGGAAGGCAGTATAGTATGGCGGCTTTGTCCGCTTGCGTTGATAAGAAAGACGGATCACATACACATGCATTCGCGAACCTCTCTGTATGCTTCGGGTAAAAAAGGGATATACCGCCAGGGCTTGACCCTCGAGGCGTTTTGAGTGATTTACCTGTGTTGTTTTTATTGTGTTCACCATAATATTCTTGTTCCTAATTTTTCCTAGAGTCAATAACATGCCAACTTTTGCACAACATTGTGAGACTTTCCCCATGGGGAACTTTGTAGGTGTCTTGACGTCGTTCAACAGGCGCCTGTGATCTTGTGCTCTTATCGGTGACAGCCAGACACATAGCTACTGGACGCGTGGTTCCCCTCCAATGTTGTGTCTCACCGACACGCGAGTGGCACCGGCGTGCCGCTAGTATTCCCCAGGTCAGTCCCTCACTCCATTCCACTTCCCCAAGTTTGTTATGCTAGTTAGTTTTGTCCTCTACTCATTACCTAGAGCTATTCACAGACCAGAGGCGCTCTAGTTTGACATCGGAGTCCCATTTCCAGGTCGGCACACCAATGAATCGAAATATTACGAGAAAGCACTCATCACTGGTCTGCCTCGCCGCCAAGTTGAAACCCAGGATACTTGTATAACGTCAACTTGGAACCTTGATGGGTGCGATGGGGGGAAGACTAGACCGAATTCGCGCAGTTTTCGGGTCTATACATGTCGATGAGACAAGAGTGGACTTGGTTGTGGTTTCACGGCATGGGAACAGAAGGCAGGGAAGGCAGGCAGGGAAGGCAGGCAGGGAAGGCAGGGGACAAAAGGGACCGGGGACGAGGACGGAGACGAGGACGGGAACGCAACAACAAGAGTAAGCAGGAGAGAAGGTCACTGGGACCGAAGTCACGGAAGTCACTGAGGTCACTGAGGTCACTGGGGGGGAGGTCACTACTCACAAGAGTTCAATAGAGCGGAAGCGGGATATAGACCTAGGGAGGGATCTCGATTCTCGTCGAGAGCAGAGACGCTTATCCGAGGACATTGCACAGTTGACGGGATCAAGATCCGAAGGCTTGCTGGCGTTCAGGACCAAGAGTCGTACTGTACTGTGTAAGCCGGCGGCGTTGGTCTTGGGGGGCAGGGCTGACTCAAGCCTCTGCAGAGTCTCTGCTTCATGGCCTGTGGGTGGCCTGTGGGTGGTGGAATATTATCGACTCACTCGGGCAGATGGAAAGGGGAACTGAAGGGGGAGGAGCAGGTCGAAGGAGGTGTAGTGGAGGACGGGTTTAGTGGTCGTTTGGCAAGTGGAAATTCGCCGAAGATTACCTATCGGTGATGGCTTGCTTGGAAGGAGCAGGCCAGGCCGCTGGCCGCTGGCGAGGTGGTGAGGTGGTGAGTGAGTGGGTGGGTGGGGATGGTATGGTATGGTATGGTACTTCAGGCTACTTGGGGGGGGGATTTGGAAGAGTTTCTGTTTGTTTTATGTCTGGGTTTCGACTTTCGGGGAAGAATGGCAGGTAGAGATGGAGGAGGAGGAGGAGTGTCTCTAGCCTCTTCTGCTCCCCCCCTAACATCATCCGTAGCATCTCTGCCAACCTAACTACCTGGCATCATGCTCCAGACTCGGACTACCTAAGTGTACTTCTACTTCATAGAGGTGGGGCTGATCTTACACATCCATCAGCCATCCATCCATCCATCCATCCGTCCTCTTCCTTTGGTGCGTGAGCCTGTAGCAAGTAAACAACAGGATGTCGCAATGAACACATACTGGAAGTGAGCTGCGTGTGGCTTGAGATTAGAGACATGCCTCCAGCCGACCTGCCGTCATGCTCCTTGATAGTTTGATGTTGTGCACCGGGAGAGTACAGGAGAGTGCAGGGCGTAACAGGGTAGGGGCTGGTTGGATGTTTTCGAAGGTTCGATGCATGTAACTGGGCGTTTCGACTTCTGAGGCGTGTAGTAGTCGGTCCGGGGGCTGTTTTCTGGAAAGGAGGCGTAATGATGGCTTGTTTTTGTTTTCGTTTCTTTTTTCGAGACGGAGTCGAGAAATGGAGATGGCTTTGGATGGTGTGGAGGTTGTTGAAGTCACTCGGTGAGATTTCTTGCAATTGTTGCGTATCTTTGAGGAAAAATAGGTACGCGGAGTGAAAATAGGTCAGGTCACCTTAAAGTATCTTTATCATCGCTCTTTACCCACAGCATCTGCTGGGTGTTGATGGTTTGAAGATATGCACGCATTAATTCGATGTCCGAAAGAGTTCCCAAGCGTGATGATTTGATACAGGAAACCTCTGGTTTCCTCCAGAACCTTGTAGAGTAGTCTAGCTAGTTCTTGGAGGTCCGTGAATGCCAGGCTTAGGACAAAGGTTCTTAGAACCTTTGTGCCCAGCCCAGTACTTAAACTGGGCCTTAGGCCCTGGATTCCAGACCTTCCTCTTCTTCTTATCATCACGCTTCCTACTTAGAATACCGAATATAAGGTCTTCTATAGGAACACCTAGACTTCCGCATCATGATTCCACCATGCGCACCAGGAAAAAAAAAAGATCGTCCAGAAAAGAAAGATAGGAGGAGAGATGTGTAAAAAGGAAAGTAGACAAGAAACATGTATAAAGTAAAAAAAAAAAAAAACTGTCCAGATGATGCCAAAAAAAGAATATGCATCACCAAAAAAATGCAAGAGAAAAATTGTGATATTGATCCGACTGAGGCTCGATCTCAGGACCTTCAGTGTGTTAGACTGACGTGATAACCAACTACACCATCGGACCTATCGTGGTTGTTGTCCGTTTGGCTGGAAGTGGAGCTTATAACTCTACGCTCCTTTTCGAGTCAGGATCCTGGTCCTCTGGCCCAACGAACGATTTTCGAGATGAGTCTGGCAAAATGCTGTACCAGATGCTTTTGAAACTTGTAAAATGTCTATTAGACTCTGTTACTCACCAGCTATTCGCATTCAGTTAGCTTACGCGTAGACTTTGGGCGAGGCAAAGTCGTGGACGAGGAGTGACCGCCGTCTTCAAGAGATACTCGACATATTCGAGTATGATGGTATGCCAGTCATAAAAGTTCAGTCTACAACCACTTATGTTGTGCTTTCTTCTACCTTTTAACCTTTCTAGATGTCTGTTACTTTACAGAGAATGCATCTATCTATGCCATGATCATCACCATGTTCATATCCCAACCTAGATACAGAGGGCCCCATGCTGTTGAACCTGCCCATAATGCTGTTAAAAGAACCATCATATACACGAACGTACACCACCTCTCAAAACCAACCACCAACCCCAAGCTTAATACCTCCAAATAGCATCAGCCATAGCAACCACCTGCGCCATCTCCTTCACATCATGCACCCTAACCACATCCGCCCCACCCTGCACCGCAGCCGCGACCGTCGCCGCCGTGCCCCAAATCCTCTCCTTAGGAGTCGGCACCCCCGTCACCTGCCCAATGAAGCTCTTCCTACTCGATCCCACCAACCACGGCAACCCCTGCAGACCAGGCCAGCTCCTCATCTCCTCCAAGTGCCTCAACACATCGACATTCTGCGGTCCCACCTTCGCAAACCCCAACCCCGGGTCCAACACGATCCTCCACCGCCTGATCCCCGCCGCCTCGGCAGCCGCCACCCTACCCACCAGCTCCTTCGCGATCCCACCGATCAACCCGCCCTCCGCCTCGGGGTACTCATTCAAGCTAGACATGTTGGCCGGCGTTCCGCGCATGTGCATCAAGCAAATGGTGCTGCCGAGCCTGGCAACAGTAGGCAACATGTCCGGATCCATGCTGCCGCCCGAGACATCATTCACGATATCCGCACCGGCCGCCACGGCTGCCTCGGCCACTGACGCCCGGTAGGTGTCCACGCTAATGAGCACGTCGCGCTGCGAGAACTTTTCGCGGATCATCTTGATAGCCGGCACCACGCGGCCGATTTCTTCTTCGGCGGAGACCTGCGGCGTGCGAGGGGCGGTGGACTGCCCGCCTACGTCGATCATGGTGGCGCCTGCGTCGAGGAAGGATTGGATGGTGGATTCGAGGCCGGAGGAGGCGTGCTGCCCGCCGTCGGAAAAGGAGTCGGGCGTCATGTTGAGGATAGCCATGATGTGCGTCTTGCGCGAGGGGTTGAGGGCTTGGATGGGCGGGTGGCCGTGGGAGGAGAGGGGCGTCATGGTGGTGATGGGGGTCGGGGAGGGGGGGATGGCGTCGAGGAGGTCGCGGGTGAGGCTCCAGGGGCGGGTGTGGTCGAGGGGTTTGTCGGGGATGAGTCTGTGGTGGGGTGTTAGTATGAGATTTGATGAGAAACAGGTGGGCGGGTGAAAACTTACTCTGCTAGGGGACGAAGGACAAACTCGCGCTCGGGAATACCGATGTGAGGGATCTTGAGGCGTTCATGGTCGAATTTGAGGTTTTCGTAGAGAAGAATGTCGAGGTCGATGTTACGGGGTCCCTTGTCAATGATCTTCTTGCGGCCAAGGGAGTTCTCAATATCTTGGAGTGCGTCTAGAAGCTCAAGGGGTTCTAGAGTGGTTTCAACCTGATAATTGGTTCAGTAACATTATCACAAGATTTTCTGAGGACAGTGATCTTGGACCGACCTCGCATGCTCCATTGACAAATCTATCCTGGTCTAAGACGTACATGGGCTCCGTCTCCCACAGACAGCTGGTCCGCTTAACCTTGATACCGCGGGCATCCATCTCCTTGCAAGCCTTTTCAATCCATCCTATCCTGTCGCCGAGGTTGCTGCCCAGGGCGATATAAGCAGTGCGCACGGTAGGGGCGGCGGGCTTGGAGGAAGCCGGTAGGTCAATTGAGTCTGTCATTTTGCCCTTGAGAGGCAATGTGTACTTTTTGAAAGACAATGCTGAGAAGTGAGTGGAGGCCGAGTGAAAAGTGCGTGCCGATTTCGGATTGCTGGTTGAGAGTTGTGGTGTGCGTGGTGATGTTGTGATTAGTTGTGCTCTGCCGGAGAGCAATCGTTTTGTCAGAAGCCTATGCTGGCAGGTCAATGGCCAGGTCGAGGAGGAGATGGTTGGGAATCGCTTCATGGTAGGGCTGAAGAATTGACTCCAATCTTTGATAATTTTGGTGGGCCTTTCGTCTGAAGAATGCAGAATTGGCACTGACGCACGCGATGGCGTCAGATGGAGAGAGGGTTAGGGTTTATGGGTGAGGTCTGGACGATCTCGTTGAGGACTTTGCCAGTGAGAACCCTTGTGGTTAGATGCCGCCGCCGCATCTTCGCTCCGAGGTCGTCGTCGCCAACATCTTTCAAACGATGCTGCATTGGCATGGTTCCACAACGCTGGTTTGAGAAATCTGGGGTCGAACTTTCTCCGAGAACCCTGACCAGGTTCCCTTTTCAATTTGGTTCGGGAACGGGAGGATGGGGTGGCAGATGACGCTGGTTGTGGATTGGGGCTACAATTTATTGTCAGCTGGCATGCTTCACACGGGACACGCACGTCTGGTCTGATGTGGTTTGGATGCCAATGTCGAGCCTGCATTTTGCAGCGTAGATGGCATCAGCAAGTACATAGATGCTGTGCATATCCGTCCATTGTTTGGGTGTGTTTTGAACATCACGACATTAAAACCCAAGCCTCTCCTTGAAACCATTCGAACGATTATCATATCGGCATCCCAATTGACTGTACAGGAAAACAGTAGTCGGTGGCAGGTGCCTCGGTACAGGTCGCACGCCTCCGCACGACGGCCCCGCTGGCAACGCATGGTGCCTGGAAACGGACTAGCGCCCCCATGTCAGGGAACCTCGGCACATGTCAAGATGCCCAGATTCCCACCTGCTGACCTCCTCTTTCGACTCCTTCAAAACATCACCAGCTCTTTGTCTTTTCTCGTCTGTTGCACTTCCTCGCGTCTTCATCTTTTCTGTTGTTTAGTTGTTGCACATCACATCCTTCAAAATGGCCTCTCCTCGTAAGTCACATCTGTCCATCTCCATCTCCCTCGCAAGCGCATCGCATCGCATCGCATTACTCCGAGACACTGGAGACGTTGGAGACTAACAACAATGTCACAACAACAGAGCAGATCCGCACTCCCATCACCGATCTTTTCAAGATCAACCACCCCATCTTCTTGGCTGGCATGAACGTCGCTGCCGGCCCCAAGCTGGCTGCTGCTGTTACCAATGCCGGTGGTCTCGGTGTGCTCGGTGGTATCAACTACACTCCCGACATGCTTCGCGACCAGATCGACGAGCTCAAGGCCCACCTGAACGACAAGAACGCTCCCTTCGGTGTCGATCTCCTCCTTCCCCAGGTCGGTGGTAACGCCCGCAAGACCAAGTAAGTCTGAATCGCAATCGGTTGCACTTCTTGGCGAACTCTAGCTAACCAGGGCTCCCTGCACAGCTACGACTACACCAAGGGCAAGCTTAACGAGCTCGTCGACATCATCATCCAGTCCGGTGCCAAGCTCTTCGTTTCCGCCGTCGGTGTTCCCCCCAAGCACGTCGTCGACAAGCTCCATGCCCATGGCATCGTCTACATGAACATGATCGGCCACCCCAAGCACGTTAAGAAGTGCCTCGACCTCGGTGTCGACATCATCTGCGCCCAGGGTGGTGAGGGTGGTGGTCACACCGGTGACATTGCCACCACCGTCCTCATCCCCGCCGTCGTTGACGCCTGCAAGGGTGCCATCTCTCCCCTCACCAAGAAGGAGGTCCTCGTTGTCGCTGCCGGTGGTATCCACAACGGTGCCCTTCTCGCCTCTTCCCTCATGATGGGCGCTTCCGCCGTCTGGGTTGGTACCCGCTTCGTCCTCTCCGAGGAGGCCGGCGCCTCCGAGGCCCACAAGGAGGCTGTCCGCACCGCCAGCTTCTCCGACACCATCAAAACCCTTATCTTCACCGGCCGTCCCCTCCGTGTCCGCAAGAACCCCTACATCGAGAACTGGGAGACCGAGCGCGCCCAGGAGATCAAGGAGCTCACCTCCAAGGGAAAGCTCCCCTACGAGTCCGATCTCGACAAGCTCATGTCCGGCGCTGCCGAGATCCCCCAGGCCATGAAGGATGCCTTCAAGGCCGACAACGGCAGCGACGAGGTCGATGTCGATGACATCCTCGACCACTTCCAGCCCTTCCTCATGGGCCAGTGCGCTGCCGTGTGCAACGAGAAGAAGAACGCCAAGGCGATCGTTGACGAGTTCATTAACGACGCTGTTGCCGTCATTCGCAAGGGCAACTCCTGCATTACTGTCCCTGCCAAGCTCTAAAAATATGTTGTCGCATTTGGTTTCGTTTTTCTGATTTAGGGGTTTCTCTAGAGGTGCCTGATTTGTTGGCTAGCATATACCACTCTCGCATACCCTATATGTATTGATAGCTTTGGCGCTTCTTTTTTTTTTCTTCTTGTTTTTGGTTATGAGGACAATAACACGAGATTTGGACCATCTTTACGTTCCGCATTTGCTTCAACGTGCTTTTACATGCGATTCAATGCATGCCCTGGAGCATGAAGCCGCTGTCGTGCCGCAGCCGCGTGTGTGGCCTTCTCCGGTTAATAGGTTATCCTTGGGCATCAGTTGTCGGAGTTTATCAAGCTGAGAGGTAAGCTGGTTGATGACGTGTGTTCACATCCTTGACTTCTTCACCAGCGAGCCCGGCCTCTTGGTCTCGGCTTGTAGGATTTATACATGGGGTTGATGGTGTTTAGGGTCTGACTTGCTGCGTTGTCTCTTCACTTTTGGTGATTTGATCTGCAAGACCGTCTACTGATCCCCAGCTATATCCACTTTACCTACTTGCATCTTGTGGATTATCATGGATTATCTGACTCCATGGCCAACGAGTCCCCTGCGAGCTCTTTGAAGTTCCCCTCAATTGCGACCCAAACGACTTGTCCTACGATAGCGGTTTTGGTGGTGATAAGAAAGTCAAGAGACAGGTGAGCTGTGACAATGGTAACAGATTGGCCAACCATACAAGGTAACCCGGCAAATGTGATTTGATGGTAGCGTGAAACAAGTGCACATGCAAGATTCGTTGGCTGGTCTCGCTGGTTCTAGTGGTGGCATCGTCGCCAACGGCTTGTGAGGATCTGCCAGTGACGTCTGTCTATACCGCTTTGGGACATCGCGTGCCTGCGGCCCGTCTCCATACTTTATCGACGACTCCCCGCCTTCAAAGATCAGGACGGAATCATCTCATCTTCATCTTCACTCGAGCCGCTCTTCCGCTCTCTTTTGTCTTCTTGTTTGAATGCTGGACATTTATTGAAAAATCGTCGGTTCGGATCTCGGATTACACCATAATCACCTCACCACCACATCACACAATCACAACCACCATGCCAAGACTAGAAGACACTCAGGTCTACGACCACGAGGACCAAGATGACCTCCTCAACCGTAACCGCCGGAGGGTTCAGCGTCTCTGGGAAGACTTTGTCGGGTTCGCATTTCAGGGGAATGTCCTCGAGATCGCTTTTGGTTTGATGTAAGGATTGCCATCTATGACCGCGAATGAAACAACAAAAAGCTCACAAATATCAACAACAAACAGCCTAGCCACAATGTTCACAGCCCTCGTCACCTCCTTCGTCTCCGACATTGTCCTCCCGCCCATCTCAGTGCTTCTCCCACTGAACAAGAACTTGGAGGAGAAATTCGCCGTCCTCCGGTCCGGAGCCAACCATCCCGAGGAAGGGTACAATACCCTGAAGCAGGCGCAGGCGGATGGTGCTGTTGTTATGGCTTACGGGTATGTTTTGTCAATGTCACTTTCCCATGCATGGGGTTACTTCACTTGGGACGAACCTCGAATACGGGATCGGATATTAACCGTAGCGTATGGTCCAGATTCTTCATGAACCGCCTCCTCAACTTCATGGGCGTCGGCTTCTCGCTTTACAGCATCGCCTCCGTTTACCAGTGGATGTCCAAGGACCCTATTATCAAGAAGACTATGCCTTGCCAGTACTGCTGCAAGTTTATTAACATTAACGTTCGTCTCCCCTCCCTCCATCTCCATCTCCCTCCGATATCGGCCCCCTTACCCTTACCATCCTTCCCCAACTTAGTTCTAACTAACAATACCCAAGTCAATCCGCTGCATAAACTGCACCTCCTGGCTCGACGGCCGCGAAGACATGCTCCGACCAATCCACACCCCTCCCAGCCTCACCACCGCAGGCACCGCAGGCACTGCAGGCGCAGGCGCAGGACCTTCTTCCGCTTCGAAATAGGGACGGTGGCATCCGGACCGTCCTGATTCCAACCCCCACATGAACTACGATGACATGACGACAAATAGTGCTTACAATGGCGACGGCTATGGTGGGGGTGGGGGCGATGGAGGTGGAGGAGGTGGTGTGACAACAGGTGGTGGTGGTGGTGGTGATGGTGATGGAGATGGTGCGGCTACGGGTGCTGGTGCGGGAGGAGAAGGAGGAGGAGGAGGGCCGGTGGGAGTGACTGGCTATGGCTTTGGGGCTGCGTCTGCGTCTGTCTCTGCGTCTTATGGGGCTTCGGTATCTACAAGTCGATTCGGATCATTTGGGGCTGGGGGTGCTGGTGCTGGTGCTGGGTCTAGGTTCGGATCGTATGGTGGTGGAGCTGGGGCTGGGGCTGGGGCTGGATCTAGGTTCGGATCGTATGGGACTCCGGGGGGTGGAGGTAGGTTCGGGTCCTATGGGGCTGGGGCTGGATCCTTTGGGGGAGGTTCATATGGTGGTGGGGGAGGGGGTGGTAGGGGAGATCGAGGAGGATGATGATGAAAACATTGTATTTTGTTGCGTTGTTGTTAGAAGGTGTGGAATATGATACCCTTATACTTACACCGGGCCACCTGCCCTTCACATCCTATTCACCAGTTCTTCAAAACTTTCCACCGGCTCCTGACCTTTCCATCATTAGGATATTACCCCAAACGAGCCGCTTTCCTCCACCCGTCTTCATGTAGTCCGCTCGCTCTACGCTTACAACACCAACCCCAAAACCCCAACCACAACCCCTACCAAACCTGCAAGCACCACCGCCCCAATATCTCCTCCCATCCCCATCCCCGAGCCCGGATCCAGACCTGCCGCACTACCCTCCTCCGCCTTCGTCTCCGTCGGCTTCGGGCTTAACTTCCACACCCCCTCCGTGACCGTCACAGGCGTGGTATTCGCAAGACTAGCGCTCATGCTCGTCACGCTCGTCGAGACTTTGGTGGTTGGCGCGTCGGTGGGACCGTAGATGGAGGTGCAGGAGCCGATGTCGTCTTGGCCGTTTTTGAGGGCGCCGGGGGAGGGGGGGTGGTGGCAGTGGTAGTCTTTTGTGTGCCTTTTGAATTGTGGGAGCGGGGTTAGTATGTTATTGGGAATTGGACTGAGGGGGAGGAAAGGGGAGGAAAGCGAGGGGAAGGGGGGAAAGGGAGGAAAGGTGAGAAGGGAAAGGAAAAGGGGAAAGGGGAAAGGGGAAAGGGGAAAGGTGAACGAAAATGGAGAGAGAGAGGAAACAAATACTTACCATTCACTACCAACCGTATAGACAAAGTTGTACCCATAATACATCGGCCCCGTCTGTACGGTTATTCCGCCATGATAGAAAGACTCGCAATCTTTGATAGCGGCCTTCTTGGGATCGATGCATTTTACTGTATAAGTAGCTATTTCGGAATCATCAATATAGGCGAGGGAAGCGCCCCAGTGAATGTCCTTGTCCTTGGCGTCTTTGGTTACTATAGGGAAGTGGAGGGGGATGACTGTTGTTGTTGAGGAGTTGATGGTAGTAGTGGGTTTAGTGGAATTGGAGAGGGTATTAGTGGAGATGGAGGGGGTATTAGTGATCAAAATTGTGATTGTGGGATTGTAGGAGTAGTATTGGTCCTGGGGGGGGACGAGCTTTTCGACGCCGTCCGTTAAGCCGACTGGGACTTTGAGTTTGTAGTATTGGGAGAGGTCGAAGGTTGCCATGTCGGTTTGCCCGGTTACGATGTTGGTGCAGGTGTAGGATGAGGAGGTGAGAGTGCAGTATTGACGCATTGACCTGTTACATGTTTGTCCGTCAGTATCATCAGAATCTTGATCCTACAGAAACATGAACTAGAGCAACAACAACATACCAATACGGTTGAGTCCCATCTTGCTCGATAGTGAAACTAACTCCATAACTATTCGTCCCTTCCCATACTTTCATTCCGGTATGTACACCGCATTCAGTCGGCTTCACGCTACCTGGGCATGCAACCCAGTAGCTTGTGAGGCCTGGGACGGAGGTGATGACGGAGCCTACGAAGCTTGCTGAGGTAAGAGAGCCGGTGGCCGTTTTGACAGTCCGGGACGTCAGGGTGGGTATGACGAGGCTGATGGTTACTGTTACAACCACTGATACCGAGGGGCCGTTCATAGCGATGGTGGATGCTGCAGAGGCAGAGGGTGCGGGGATAGTGGAAGCCGAGGAGGAAGAGGAGGAGGAGGAGGATGATGATGAGGAGGAGGGAGAAGCAGACGAGAATGTTACTAGGACTGGGGAAGGGAGGAAAATTGATGCTGCTTCGGCTGAAGAAGAGGCGGAGGATGATGCTGCTAGGGCTGGAGGGATGAGCCTGGCTGCTAAGGATGCGCATATTATGGCGAGGTTGTGGAGGGAGAGCATCGTGATTAGCCTGTGTTATTAGCTATGGGAGACGTAACTGAGGCTGATGATAGGGGAGAGTTGGGTAGTTGAAGGTTGAGAGGCCTCTATCTCTATCTCGGCGACGGTGAGAGAGAGTGGGCTGTGAGTACCCAGTTGTGATTGAGTGTAGGATATCACGATGTTGAGGGACGAAGTAAAACCATGTTCTTGGCATGCTCAAATCTTACCTTTATCACCCTTTCGACCAGACTGCTGTCAAAGCCACAGTGTCTGCCTGTTGAGCCATGTCGGGGTCGTGACTGTGTTGCTGTTTCCCGCTTTCCTTCTTGGATAAGAGTCAAACTTCAGAAGCAAGTATATGAAATGCATCAACATGAAAAACAAAGACTTGTTCTTCGCTGGCAGCTGTCTTGCGACCCCTGGCTTCTTTGTGACTTTGGGCGGCTTGTCAACCCCTTACCGATTGTTTGCTCTTAACATAGCACATGCGTACTTTGTAACGGTCTTCCATTGTCTTGGAGTTTCTGCGTATAGAGCCTGACAAGTTCTGCACTTTTCGCTGGACACTCATCAACAGCATTAAAACCTGTTTACTCAATGGACTTTGAGCTTCGACTTCCACTTTCAAGCCGTGTGCATGGGGGGAATGGAATGACTAGAGCGTGAGATACCGATCAAGCCAGCCGAAAACCCGAATTTAAGCCAGATAAACAAAGAAGAGCAACGTTTTAGTGAAACCCAAACTTGACACGAAAACAGCTAAGAACCGGGGATAACTATCCACGTCCCAGATGTTAACTTTGCATTTGTCAACCCGAACGAAGACTGGCATATGCTGACGGCGACCAGAATTGCTCTTGATCACCCGGTTATGCCAAAGTAACGGGCAAAACCGAAGGCGAAGTGTATGCCTCTTGTTTCGATATTCATTCGACAGCTTAATCGCAAGACTGCAATGTCTCGCCCCCAGTAGAACATGTGGGCGTGCCATGTAATGGCGTCGTGGTTGTTTCACGTAGAACCTTGCATATTCTCAACTGTTGACTCGGGATTGTTTGAAAGGTGGTTCAGAAAACATTCGGGGTCGGGGAATTGATGATTACTGATCATCTCGATTTCTGAGCGGCATCTTGCTCCGGTGAAAGCCAAGATCGGAGTGTGCTTCGGCAGCTTTATCCTCGTCGATAAATCACAGAAAGATATCCGGTCCCGTGGTTAATTGACCGCTGAAAGTCTGGTGAATGTCTGACCGCTGCCTCAACGGATATTGCGGAGTGTCTCAGTCGGGTTGCCTTATCTCTAAGCGGCAGCATGCTGGCCCCGGCAGTTTGGGACTAACGGGCTTGGATCCGGCCGGGTAGGGCTGGCGGACGCTATTCCGAAAATAGAACTTTACGTCGGTACTCGAGTCGGGGCGGCGACCGGACACTCAACGACAGATCGACTTGTCAGATGGCAGACTTTGATCATGACGACGCCGATCAAACCTATGACCTTTGTTAGAATCGGGATTGGCCCACCGGCGATAATTCCGATGATACTGCCGAAGAAAGTACGGATGGGTTCGGAGAGAAAGAGCAAAAACCCTCACCGTTCACGCCTTCCAAAATTAACGAGCAGTGGTAATTTGACCAGGCTCCACCTTTCCAAGTCAACGGCAGGTACGGGCAGGTCACCAAAACAGCAGAGAGGAAGGATCACAAGTCGCACAACGGCACCCAACCGTGACCCGACCGCACCGCATGTTCGGCATTCGTTGTCGCAGTGTCGTGATGTGGGCCCAAGACTTTGATGGGAAAAAACGCGTGTTCACCTTGCCGAGTTGTCTTGGCGAGTTAAAGTCTGACACTGTGGAATCCCGAACCGGCACCGCATTTCGAGACGGTCTGACTGACGAGTGACGATCCCGCGATATTGTAATCAAAGCAGCCTCGGCCTGAAAGGAAGAGAAGATAAGAGCGACGAAAAGGAATCCTCAAGGGCGAATATAAACTCTTGGCATGTCTCTGCCCCCCTGGGAACTTCCCGCTGTGATATCGCCAAAACACATCGATGTGCTGTGGTCTCAGTGTGTAAAAATGGAAGCTGCAGCAGCGGGCGCCCGGCAAGTCACTGCCGTCCAGCGATGTTCAGCGACGCCCAGAGCATCCAGCCCGCTCGCCAAGCACGCCAAGGCCAAACAACGCACCCACAGACGAGTCTTGGTCGGGCTTGGATGGCGATCGCGAGCGGGTTCCGGGCTCTTTTGCGGGCAATCCAATTCCTTCCCTTGGCATGCTGGATTTCCCCCTTTCCCTTTCTTTTCTCTTTTTACTTTTGTCATTGCGATTCCCCATCCATCCCCTCCTTCAAATTGTTTGTTTTTCCTTGTGAAATGTTGACGGTACTACCATTGGAAGGAGAAGAACAACCCAGTTCGCGATCGCACCGCTTGACTCGGTGAACAAGAGAAGGGGGAAAAGGGACACAGTCAGCACAGACAGAGAACAAAAAGGAGAATGCGCCTATCATCTCTGCAACGCATGGCCACCGGCTTATCAGCAGCACCAGCACGAGCACCAGCACAACCAGCGCGGGGTCACTGTCAGAATGTCACCGCCGCCGCCGTCGGAAGAGGTTCTTCTCTGGCTACAGTGGCCGCGAAACTTGTATTGCTATGTGCGGTCGGCACAGGACTTGTTGTCGGTGTCAATGGCCAGACCTTGACCACGGCGACAAGCGCAGCATCGGCCGCAGTAGCAACCGCAGCTCCGTTGGATATCGCGACTCCGACTAGTACCACTACCGCCGATCACCACAAGCATGGGTCCTCCTCCGACTCCGCTCCCACCTCTATCGCTATATCCGGGTCCGATGTCATCACATCCGTGGCCAAGCCGGCTGCCGAGCCCACAACCGTCTCTATCTGGGTTCCCGGGTATGGGGTACAGGATTGGAGTAATTTGAGGGGCAGCATCATCAGCAGTGTAGGTTCCCTTTTGTCCTCTACCGGATCTATGGTTCACGTTTCCGCTCGTGTCCTTCCTGGTTCATCATGCTCCGATCCCCACAACGTTCTTCTTGATCGGCGGCTCTAATGCATGTCATTGTCGCAATACAGGACGAATCCATGACCGCCTACACCATCTTTTGCGCCCAAGGACAGCCAAATTGCGCCCTGTCCGCTGATGCACCCTTTGTGTTTACAGAAGGCCCCAAGTCCTTCAAGTACACAGGCGTAGCGGAGCCAACCTTGTATGTCAACCTCTTTGTCCACTTTACATTTTATCCCACTTCTTTTCCTTTCTCTCCTTCTATCCCTAATGACTAACACCCCCTCCCCCTTTGACAGCACACAAGAAATGCACTGCAACTTCAATGGCACCGCCGCCGCCATCTGCGCCGGCACCTCCTCAGTTGGCTCGCACTACGTTGTGGGCACCGTCACAGGTCCCGCGGCGACGACATGGACAGAGACTTACAGCAGCCCCAACATCACCTGGGTCGCCTTGACGCTTGCAACGCCCGGCCCCATGGTTGGCACCACGGACATTGACGGTACGGCGGTGGCGTCTGCGACAGGCGGAGATCCTGATAGCGTTTTGGGAAGCGAGGGACTATTCGGCCCCACGGGTGCCCCCAAGAATGGCGCTGCTGGGAGCTCGACGGCGGAGAGGATAGGTGTTTTGGGGGTTGCTGTGGCGGGTGTGGTTGGAGGGGTGTTGATGCTTTAAAATGTCTGCAAAGGTCAAAAGCATTGAGGGTCAGGTTTTCTTTTTCTGTCTTTGCACTTTTGGCATTGGCGCTGGCGTTGGGATGGGAATTGATTGGAGGATATACCGCTTTGTTTCAAGTTTCAGGACTTCCTGTTTGGGATATGACATTTCAGGGTTGGCATGGCATGGAACAGGGGGAGAAGGAGGGGGAGAGCTGAAGCATCTGTTGGCCGAGCGTAGGACGCTATCACAAATGGGAAGCAACAAGGAATGCATTAGGTATCGAACAGAAGGATGTTTGTCGGTTGTTGTAACGGATGAAGTTGAGGTCGTGGTTGATAGCCTCGTGACAGCGAATTTGGGGTACGTTCCAGACACTTAAGTGTTCATGTCTTATCTTGGTTTCATCGAACAAAAGTTGAACTGTTACCGGGGAAGAGATGAGCTCAGGTTTGGTACTCGGATCTCACCGTACTTTGTTCCCGTGTGTACGACACGGTGCCTGGCTGTATCTGGGTTTGACAGAAGGCAAAACCTTCCCGTCGGGACCACGAAACGGGTGTGCGAGGGATCGACGAGTGAGCTGGTCGAGCACGGTTTGATATCATATCTCAAGACGATTCGTTATTGATCTCTGTGAGATCTTTACAAAACTGTTCATGTGAGCAAACAGGTCAAATGGCTCAGCTGCACCCGAGAAGAACCTCAAGGACAGCAGAGACAGTTCATGATTTGATTACCAAGTACTTTTTCGTTTGACGCCGGATGCCGTCTCTATCCTTTCTTCTGACGGCAGAGAACTGAAGCGAGGCACAAGATATGTCTCAAGCCAGCAATCACCAAAGTCAAAATGACGCCCAAAAACCGACGAATGAACCGAAACACGGTGGTTAGGTGTTCATTAACCGCAACCGCAACCGCAGCCAGTCCTAACCAGATGTACCAAAATAGTAGTAAAGTCTCACTACATAACAAACAGTCGCGCGGCTGTTGGCAAGTGTCTGGTAACTGGTAACCGCTGACGACTGGAGAAGAAGCTCAAACTCACAAGCGAAAAGAGGTGGACGTCGCCAGTGTCGCATTTTCGAGCATCCTCGGCCTATCAATGCCCATTTTCACGCTCAGTGTTTCATGTTTCTTAGCTCAATGGGACCTGACGATCCCGCCAATCATGACCCCTGTCGTTCCTGGAATTCTTCCTCACAGGACCCACTTGGGTCGAGAGCTCCAGAAAAAGAAGGAGCGGGGACCCGAGGAGCGTCAAATGGAACCCCTGTGGCTGCCACATGCACAGCTGCACAACTTTGTTCCTGCCAATTGCCCCTGGCAAACTTTGAACCGCACTTCTTTCTTGGCGGGGTTTAGTACGTTTGTTCTTTGTGGACACTGCACTTCACTTCTTTTGATCATCATCTGGGTTTGCTCTCACAAAGAGAAGGAAGGGACACAATGAATGGCACGCAGAGCTGCGAAACCTCACACATGCCAAGTTTGCTCCTGGCAGAACTTGAATGGAAGACAGCCCCCGGCGGCACAAGTACGAGTGAGCGAGTGCACACAGATGCTGATTAGCACGGACAAATCGACTGGTTGCTGTTGCCCCTTCTGCCCCTCTCTCTTGCTTCAACGAAGGTTTCTTCCTTGTCAGTGTCCATCATCGATCCGGAATCCATGCACACATACGGTAGAATCCATACGCACATACGGTAAACCCACTTTTTAAGGGTATACAGCCAATCCGGAGTCCTAACCACGAACCTTCTCAAGGCCTTCGACGCTTCAAGTTCATCCTCCCTCTAATCAACACCAGATGGCTCACAGAACTCATTTGCGCCAGCAGAGCGGTGCCATAGCACTATCTCTAGCGCTACCCGTAGAGATGAGGATAGTTCGGTAGGTAATCTTCGCTTGCATAAGGATATGACAGGGCAAATGAAGCTAGGACCTCAGGCCTTGTACAGCGCAGTCTTCAATACCCTTCCGTCATTTGCAGCAGGGCAGCAAGCTGGATCACAACCCTCAACTAGAGGTAAACAATTGGCCAAATCTCAACTTCGAATAACCTCTCAAAAGGTAATATTTCGTGAGGCGAGTGCAAAATTTAGTGGTCTTTAGTAACTGTGTCGGCGCACACCTGAAGAGGTGGGTTACCGTATGTGCGTATGGATTCTACCGTATGTGTGCATGGATTTCGATCATCGATAGCCGTCTGATGGAATCAACCACAACGCCTCACGTCGCCCCATCCAAACATAGATCTTTTTGCCGATCCCCGTCAGCATGCGGTGCAGCGCGAAACCTAGGGTGTTGCCTGCAAGTTTGGGAAACGAAACAGAGCTACACCCAAAATAAGAAAGGTTCGGGGCAGTCGGAGCGAATCCGCTTGCAATGGTACCTGAACGCCTTCGACGCGCATCCCGTCTTTCCGCCCGTCGTCAAGCTAGTGTAAAGCAAGCATCCACAATGATCTGGAACTCCTCCATCAAGGCATGTGTTTGTCGATTACCAGGACTCAGTGACACAGCACCATGAAGAGAGTTCACAGTTCACACCATGCAAGCCCCAGTCGCTGCAGTGTTCATCCTTCCTCCGGCCATTCATCCCCATTGACCACTGAGGTAGCCATGTCCCCCATCCCCGTCCCCCGATCCCCTCCTTCTTGCATACCGGGGGTGGGGTCCGGATCACCGAGGCACCCTTGGAACATCCTTGAGGCTGCATGGGTTGGAGCTCAGCCTGCCCCTTTCATCCTATCCCCGGGTCCCGGGGTGGGACTCCTCCACCATGGGGCCCCTATTGTGGTGGTGTCTGGTTAATAAAGCTGACGGTGGCCCAGCCCAACATGCCCGCCCGTCCTATTCAACTTGACTATTGTCTTTGTTCTATTTCATCTTCCTCTCCTTTCCTCGTCATCGGGCTGTTGCTTGCAATAAGGCTTGAAGCCAACAATAGTGTTGATCACTTCCAACCCGATCCTTCATCTTCTGTCCTTTTCTTCTTCAACTCGAAGCCTTGAATGTGCTTCATTTGCTTTCCTTTTCAAAATCGACAGTCCATCTAGACACCACTGAGGAACGAGTCGTTACCTGCAGCTCACATTTGCCTTCCTTCTCTTACGACCTGATCACACTCAACACTCGCTGGACGACAAAGTGCTGGATTGGAACTACAAGACACAAGGGGAAGAATCAAAAAAGTACAAAACCTTCAACAAGAACTTAACGATATACACCAAACCGTCGCAATGAGGTTCGTCAAGTCAGTACGGCCCGCGGCAGCGGCCATCTCTTTGATCTCTGCTGGCATCCCCAAATCCCTGGATATCAGCAGCCCTAGTAAGTCGATATACCTGGTTAGGTAACACTTCGTTACCGGGCACTAACACAATCCCAGCTTCGGTCCAAAGTGTCGCCAAAACCATTGCCCAAAATACCATGTCCTTCTACAAGGGCACGGACGACCAGTTTGTTGATCTCGATGCCCCCTACTACTGGTGGGAATGTGGTGCCATGATGGGTAGCATGCTCGACTACTCCCACTACACTGGCGACCACACCTACGACAAGAAGATTGCAACTGCTATTCTCGCCCAAGCCGGCCCTGACTTCGACTTCATGTCCCCGGCCCATGCGGGCCAAGAAGGAAATGATGACCAGGCCTTTTGGGGTTTCACCGTTCTCGCCGCTGCCGAGCGTAACTTCCCTCAGCCCCGATCTGACATCCCGGGATACCTCGAACTTAGTGAAAACATCTGGAAATCACTTGCCTCGCGATGGGATACATCGACCTGCAACGGTGGCCTTCGTTGGCAAATCTTTGCCTCGAACCCTAACGGTCTTGACTACAAGAACTCGGTCAGCAACGGCGGATTTTTCCAGCTCTCGGCACGTCTGGCTCGCATTACTGGCAACCAGACCTACGTCGAGTGGGCAAACAAGGTGTGGGACTGGACCCAGGGAACTGGTATAATTAACGACTACTACCAGGTCCTCGACGGTGCCAGCTCCGCCAAGAACTGCTCCGACGTCAACGCCGCCCACACGCCCTCCTTCTCCTACAGCCAGGGCATTTACACCTACGGCGCCGCAGTCATGGCCAACATCAGCACCGGCGCCGACCAGGATAAATGGACCGACCGCACCAAGAAACTTCTCGAGAGCTCGCAAAACTACTTCACCCCCTTCGGCGACGTCAAGAACTCCACCGACGTCATGTACGAGCACGCCTGCGAGCACATCGACATCTGCAACACGGACATGCGCTCCTTCAAGGGGTACTTCTCCCGGTTTGTCTACGCCTCCAAGATCATGGTTCCCTCTATCAAACCCACGGTCGATCGGTTGCTGCACACCTCCGCCAAGGCTGCTGCCCAGGGGTGCCAGGGTGGTTCTACGGGAACCATGTGCGGAACGAAGTGGTATGTTGATGGGTTCTATGGAGATGCCGGGTTGGGAGAGCAGATGAGCGCATTGGAGACGATTCAGGGAGTCTTGATCGATCAAGCGAAGCCGCCGCTGAAGGGGAATGATATCAAGACTGTGAGGACTTTTTCGTCGTCGTAGCAGACGTCGAGTGATGAGACTCCAACAGGGAGTGAAAGTCCAAAGACGAGTTATGAGCCGGAGAGCGTGGCGTCAGGGGTGAATGAAGTCAATTGGCCATGTTTGTTATCGATATTTGGGCTGGCTTGTGTTTTGGGTCTATGAGCCGCATCTTGCCCTGGAAGTGGCGATGCCGGTCAAATCTTCTGACTTGTTTTTGCGCACATCATTATGGCCATCGCGTTGAGCATCTTCAGTTTGATTCTGTTTCTGCCTTATTTTTCGATTCTTCTGTATATATAACATATTTGGGATAGGCTTGGCAATATCGCCGGAAGGAGACAAAATCGATGATTACTTACGCACCGCATGACACTTGTTACGGAATGGAAATGACCTCGCCGCACTCCGCCCTACAGATGCTCCCTCCTATACAGAACCATGTGCAGTCATCATGCCGCTTCTGCTCTCCCTGAATAACATCTTTTCGTCCCGTTGTCAATTGTCAAAGAGTCAGTACGGGGGTGCTGTGTTTGCCCCCTTTTCCATTCTTCCCAGCTCCCCGGTTATGCTTCCCAGGTTTGTTTTGCTTTGATTGACATCAAAGCGATGCCTGCAGAACACCGCAAAATATCACCATGGGAATTGAATCACTGTCAAAGACTGATATACCTATTCTGACACACATGATGCCGTCTTCGAAACCGGCGCTTATTCGCATTCACGACCATGCTTCCTTCGGTCAATGGCAAGGAAGTGTCAGTATACATAGAATCATGGACCGCCAATGGGCTGCTTCACGAAGCAGGCTGGACCGCCGCTCGGACACGTATCTATCTATCTCTTCGTTATCCACTACCTAATTAGTTCCTGGCTCCTAGCTCAAGAGTAGCTCTCATCGCCATGATAACCTGCAACCCTATCATCACCATCCTCACCGGATTCCTGGCTACTAGATCTACAGTCCTAGCCCTCCCAGCAGCCCCCGACAACAACGCGGAAAAACATGGACCTAACCAGCCCCGTATCCCATCCCGCTCCGCACATCCAGTATCCCCGTGTCGACTCTTCTTCCCTTCCCAGTGATCGTAGACCACCACCTATGACAAACACCGAAGGCGAAGATACCGTCCCTGTCCCCTCTCAAGTCTCCTCCCCCCACCCCCAAAACACCACCGCTACCACAGATCTAGGACCAAGAGCCTGCCTGGCCCGGCGTCGGCCCCCGCAAATGGTGCAAAGACTACACCTGGATCGACGAGACCTCCGACCGTTCCCCCCTCCTCAAAGACTGCCTACAGATCGTCAAAAACCACGCAGCAGGCAAGAACCACGGGGGGACTGGGTCTTCATGGCCGGTCAACACAGAATCATCGCGTGAGCGGGCATTTACGCGTTCGGGGTGTCGGCTGGGGGGAAACGTGGCGAGGGGGCAGTGATTGCTTTGGGGCAGCGAGGATGTTAGGGTTGTGGTGGAGAAGTTGTGGTATGAGGTTGGGGGGGGGGGGGGGGGGGGGTTTGAAGTTGAGGGAGAAGATGGGTGGGAAGGGGATGGCGAAGTGTTTGAATACGTTGTTGCCGGGGGATTGGGAGGTTTAGTGGAGTGTTTATCATACTTAGTTGGAGGGGAGGTGGGAGGGGAAAGGGGGAGGAGGTAAGGGGGGTGGTCAGGGACATGTAAATGATGATGAATGATGGCGATTCGCCTTATGGATATGAAAACCCCCAGGAAAGTAGACCCGAAATCTCGAACCAACAAACAAACCAACATTGGAATGTAGTTGACTTGGGGTCCAGGAGCGAACAGAAAGAATGAAGTGGTTGTGCTATTGTACTGTGAGTTAGTTCCAGGTGAGCATCCGGTCAACAGCCCAGTCAACACAAACGGAAAACAACTGACAACTGCGATTGTCATCCCATCCCGTCAAAGGCGGCCCGCAGGGCGGTCAAACGGCAACGACGAACTTTCTAGCATGCCGGCCTTCACAGTCGCTCTTGCCACTTCACGTCACTTGCAATATTTTTGCCTTGTCGGCATTGACCGCCTAATCTTAACCCCACGCAGGTCTGGTGTGCGTACTTGTACCTTTTCAACCACCGCCTTCTGAACTTTTCTGGACCCTCCGCTCAACGCACCACTTATACCTGACTCATTCCGAGCTTTGAGCACACAGAGTTCAACCTCCATCTCCAGGAGCGTCAATTTTGCGCTTTGGGGTACCCGGCTGATAATATCCTCTACCGCCTCGGGACATTCGTCAGAAGGAGCTCTTGTCTCTCAGGCAAACCGTATGCCCCCGGCTCTCGCTCACCTCTGGCTCAGCTCGCACGAAGACGACAAGCTTCCCAGCGCGTTCGTCTTCTGATTGCCGCAACGCCACGCTTTACTTCCGCCTGCCTTGCTGCTGGGACCTTCTCGTCGAGTGATACCAGTTGCGACGTCGGGCGTTTCGATCGTCGAGATTTTTTTTCCGGAAGACCAGTTTTACGACAAAAAACATTGACTTCCGCGTCAGCGGCACACACGAAGGAGATTGTACATGCAGTACATGTAGGTTCCTGCATTCAGCTCGGTTTTGATGCAGGTAAGTCCCGTCAGCCTCCATTCAGCCAGCATCCCACCCCGCAGCCCTTCGTGTCTGTTAAATTTGATCCTTCCACGTTATTCTTTTTAGCAGGTCCTGACAACGATGCTTTTATTAGAAATTACAACCATCGTCACACCGGAGAAGACGAATCACGACATGAACCATGGCTACGACTTTCCACCTGTTCTCTTTCCTCCCTTGGGAGCTGCGTGCTCGCATTTGGGAACTGACGGTTGAGCCTCGGACAGTCGACGTCCACGCCAAGAGGTACCTCATCAATGAAGGGGATCGGCAAGCATACGCGCGGCTGGTCTCAACCACGCCCGTGCCAGCAACACTACAAACTTGCCGCGAGTCGCGCAATCTCGGACTGTACCAAAGGGCCCTTTCTGAGGTTGAAGTTGTCCCAGAGGGCGGCGAGAGGCGTTACGTCTGGCTGAACTTTGACTTTGACATTATCGACTATGGGCGGGATGACCTCTACAACTACCGTTGGGCTGCGCAGCCTGTCAAGCGGCTCAAATATAGGGCTCGAGGGTTTCACGACTGCGATGTTCATTCATTCAACTTCTTTGAGAACCTGATAGAGGCTCACATAGATTGCTTCGACGAAGAAGGCCTGGAAGAATGGTATTGCACCTTTGCACCCTTCGTGCTCAGCTGCGATCGCAGAAACATTCACTTGATCCAGTCGGAGAATAATCGCACAATCACCGCACAGGAATTGTGTGAAGAATACGAACGTCAGCGGCAGCTTGAAGAACAGGCATGGGCAGAGGCTGCAAGTGCTGATCCGATTCCTGTTTCTGAGATGTTTGCCGGACTTGACATTGACTCAATGATGCCCACGCTCCTGCGAATTGCCGAGATTGCTCGGAACATGGAAGACAACAATTGAGAAAGGACAACTGAGTGGGAGGATTTCTGCCCGGGCTTCACAGCGTGTAGACGGGAAGGTCAAGGAGCTAGGGGCGGTTATTAATACCATGAAGCTTGACAGACAAAAGAGGAGGTCTCTTTGATAGTCAGGAAGCCACCAGTAGTTCAACCATACGGTTCTTACCATTGGCTTGGCCACCATAAAATAGATATTGATTCCAGAACGCATCATTCGCAAATTGCACCTGTTGATGTCTTGGTAAAGTCTGCGAGGATACTACGTGACAGGCATCCACAAGATAGTTGAGCAGCAACTGAAGAGACTTCAGATCTTTTTTTCAACACTTGCTCGTTCCTTCTATCTGTCTCTCAGTGTTTCTAACTGCTCGCTTTTCAACATTATTTGGCAAGTTCGTAGTTCTCTTCTGGCGAAATTTTTCACCGCGATGCTTTGCACCCGTCTGTTGTGTAGGGAGAGCTCGTAACCCACCTACCAATGTCCGCCCTCTCTAGGCAAGTATTTATTACCACTCTTGTTTCCGCCATAAGTTGGTCTGAGGTTCCGAGATAAAGTGGACTTGAGGTCATGGACATACATAAAGAGAAAAGTCCTTGTGCTGTCGTGCTGTGACTTCTACTGCAATTGAGAAGTTCGGTTGCCGGGTAGTTCGAAACACGAACGGGCGACATCGCAAGTTGAGTCTAGAGAAACGTGACTGTCCTCGTCGACAATGATATTAGTGAACAAAGACTGCGTTTGTTCTGGTACGGTTTTCGTACAAAAGGCCTCATATGACCTTTTTTATACTCAAAAAGGCGGCCAATTCACCAACTGTCCTGAGTTGAGTTGTAACTCACCTTGGGGGTCTCGAATTGAGTTTAGTTGGATTGAGTTGAGTCGAGTTGGTTGAGTAAGTTGAGTTATTCCAAGCGCTGTACGAAAACCGTACGAGAACAAACGCAGCCAAAGAGAGCATTGTGCGAGGCGTATGCTGCAGAACTCACTCAGGAGCGGCTGCTCTCAAGACGGCCGGGGCACGGGTACAAGTTGTAAGAACCTGGAGAACATGGAGGTTAAAATTACGCTGGGAGAAGAAAGGGGGATGAGTGAGGTGACTGAGTGGAAAACACCTAACCTATCAGAGAAACCCGCAGATTAGTCAAACGACAACAACGGGGCTTCCATCCCAACATGCCCTCCTCTGCAGCCGCTCCTTCCTCTTCACTTGTTGCAATTCCTATTCTGCTTAGTTAATACTTACTGACCGCCTTACGTCAGAGAACCCCGCGCGCGCACGTAGGAACTTAAAACTGAAGTTCTTCCCGTCCTCTGGTCTTTCACCCGCCACTCAACCCGTCCCTATCACTCCTTCCATATCGCCGGGCTTGCACAACCCAAGCCTCATCTTCAGGAAGCAGCATTCCTGTGCTTCGAAGCATATCAGGTCGAGATACGTCCAAGGACGGTTCTCTATTTCCTCAGCGCTTCCCCCAGAAGGAGCACTGGTCCCTCAAGTAAACCGTATGCGCCCGACTCCTCCTCAGCTCAGCTTCAGATTGTACGAAAACGGCATTCATTTTGGACCCCGAACTAACTCCTCACGCGTAGATTATCTCATCACCACCACTCCACTACCTGTACTTCTGTCGCCTGCGCGACGCTGGAACATACTCGTCGAGTGTTACGGGTCGCAACCACAGCCCCTTCGACCCCGGAGGGTTCCTTCCCAAGATCAGTTTTACGATAGAAAGTTATTGACTTCCGCGTCAACGGCGCTCACGAAGAAGATTGTACCTGCGGTGCATTCTGGTCACTATATGCGGCTCAGTCTACGTTCAAGTAAGTGCCAACAACATCCAAGCCTCCCTCATGTGGTGCCCGCAACGAAGTTGCTGATGACAGTGTGTTTATCAGGAATCGACAAATGACGACTTGAACAATGGCCACCATCTTCCACCGTTTTCCTTACCTCCCCTGGGAGCTGCGTGCTCGAATCTGGGAACTTTCCGCTGAGCCTCGCACAGTCCAGGTTCTTACTGGGGAGTATGGAAAACCGTTGAGCGATGCGTCTGTCGGCAAAAAGGAATATAAGCGGGTTTTTTCTTCCACGCCCATGCCAGCAATGCTACAAGTGTGCCGCGAGTCACGCAACCTTGGAGTGTACCGACAGTGCTTTTCTGAGGTCGAACGCATTCCCGACTTCGTCCCCAAAGCTAGCTGGAGGCGATACGTCTGGCTGAATCTCGATCTTGACATCATCGACATCGGAATGCAGGACCTTCGCGATCTGAAGTTGGTTGCCCCATCCATCAAGCGGCTCAAGTTGGAGCGGGCAGGGTTTGTCTACGAGGACGTCAATGCATTGGGGCTTTTTGAGAACTTGAAAGAAGTCTACATTGTTTGCCCAAATGAGCGCAGCTTGGGTCTCTGCGCATTCAATTGGATGTTTTACCAGGGCCCCTTGGTCAAAAAAGATGTCATATTGATCGACCAAGTCAATGATCGAATGACGACTTTGTTCGAATGGACTAGGGAAGCTGAAGAGCGCTTCGAGCCGCACCGAGAGGAGTGGGAGGCTATAGCCCGGAAGGGTGACAGTGAATTTTATTCCGATGAAGAAGAAGTGGAAGGCAGGTATTCACATCTACCAATCATATACGCTATTAATGAGCATTTCAGGGAACAGAATGGCGGAGGAGAAAGTAGTAATACTGAAGAACCTTGAAAGAAGGAACGTGCAGATCAGGTTGAGCTTCACGGCATGTATACACGGGGAGAGAACTGGCGACTACGTTGTAACTGGACTGCCAGAGACAATCGTCGACTGCTGGAGCAACACACCGGTTGAGCTCTTAGTTAGCACCTTCGCTGCCTCGCCAGAAAATTCACGAATTTAAAGGCACTTGCATCTATTGAGCCTGTCCTGTGACGACACGGACACAATACGTGTCTTTCTGGGTTGCGGGACAGTCGAAATCTCAGAAACTGTGACATCTTGCCTCCCATGTTAACTCGCTCCCTCCATCTGCTTGCTCATTGTTTCTGCTTGATTCCTTTCAGCGTCTGCTGGCAAGCTCGTAGCTCTCTCCTAGCGCGAATCTCACGATGGTGCTCTGCACCCATCTGTTGCGAAGGGAGAGCTCGCACCCACCCATGTCCTTCCGTTCAAGTTTATAACCACTACTATATCCAATAGACTTTCCTCCCTCGTTTCTCAACCGCCACCTTTTCTATCAAAAAAAAACTAACTCTTCTGCAAAATTATTCCATCCACAGGCTTACAAAATCAGTTCCCACATCCGAGCCCGGAGCTCCCAGGGCAGCGTAGGAAAGAAGGAAGCAGACAAAAGATTGCCCGCTCTTATCTGAGTGCAAAGCATCAAGTGGATGCAAATAGCTTGAAGGGAGTTGTTAACTAACTAATAAGATTGCAATGGTCACGCCACGTAGAAGATATTGACCGAGCGGACCGGGTGACAACGCACGACACCGGAACGGATCCGAGCATGAGTGAGACTCTTCTCGGCGTTGGAGTTTGGGAAGGAGCGGGCCCTTATAATTCTAGCGAGGTCACGAGAGACGCAAAAGGCCTGCAACTGCTGTTCCCAGAACAAGAACTGAAATGTCCAGCGTTGCTTCTATGCATCGGTCTGCTCCTTCCCCACCCACGCATTCTTACCCCTTCCGCCCTTTCTGCAGGTACTACGTACCGTACGTACCGCTTGGGTGACTGCCTGGTGGCCAGGTCGGGACAAGTTGGCATGGTCAACTCTCTCCTCGACATTAACTTTTGTTGGGGAGGCTCCCCACATACTTAACCTCCCGACACGTTCTCTGCCGTTTGTTGCCCGTCGCGCATACACTATCACCTCCAGAGCGAAGACCCAGATTCATGTGTCATCAACCCTTGTCGCTGAGACGACAGCATTCTCGTTTCCGCCAGCTCTAATCCCTCACGCCAATCGGGTTGCGACGTTTCTGGCGCCCTTTATCGGCAGTGCGATCCTCACCGATCACTACAACTTTTCAACGACACACATACGCGTTCTACATCCTCCTACCTAGGTTGGGTGGCAGCGGAGGCCCCCACCTTTAGACTCTTCTTCAAGCGCAGTGCGTTACTGGGGCATACATCATACCTCGTACCTGCATTTGTTGCACGTAAGGACACTTCTCTCCTTTCCTGATTTACGCAGGTACAGTTTCTTGTTCTTCAATTTGCTTCTACTCCATGTTCTTGAACGAAACACTAACGATGTCGTGTCTTTCAGGTGTGAACAGCTCTCGGAAACTCAGCAAATACGATGGCGAACGGGGGGCGCACCTTCCACCCATTTCCGCGCCTCCCAGCAGAGCTTCGTCTACAAGTTTGGGAGCAGTCGCTGGACTATCGGCGTGAAGTTGATGTCCGCGTCAAATCCAGAGGATTATCTAAAAAGCTATTTGATGTGAAGATTCTCTCGCGAACACCTACTCCTACAATCCTCCACACCTGCCAAGAGGGTCGCTACTCACGGCTCTACCAGCAAGCCTTCTCGGACATACCACGACAAACAGTAGAAAATGAGCGGAGCTATGTTTGGGTCAACTGGGACTGTGATACCATCAAGATTGGAAAGACGGATTTTGTCTGGTATAGCCGTGGCAGAAGTTGGGCATCCATACAATACCTGCATTTCTCGACGTACAGCCTTCTTAATTGGGATGTTGAAGCTCTCAAGCGTTGTGTAAGCCTCAAGCGGGTTGTTGTAATCTGTAAGTCTGGGAGGTACAGTTGGCGTCGGGCCTTCCCAGGCTGCCCGACTAGTTGCAACATAGAGCTCACAGCCGGGGTTGGTCCAGATGGCATTCAGAACTTGGACGGCGACGAAGATACTCTGGTTGATAAAGCTTGTGACGATCGGCACGAGGAGTGGTCTGTCGAAATAACTCCGCGGTTTTTCCGCGGCTCTTGATAACTTCTGCTTTTCGCCTCCTAACCAGCTCGTTACCTAGCGTATCTAGAAAGGTAGACCTGGAAGATCAACAAGTTTATCGTTGAAGCGCCTGCTGTCTCAAAGCGAGCAAGTGACAATTCTGTATACATCTACTGAATCCCAAAAACAAACGCCCCGAATTAAGTATACATCGATATACTCCTTCCCAACCCACTCTTTCTCCTCCCACCATTTTTGCAGATATGTACGGTCCGGATAGTTGGCCTGGGGAAAAGTTGGCGGCATCGTCAACTCTCTCCTTCGGATGAAATTTGGTTGGAGAGGCCTCCCTTTACTCTGCCTCCCATTCACCGGCTTTTCCCATTCACTGGGCGGGACTCCATTCACTCACCCTTCACCTTCTCTTTTCTTTCTTTCGCTATTTAACCCATTACGTTGCTTACCTTCGCAATCTCTTGCGCAATCCCCCTCACCTCTATGCTGGCCCGCAACACTCGACCCTGTCCGTCGCGTTTTGCGCCATTCGTTGTCGCGCATTCAACCGCCACCTCCAAAGTAACGACCCAGATTCTCGTGTCATCAAGCTTTACCCGTCGAGGCAATACCACCACCCGCCCCCCCGCTCATAACGGGGGTCTCATAGCGGAGCAATACCTGCTTAGCAGTCAACACAACTAAACTACTGGACGGAGGAGCACGATGTGGAAAGACACCGACGTCAGGACGGAACCACGCGCTCTCGATCTTGCGATATTGTCAACTCTAGCCCCTCGGAGCGACTGGGTTGCTCCGTTGCTGGCGCCCGCTTGTCGGCGGTCGACATTGATCCCAAGAAATACGGTTTTCCACGACGAAGCTACACGCCCTACATCTCCCCAGGCCCAGACAGACTCGAGACAGGGTGGCGGCAAAGACGCCGTCGTCAGACTCTCTTTCAAGCGCAGTACATTAGTGGCGCATGCAACATTAGTACCAGGAATCTTCCGACCGGACCTGCATTGGTCACACAGGTAATTATTTCTGACGTTCTTCCGTGCCTACTCCCCCTCCAGATTTTGTTCCAATGCTGACAATGTTGTCATCTTCAGCTACCAGTGACTACCTTCAGGCCTCGGAGAACACAGCGACAGCATGCCCCCCACTCGCACCGGAAGCATGTCCACCACAGGGACGTTTCACCCATTCCCTCGCCTGCCATGGGAACTCCGTGCCATGATATGGGAGTTCACGATCCAGCCTCGCGAGGTTGACGTCCGTGTGGTTTCCGGGCGGATACAAGGGAAACTTCGCATAGATTTGCGTTCGGTGAATGAAGTGCCAGCGATACTCCAAGTTTGCAAGCAGTCCCGCTACCTGGGAGTGTATAAACAGGCATTCGCTGAAATTCCATTGGGCACTTTCGACTTCCAGCGAAAATATGTTTGGATCAACTGGGAGTATGATACTATCCGGGCGGGGATGACCGACCTGTACCACTTTAGGTACGAAAGCATCCAAACTTCCATTCAGCGGCTCGACATCGACAGATCACGGCTTCATCCCGGGGAGATCAAGGATCTTCAGGACTTCGTAAAGCTCAAGAAGCTTTATATACACGGCGATAGCTATAATTTCCGATGGGTCTTTCGCAAGAACCCCCTTCCATGTGGTCAGAAAGATATCATCCTACACGACACAGAGGATCATATTACATTGAACACCTTCGACTGGGATGAGATTTGGGACGACAATCTTGGCTACATGGCAGCGAACGGCTTCGACGGGGATGAGATGTGGGACGATAATCTTGGCTACATGGCAACAATGTGGGGTGGAGATATATCTGTCGGTGTTCAAGATGCGTAGCCACGTCTGTTCTCGGTATGCGAGGGCTATCTGGGCTGGTCATGAAGACGCACCTTGGAAGACAGATGGAACCAATAAGCCCATTATATCCTGCTCAATCGGCACGGTTATATGCTGTGTTTCCCTGTCCGAGCGGAGAAAAAAACATGAGGCGATTTTGAGCGGGGAGTTGCGTGTCTAAGTGGTGGCTGTACGTACATATGGACACGATCGCATATATTCAGCATTGGAGTGTTACATATGACCGATACTTGTTGAAGCTGAATATACTTCTCTGTCCAAGACGATTGAATTCCGAAAATTTTCTTGAACACATGACTGGAAATGTCTGACATAAATGAAGAAAGATCGTGGACCAGGAGCAGAAACGCAGATGCGATGCAGGGCACCCTCTATCTAAGCAGGATGCGTGAGAGATAAATGCAACGGACTTCCGTACTCTTTCGGCGTGTGGGTATTGCATTTATTTTTCACACAATCTGCTATGTACTGAGAGGAACGTGGCCCCTACGCACGATCTATTTATTTCTACCTGACCAGACTGCTTTGTGGTATTCTTTCCTAGTTTTCATTCCCACTTCCCCAGAGTTCCTCCAGATATTGCGGCCACTCAAGTTGACGATACAGCGACATCTATTACCGCAGACCATCATCAAGTTCGACGGACTGTTTCACATATCTGACTCGTCCCAAAAATTCAGCAAAGACGGCGAGGGCACTGCTAGATTATCTATCTTCCTTGAGCCAACTTATCTCCCCTCCACATTTTGCGGCCGTCGACCATCACGATCAAGCTCCATACGATCTTTTCACCTTAATCGCTTCCACGACAAGAGAATAGGGACAGTCAGATACCTTCCAGTTACTGCAAGATTCTACGAGGTATGTGTTAGCTCCCTGCAAGAAGACGATGGGACTGGCTCGTCCCTGTGATGTCCATTCGACACTCAACTTCCATTTCTGCTTTTGCAAGCGCTAACATCTCGCCATCTAACATAGCTACCCACAACACATTTTAAGAACAACAAGCATTATGGCCACCACCTTCCCCAGGTTTCTTGAGCTTCCCTGGGAAATCCAAGCTCGCATATGGGAACTTAGTGTCGAGCCTCGGACCGTCAAGGTTCGCAGAGTAACGGTCACGCGCGCCAGATGCAGTTACCACGAAGGCCGCGGCACAACTTACGAAGTCGTCACGAGCACGCCGGTCCCGGCAGCACTGCAGACCTGCTACCAAGCTCGTTACAAACACCGGCTGTACCAACCAGTTTTTTCCGAGTTGGACATTGTCAGATCTTGCGAAGAGCGCCGATATGTCTGGCTGAACTTGGATATCGACACGGTCGACGCGGGCCTTTCCAACGGGCTCACTCTATTCGATTTTAAGAGTGTTGCACGATCAATCCGGCGCCTCAAGTTTGAGACGGCTGAGATTATGGTGGGCGATAAAGCTGCCCTCCACGAATATTTCGTAAACTTGCAGGAGCTTCACATAACCTCTTCGAACGAGAAGCTTCTTGAGCTGGCTACAATGAGAAAGTATTTATCCGGCTTTTTGCCACGCTCTCTGAAGAAACTTTTTGTACACCATACTGTGGGCGGCTTTACGCGCCAATGGGATGAGTCCGTGGGCGATGATGACCCTCAACATATCAGATGGGTACGGGACAACATCACGAGGACACGGTTGAAAGACTTGAGGGTGAAGGCATTCATCTTGAGCAGATGGTAGGAGCCGAATTCCTGCCACTGTTGCTCACTAGGACCCAGAGTGCCCCGGTCCTAATGTTCAAACATCCACAAACGTTCGAATCAGGTGGCACTCCGTGAATTGATTAGCAGCATAAGCGGGAGTATGAAGGCACGACGTGTGCGGAACTATATATGAGGATGAGAGCAAGTCATGTACTAGGCCGCGTCAAACATTTTGGGAAGGAGGAAAGAAATTTCTGTCGGGCAGACTTGGATATAACGGTTTCACCTCCTCGAGACTACCCCAGAGTAATATACTTTGTTGCTGTCATACCTACCCGATACGCATCTATGATGACACTATGTGAATCATAGGATAGTTTTAAGGATAAACCGAACATGGACGGTCCGACCCTGTCTCCTGGATTGGGTAAGGCCCTTTATTATGGTACGTTCAAGAGGCTGTACCAGAGCTACGATATGACTTGGCGATGACAACTCCGGATGACAAGGCTGTGTTTTGGCCTCGCACGTTTGCTCTTTCCTCCTTCACTTCACTTCTCTCCTTCACTTTCCATTCACTCCCGCCACGCTAACTTTCTGCCTCAGCTCGTCCCATGTTTGACCGCCTTTGGACCTGGACCCCGCGCACGCCCACCTATTCTCTACCTCTTCCTCCACGCTTCTGAATTCCCTTTTTCTGCTTCACAAACCGCGCACCATCTTTCTTCCAAGCAGCGCGGCGCCCAATCAACATCGCTTCGCACGACTCTGGGAGCATAACAGAAGGCGCAACACACCACGACGTCCCGACCCTGGCGTAGCCGTCAGCTGCGGCTCTTCCTCACGTCGACATCATCTCCCTCGACAAGCGCGGCCCCTTCCGTCGCTCTAGCTTCTCTCTGCTAGCTCTCCCAGACTTCGCGACAATAACCAATCCGCGGCTGGCAGACACTCGCCCACTTGAAGAATTCATCTAGTCCCGCGCGACGGACTGCTACACCTCTCCTCTCCCCTGACCAGCACAGAGAGACGAGACATTTCCTCCAGAAAATCGCTCGCAGGCTGCAATTTGCTGGCTACTTCATCTGGTCGCTTCCAATTCCCGCTCAGTCGGCCACAGCAGGTAAGTATCGCGAGCCGATCAGTCCGATTTCGCATTCCCTCCAGCAGTCAATCACCTTGTTTCGGATCTGATGTAGCAAGCGCTGACCAGGTGGCCTTGATCAGATACCCAGAAAACCTTGCCACTCAATCGATGAACAGCGAGCAAGATGGCTGCTACCAGCTTTCCTTTGTTCATGTACCTGCCGTTTGAGCTCCGGGCTCGGGTGTGGGAGCTGACTGCGGAACCTCGTACCGTCGACGTTGATTGGTTGGCCAGAGTAACTACACGAACCGACTACGAAGCAGATGATTATAGAGTGTTTGAGATAAACGTGGATTCCCTTACACCGATCCCAGCAATAGTGCAAGTCTGTCGCGAAGCTCGTCAGCTGGGGGTTTATCGACAGCTCTTCTCCGAGTTGGAAGATGTACGGGACGGTGGTGAGCGGCGCTATGTTTGGCTTAATCTGGAGCTCGACCTCGTTGACGTTGGGAGGACCCCTTTGGATTCATTTATCCCTGTTGCAGCCTCGATCAAACGACTCAAGTTTATGAGGCACTCAGTCAACATTGAGGATATGATTTGCCTTGGACAGTGTGTCAACTTGAAAGAGCTGCATATAGACGTCTCTGGAAGCTTATCGCTCAATTTCTATGAGCTCTTCAAGAGACTCCCTCTCCATTGCGGCATGGAGAACATCTTCATGGTTGACGCTCTGTTAGGTCGGGTACCACTGAGGATGGCAGATATATCCGATTATGGGAGGGCGAATACAGAATGGCTGCTATCAACCCTCGAGACTACCCTAAGAACTCGCGGTATTCAATGGGGCCTGTGAGAAGGAGCCGCTTCCGGTTCTGTCAACCCCTGAACGTACAGTTTACCTCTGACAAAAAGCTGGCAGAGTGAAGATTGAAAAGGATAATCATCAAAGAAGGTTGTGGGGCAAGGGGGTCGGCAGGCCAGAACAGAAGCGTGTAAATAACGGATATGATCTCGCGTCATGGCTCTCCAGATGCACAGTGTTGCGTCCAATTCAAAAATGTATATTCCATTCCCAATCCCACTCAGCATTCGTCTTTCAAGGTCCATTCTATGTAAATGTATTCCTCTTCCACCCGAGACAAAACCTACAACGGGAATATAATAGCCTCAAAATTGCGATGTCGGTGGTCACGGTGTCAAAAGGCGACCTTAGCTTCCAAAGCTTCCGGGCCAACTTGATATAGCCCCGGCTATCGGCACCCGGAGATAACTTAGTCAATCCACTGATTGGCTGTCTCGCAAAGAATGCGGAGTAGACTAACAGTGTTATCACCCGTCTCAAGCTCCGTGGCATCGCTCCCCGCAATCGGCAGTCATGATATCGCAGCCATGATCTGCCTATAAAAGGCATGGATGGCCTAAGGATCGGGGCTTCGTTGTCGCCCACGCTCATGTCTAACTCGTTCTTAGAGGCTCCTCACCCTTTTGCTTCACCATGAACCCTGAATACCCCATCCCTTGGGAGGCCCGCGCCGCGAAGAAGCGGGAAGACACTCTCGCAAAGATTCCGGCAGGATGGCGACTAAGTCCTGCAGACCTCGAGCTTGCGGCCAAGCAGCGTGATCTTACCGGGCCATTTATCGAACGCTTTCTGGAACCTGAGGTCATTGATATCGTCAAAACGGACAGTGTTCCCCTTGTCAACGACATCAGGACTGGAAAACGGTCGGCGGTGGAGGTCACGAAGGCATTTTGCAAGACGGCGGCCGTTGCTCATCAGATTGTTTGTATACCTTCAGTCCTTACTTGTTACTTGAATAGACACCAGCTGACGGAAATAAAAGAATAACTGTCTCCTCGAGATCTTTTTCGACGCCGCCATCAAGAGAGCAGAGGAACTCGATGAGTATTTCCGAGTAAACGGCAAGCCCGTCGGCCCACTTCATGGTTTACCCATCAGCTTGAAAGACCAATTCCACGTCAAAGGCGTCGACACCACCATGGGCTACGTCGGCTGGATAGGAGGGAACATGGGCATCACCGACCCTACCCAGACGCACCAAGTCGAAAGCCAAATCACCAAAGAGCTCTTATCCTGCGGTGCCGTGCTATACTGCAAAACCAGCGTCCCGCAAACTCTCATACTCGGCGACACCTATAACAACGTCATAGGTCGAACTCTCAACCCCCACAACCACAACCTCTCCTGCGGCGGCTCATCGGGAGGAGAAGCGGCGCTTATGGCTCTGCGCGGGAGCACACTCGGCGTTGGCACCGACATTGGCGGATCGGTTAGGATCCCGGCCGCGTTCTGCGGTATCTTCTCCCTGAAGCCGACTCCGGAGCGAGTGTCGTATCGGGATGCGGCGAATACGAATCCGGGGCAGAATACTTACCGCTCTGCGCTGGGGTTTATTAGTACTTCGCTTGATGGCTGCGAGCTTGCTCTAAAGTCTCTGTTGTCCACACGGCCATGGCTGCAGGATCCAGCTGTGGTGCCTATTCCTTACCGACAGGATGTTTTTGATGATGTGTTGTCTCGTGCGGATGCGGGTGGCAGAGCAAAGGCAGACCGGCCACTGAAGCTTGGGATCCTGTGGAGAGACGGCAGCGTCGAGCCTCACCCGCCTATTCGCAGGGGAATGGCGATTGTCGCTGAGGCGGTAAAGAAAGCTGGTCATAAGCTCGTGGACTGGAACCCACCTCCTCACGCAACTGCCCAAAAGATCCACGTAAGTTCCACGCAAAACCTATCCTTCTCCCTATCAGCCCGTCCGTCCCTGACACACATCAGTACTCCTTCCTCCTAGCCGACGGCGCCCGCGACGTCCACGACCACCTCCTTCTCTCCGGGGAGCCCCTGATCGCCGACCTCCAAGCGCACTTCAACCTCAAAGACCCCATCCCCCTGCTGGAGTACCAAGACCTCACCATTCAAGGACTGGCTTACGAGCAGGCCTACTCGGATTACTGGAACTCCATGTCGGGAGATGACGGCCAAGAAGTCGACGCTATCATCATGCCCGTCGCGCCCCACGCTGCCGTGATCCCGGGAAGGTGGTACCACCTTGGGTACACGGAGGTTATCAACTTGCTGAATTATAGCGCGGCGGTGATTCCGGTTACGAAGGCGGATAGGGGGGTTGATGGGGTTGATGGGACGTATCGGCCGGTGAATGAGGTTGATAGGGCGAATTGGGAGTCTTGTGAGTTTTTCGCTGGAGGATTTGTTGTGCGACTGGAGCTAACTATGCGTTTTTAGATGACCCGGAGATCTACCATGGTGCGCCCGTGGGGGTGCAGATTGTTGCGAGGAAGTTTGAGGAGGAGAAGGTATTGGGTATTGCGAAGTTGGTTCATGCTGCGCTTTTGTCTGCCCAGTCTGCTTGAGATTGCTGAGGAGCTGTTAGACCGCCGTCTTGGTCATCGGGGCCGGCGGCATCGATATTCGTGGTCTGGCGTAGAGACCGCGAAGGAGGGCCAACGGGCTGGGTTCGTGGGTATGACGGCATTATCGATTCATGAGGTATGGTATTCGCTTTGAATAATTGATATATTGCTTCCGCGCAATGGAAAAAACATAATTCGGTGTATTATCTTTGTCGTGTTCATGATAGTTAGAGAGACTCAACATGGGAAATGGATGTGTTGTTGACTGTCGGGTGTCGTGCGAAAGGAGGGGCATCCCTGAAATACAGTGTCCCCTGGAGAGCTTGTTAGCACGAGACCTCGGTAGAAACTTCTAGGCGTCTTATAACGGGGCATATGTATCCTCAAATAAGGAGAATACCTGCTTCAAAAGAATAAATGTTATTCAAGAGCTGCCTGGGATGTTCATAATTTAGTTCAACGCATATCCATGTGTATTTGTGGTTCTTTAATCCTTGAGCAAGACCTCATCCAAGAACCGCGCTAACAGACGAGTAGCGGACGGTACAGGAGGACGCGCTGCGGGTGCACGGGCCATCTCGCCAGCAGATACTACAAAATTGTTTGGTTCCTTCCTTTTCCCTTCTTCCACATCACAACCAAATCACATCATATTTCTTGTACATTCTTTTCGCTGCTCGGAAGCATCTTCTGCTGCTTTTCACCCCTTTCCTTGGATCCCCTCTCGGTAAAATTATTTGGCGGTCTAACTCAGGGCAACTGACGCCGAAGTGAACGCGCGACGCCGATTGCGGACGGAAGAGCGCAGACAACGGCGACGGCGACGACGGGATGGACGGAAGTATTCAGCCGACCGAGCCGGCTCGCAAATCCACCGGCGATGGCGATATCGAACTGGCCGTTCGCCTTCCAGCCCAAAACAATGTGCCAAATACCATCCCCGTCATAGAGCCTACCACTCAACCGCCGCATCACGCCAATCCGAACAACGCCGGCACCGCCGACACTGCTGCTGGCGACAATGATACCCTCTCAAGAACTCCCATCCCCATCGGCATCTCCCGCTCCCTAACCCTCCGCCTCTACACCTCCCACTTCCTCTCCACCTGGAACTCCCGCCTCTTCGAAGCCGGCGTCGTCTACATCCTCGCCTCCATCTTCCCCGACAACCTCCTCCCCGTCTCCCTCTACGCCCTCTCGCGCAACCTCGCTGCCATCCTCTTCGCCGTTCCCGTCGGCCACTGGATCGACACCGCTCACCGCTTGACCGTCGTCCGCGCCTCCATCGTGGGGCAACGCCTCGCTGTTGCTGCTTCGTGCGGGCTGTTTTGGGCGTTACTGGGGTTGCGGCTGGGATGGAGGCAGTCGGCGCTGGTTGATGGCTTGTTTGGAGCTAGTGTGTTGCTGGCGTGCGTGGAGAAGCTGGCGGCGGGCGTGAATCTTATTGCTGTGGAGAGGGATTGGGTGGTAGTGATTACGCAGGGGAATGAGGATGCGAGAAGGAAGATGAATGCGCGTATGCGGAGGATTGATTTGTTTTGCAAGCTGCTGGGGCCGTTGACTGTTGCGCTGATTGCGGCGGCGTCGGTGAAGGCGGCTGTGTACGCGACGCTGGGGATGAATCTGGCGTCGGTGATGGTGGAGTATCTTTGCATTGAGACGGTGTTTCGGAGGGTGCCGGGCCTCGGACGTCCTGCTCCTCCCGGTGAATCAGCTGGTCAGTCGTTGGACCCGCTCTCGATGGTCGATGCCGATGCTGGCAGCAGCACCCATTTCCAGCTCCGCAAGTGGCTCCGGGGCATATCATGGCGCAAGCTGCTCATGATTCCCTCTCTGCATCTCTACTTTGGCCATCCCGCCGTCATCCCCTCGCTCTCGCTCTCGCTGTTGTACCTCACCGTACTCTCCTTCTCTGGCCAAATGCTGACCTACCTGCTCGCCTCCAACCTTAACCTATGGCAAGTGGGCATCATCCGCGGCATCTCGACAATCTTCGAGCTCAGCGCCACCTGGATCGCGCCCCGTCTAATGAAGCGCATCGGCGTCCTCCGCACCGGCTTGTGGTCCATCACCTGGCAGATGACCTGGCTAGCCGGCGGCGTCTCTTGTTTCTTTTACTACTACGGGAAGGGCTATGAGGCAACTAGCCTTATGTCCGCTGTTGGCCTCGTTGTTGCCGTGGCTTTCAGCCGTGTTGGTCTTTGGGGGTTTGACCTCTCAGTGCAAAACATTGTTCAAGATGTAAGACCCGTCCTTTTCACTTCCCTCCAATACAGTCTACATGAGCTTTGCGTTGCTACTAACCAGTATATCCCGGATACAGGAAGTGGAAGATGATCGCAGAGGGATATTCTCATCGGTAGAGGCCTCGTTCCAGAATATGTTCGACATGTTAGCGTGGGCTCTTACCATCATCTGGCCAAACCCAAACTCGTTCCAGTGGCCAATTGTCATCAGTGTCGCGGCAGTCTATGCGGCTGGCGGACTCTTCGCCCACTTTCTACGCCGTCGTAGAGGCCATCTTCTGCATCCACCGGCATGTATCAAAACCAAGCGTCGAAGGGACAACTCAAACTCGTTCGGTGTGGGCTGGAATCGCCGAACAAGACGCAGTACCAGCGACTCCATTATCCTATGATAAACCCCCGGTTGGTTGAGCTGTTGTTTATTTCTCTTAGAATCGAGTTTCTGTCACATGGTAGAAGACCGCAAGGCTGCGACCGCAAACGTCGAAATATTGTCTACTTCCTCAAGCCAAGGTCACACAACGTGGAAGTGCACCTTCAACCCCGCTTTCCAGACCAATTGTTACCAGCCTTCTGACATCCTGACAGTCATATATTTGCAGGATGGTTGGAGCCTTGCGGTTCAACAGTCATAGAATCTCATGATGGTCGCAGCCTTACGGTTCAATACGGAAGCAGGCTTGTGAACTACGTCCTCGGCCTCAATGATCTGAATGACTGACCCGGAAGTCCCAATGTGTATAAAACCTCTAGTTTCTCTTCCATGACTCCCTATATTCTTCATCTTCGCCTTCTGCAACATCCCTTCAAAACTTACCATCACCTCCAGCCCAAACCATTTTCCAATCCAAACCTTCACCAACCAAGTCCAACAACAATCTCTCAGCTCCAGCCTCCCCAGCGACACAACTCACAATGCCAAACTCAGTATACTGCAACGTCGGTGGCTGCGAGAACGATAAGGTCTTCTCAGCTAACAAACAGCACCAGTATTGTTCTACTCGTAAGTGTATCACCCTCCTACCCATACAGTGTACACAACAAGTTCTAAACGAGAGAATGGCAGACAAATGCGCCGATTCCTCGTGCGGTCAGCGGAATACGGCGGGTTCGATCTACTGCGGCGCACGTATGTCATCTATATATTATGATGCCTTGTTGATGTTGAGAGTTAGCTGACATGAACCATTTGGAGATAAAGACAAGAAGTAGTGGCTGCTTAAGAGGTAGCTATTGTCTGGGGATTGAGAGGTTAGATATCTTATGGCCATAATCTGAATGAGGCTTGTTTGTTTGGATCTGGGTGATGATGATGTATCTTTGTATGTTGTCATGCTCTTTCTAACACTGATTCCTTGTAGTTTCTGATCACACCATCTCCATACTACTTTTTTCGGGGTCTCTGGTGAATTCGTATTCTGAAAATACTCCTCTTCGCGACTTCTCAGTGGTTCCGGAAACATTCGCTACGGAAGATTATAAAATGATTAAGAAGGACAAGCAAGATGGAAGCAAAAAGATGTAAGAAAAAAAACCAACCGAAAAAAGACATACAACACCAGGGATTCGCTGGTCGTCACCGACCCAACTACTAGTCTGGCCCTCACTGGCTTATCTATGGGAGAGCGGACGGGATCCCGAGTTTTCCAGTGGGTATGGTCGTATGTACTTGTTGAGCGGCAAAAAACGCATTGTATTCTCACCCAACAACATCGAGAACATCGCCGCGTAGGAAAGCCACAGTGGTTGAGGAAGACCAAGCGGCGCCCTTGGTCATGTTTTTCCATGACCTTTTGTTTAGGATCTTGACAAGACATCTTTGGAATCTCGAGGACTTGAGCGAGTAGCTAGTGCGTCAATCTCAAAGGCAAAGGAATAGCTGGCTCTGGAGACAATGTCGAGTTTCAAAAGCACCCGCAGTAGTAACAGCAAAGAAAGTCTAGACCGCTCCTGTGTCAAAACACGCCCAATTGGTCTCCTATAGCAATGGTCCCATCCCCCACACTCCATCATCCGATGTTTGTTTGTGGCTTAAGACCGTTGGGAACTTTGGACATCGGAATGTCGCAGCGGGGATGTGACCATGTGGGGCCCTCGATATAAGTATCGTTCGAGGTATGGTTTGAGGTTTGGTGAGGGGAAGCGCGGAAAAGGGCGCGGCGGAAATGGAACGGGCCGACGAGCTCAGTCAGGGGCAGGGGCACATTGATGTGATGCTCCTCCCAAGAAGAGTGAGGGTGTGTTGAAGGTGTGTCGTGTGTGTGTAAAGGAATGTGTGAAGGCACGGTCCGGATCTGAAGCGTCAGAACTTTATTACTAGCGAACGAAGCCCGTCTGGGATATTGAATGTCGTTAACGGTGTTGATGTTGATTTGGGGACTGACAGAGTCAGGGAGCCCCACTTATAGGGCGTAGCGCATGTGAAACTGTGGAATGGGGGTTTGTCAAGGATGAAATAACCTTTTTTTCCTTTTTTGACAGGCGATATTTGCCGATTTTGTCGACTTGGTTGTGCCGGTTAAAACGGTTATAATCAGATTTTGGAGTCTACCGAAGTCTTTTACAGGTCTTTTTGGAGACAAGCAAAGATACCTGCCTTCTGTTTTCGTCTTGTAATATAAATCGTATTTAACGTCTTTTGTTTCGGATGTTTTTCATCACATGTCAAGTGTCAACACATCTACCATCATCGATCTCAACCACCAACCACCAACAACGAACACCGGCAGCATCTTCCAAACACCAACCAACCAGCCCCTGCGTCCATCAGCTGCGCAAACACGTGTGAATCAAGGACATCTTCAAGTCAATAATGAACCACTCAACTTAACGCACATGCTACTGACCTACTGATCGCAACATCGGGTCGTTCGTTCGTTAGGCCGTCTACCCTACCCGTGCCATCAACGAACAACAACAAGCCTTTTAGACCATTAACCACAAATGGCCGCCTGCATCGAACAACCGAGACAACTCCATTCAGTGCAACCAACCCCACGGGGAAGTGTGCTTGCATGACCGGCCTGCAACTTCATTTGCTCCATAAATTGGCTTTGCTGCTGGAAAGGAAGGTCCTATGGGCAGGTATCGATCAGTATCTTACCTTCGATTGTAAACAACTGCTCCAACGACTGTTCATCACCGTATTGTATCGAAGTGTACAGTATGATGCCGTCCCTCGGTTCCCCCTTCCCTTGAGGCTCCAAGGATTTGGAGATGAAGCTCGGCTAGGTACCCCACCGGTGAAGGGAGAAAAGAACAATTTAGGCAGGTACATGTACCGAGTCTATTTTTAAATGTTGGAGATAGGTTATAACAAACGGGCTATGTAGTACGGTTAATAACAAATTTCCCGTTCCCGACCTCACCCTCCCTCCCCCCTCGTCCCCCAGTCGCAGTCCCAGTCCCCGTCATAGTTCTAGTCCAATCCCGGTGCTAGTACTACTAATCCCGGTCTTATAGTCCCGTCCCCAGGCCGCGGCTCGAGGCTCATGTCGATGTCGTTCGGGTGTGCAAGTGGACCTATCTGGGGACTACAGACTCTAGACTCCGGAGTCCAGAAGCTGGGGGTAATTTTGGGGAAAAGTGCAGGGATTGGAAGTAAGATACGTGGAGAAATGTATCAGAAATCCCCGGACAACTCATACGGACTTGTACGGAGTGTTGTCCGGGGATTTGATACGGGCCACGAGGTTCATGTTAAAAAACATAAAAAACATGTGATGCGGGGCCAATCTGTCCCATAAACCCATGTGAAGACACTACCCGAGAGATCGGAAGAGGGAGTCCAACGAGGACTGTTGACTGGATGCGGACATTGGACCCTGCCAAGCACGCAATCTACGGTATATTTTGGGGGTTTGTGAAGGGAAGATGGTACGCACTGTGATCTAGACCCTGATGGTGGTTTGAAGTTCGTATGAAGTTGATATGTTAGGTGTGTAATGGAAGTGATAATGTGAGCGCTGTGTGTAGGAGGCAGTGGATGAGAAGCCACAATGAACACCAACCTACCTACCTTTGTGCAAAGGGGAATGTTACGCCGCATGAACCGCCGCCTCGAGACATCCTGAAGTATGTACGCCCTTGGGCACCAACAGCCAAAACTCATCTCACACAAACTTTTTTCAAGGTTCTTACTCTTCACACCCTCCTTCCACTCCCGGCCAGTTGAGTAGAATCCATGGCCAAAATGTTCAGAGATTCTCCGTCCAGGTATGCAACCCCCTAGTTGTCTCGTACTCTCTCGCTCGTGGCGACCATGTAGCTACCTGGCTACCTTTGTGAAATCGAGATTGTCCAGGACGTAACACAGCATAGGCTCAAGTTCGTCCGTCCCGGTTGAGCCGCTAAGCCGCCGAGCCGCGCCGCTGTGTCACCGCCCTTCACCGTTCGGTTCCGTGGTTGATGCTATCATCCCCGTCGGGTAACTGAGAATGGAGATGGATTTGAACGGAACGGTACATATACGGGCCGGGCAAGAACTGATTTAACTGTTGAGGTGATTCGACGTGAGTAGGGGTTCCATATCTATCTGGCTGCTGCGAACCAGATGTAAGGTCCACGTTCTCGACTATTAGGTTCAGGAGCAAGCACTCCGGACGACAGACGTACGGCGTACGTACATGGCATCCCTCCAGTGATTGCTGGTGTATCATGTCATCCTATATAATGGGCGGCTGTTAAACAGGCGGCCGCATCGAGCGACATACAGATCGGATCGGCCCTGCAACCTTGACTCTGCAAGGCAATGGAAGGCAAGCAGTAAGGAGGAGTTCGAGATGCGACAGCATAACACGACACTGCGACTCTCGCTTGTCTTTGGCGAGGTTGAAGTTTCCCTGTTTCCACATTCCTTCGTCGTCATCTTGATTCCATCTTTGAGAATTCTTGCGCACCCCTTTGAACGAAGCCGGATGTCAGGCGAACCCTCCGGAGAGGAGAAGCTCTTTCACCCGGTGACCGCAATGGCCCTCCTCGGCAGCGCAACGACACCTTCATCCGGAAGTTGGAACGAGCCATTGATGGATACCGGTGCAATTCCGGCGGTGACTGCTTGTCGAGCGTGCCGTGTGCGGAAGCGTTATGAATGATGTTTGAGAGATCTGGTTTCGGTCCACAGATCGCGCGATGCCGTGCAGTTGAGTGTACAGTACAAGGCCCTTAACTCCGTAGGGTAAGAAAGACGGAACGAAAATAACACGGAACAGAGAAAGCGTTCCCTTTGTTACAACCGTCGCAATTGAGTTGTTGTCGATGCAGCAGCACCACCACCAACAGCCGCAGCAGCAGTAGCAGCAGCAGTTTGCCTAGCGCCAGTTGCTTGGCAGCAGTCGTTGGCTTGCAGTTCCAGGTTGCATTCAGTTAGTTGTTGCATTGCCCCTGAACAAGTTGTTTGTCCAGCAAAGCACTGGTTGGAGAGATGCCCGGGAATAGGCGGGCCTATTACTGTAGGTGGTGTGTAAAATGGTGGGATGTGCACCGCTTACCACTAACAGCTGGCTTATTGCCATAGTGAAGCGTACTGTTAGTGCTACTGTCTGCACACCCCTACCTATCAAGACATCGTGGTCCAGCTGGTTTGAAGTTGCTTTTCGGACCCGATCCGGCCTGGTGTGGCCTCGCTGTCTCGCGCTCTCGCGCTGTTTCAGACGGACCTTCACCAGTGGCAGTGAAATTGGATCTGAGGTACAGTAGTGGGCGGGCGGTCCAGGGGCAATTGGCAATTGGCGATGGTGGTTTTCCACCACGGCATCACTGCGCGTAAACACGTGTCCGTTGTGCAAATGTCTTTGGTTTCTTGATTTGGCATCACCAATGGATCGTATCGTACAGCCACCACTCCAGTGCAGCGTCGTATCGTCTGATTGGAGCGTCTGCACGATTGTGCCTGAAACTTTGGTGTACGGTATCAGTAACACGTATCGTAACCATCACCGAGTATCATTGTTACGAACAGTTGGGTCCAACGAACTCTTCCTTTTTTTCCCCTAGGGTTTTGGCCTCCTGGTTCCTGTCCTTGGCAGGTAACAGGGCCTGGTAACAAACAAGTCTGGCATTATCTCGGTCAACCCTCATCACCCCTCATCCCACACGCCCACAATCAGCCCGCCCGCAAATCCTCGAAAGAGACAATTCCAACAGAAAACCCGACGTATCGCCCGCCCCAGCTCGCTCCT